CACCTGTGTCCCGTGTGGGAGTGCCTGAGCGTGGTTGTCCTTCCTGCTGATACGGACCCCAGGAATCAAGTAGTGACAGCTTGTGCGGTGGGATTCATTCCTGCCTTTCACAAGCAGGCCTGAATTGAATTTCTGATACCCGGCTTCCAGTCCAGACATTGGAGGAAGTGAACCAGCTGATGAGCGCTGTTGCCTCCCTCTTTCTGCGTGCCTCTTTAAAAAAAAAAGAATCACAGCCTTAATGCTTGGAATGATTTATTACAGAGTTGTACTTTTATTAATGTACAAAGTGAGTACACTGTACAACTTACGGTATTTGTTAGTGGTATAGTGAAATCAGAGTGTTGGCATCTGCTAAATGCCTTATTTCCTGGAACTTAATATGTCATTGATTGTAGCATGTCCAGCCACCTTATCTACCTCTTAGAAAAATGCAACTGTAAATTTAACTACTAAAAAAAAAAGTGCGTTCTTACAAGAGTTGTATGCTACATTTATTTACATGGAATTCTTTCAGACTTGATGGAACATGTTTGCTCTGTGGCATGCTCATGTACAAATAAAAAGGAAAACAAATGAAAATTAAATACTTACTACTTGGCGTTTTGCCACATAAGGCATAGTGGAGGCAGATTTTCCAGCATGGAGGCCGAGTGAAGGGTTGGAAGCGGTTGGAAGCGTTGCAAGGAGGTGGCTGCCCTCTTTTCTGTTTGCTGGTGTCCTCCCTCATAGAGGCCGTTTGCTATGGGCGTAAGGATAGTAGCTGACTACATTCCTGTCTTGTTAAGGCTGGCTGTCAGCTCCCTGACCTCAGGGATCTCCAGAGCTGCTTCAGTGAGGACCAGGTGCAGTCTTCATTTTTTACATTTTGGCTCAAGTGTTTCCTGTGGCTGCTGCTAAATGGTCACAGCCCCGCAGCGGGGAGGAGGAGAGGCCCGTTCCGGACGCTGGGTGGCACAGTTGCTGCGCTTGACCTGAGGCCATGGTTCCTGTCCTTTGCTTTAGCATCCCGAGAGAAGAAAGAAATGGACTTCAGTATGTTGGCCAGTTTCCCTTAACAAAAATTACATTTTCCTGTAGAATCTGAGACACTAAAGTGAAAGTTATGATTCTGTTTGCTCACCAGAGCACAAAGACCTCTTTAGAAACCAGAAGGCTAAATTGCAGGGGTTTTACATTTTAGCTGACCTCAGCCCTGCCGCGGCCTGGGAAGCCGTCAGCCTACCAGGTGTACTGATTGACTTGAATTAGGACACTGGTCCTGTTTCTTGCATGGGAGAGCAGCTGATGCCTGAGATTGTCTTGATTATAGTAAAATGGAGGGATTTCAAGTTTATCTGGAGTACACATTTTTTTTTAAGATTTATTTTTTATCTGAGAGGCAGATTCAGTGAGAAAAGGAGAAACAAAGATCTTCCATGCGCTGATTCATTCCCCAAATGGCTGCAGTGGATGGAGCTGAGCTGATTTGAATCCAGGAGTCTCCTCAGGGTCTCCCATGCAGGTGCAGGATCCCAAGGCTTTGGGCTATCCTCTGCTGCTTTTCCAGGCCACAGGTGGGTAACTGGATGGGAAATGGAGGAGCTGGGATATGAACCGGTGCCCATATGAATTGCTGGTGCTTGCAGGGGAAAGATGAACCAATTGAGCCATCGTGCCAACCCCTAAGCAGACACTTTTTGAAAGACATTTATTTGAAAGGTAGTTATAGACAGAAAGAGGGACGGAAATCTTCCATCTGCTGGCTTACTCCCCAAATGACCACACTGTCCAAGGCTGGGCCAGGCTGAAGCCAGAGCCTGGAACTCTCCAGCTGGATCTCCCATGTGGATGCAAAGGTCCAAGGCTTGAGCCATTCTTTGCTGCCTTTCCAGGCACATTAGCAAGGAGCTGGATGCGAAGCATAGCAGCCAGGATTGATCTGACACCCATATGAGATGCTGGCGTCACAGCCTTAACCTGTACCACAGCACTGGTTCCTAAGTAAACAAGAAAAGTCAAGGGCCCCGTAGATCAGGAGCTTCCTCATCCCTTGAGTTAGTTGATCCTGATCTTTTTGTATGTGTGTGTTGAAAAAAGATTTGTTTGTTTGAAAGAGCTAGAGAGAAAAAGGTAGAGACAGAGACTTCCCAAGATGGGCGAGTAGCTGAAGTTGGGCCAGTCTCAAGCTGGGAGCTTCTCCTGGGTCTCGGACATGAGGCTGAAGCAATGGACCGTCCTCTGTGGCTTTCCCAGCTGCGATAGGGAGCAGTAAGGAAGTGGAGCAGCTGAAATTCAAACTAGTGCACACAAGGGATGCTGGCACCACAGGCAGCAGCTGAAGCCCCTGTGCCGTAGTAATGTCTCCTCTGTGGGTTTTTTTGTTTTTGTTTTTAATAGAAAATCAGTTATAAAGAAAGAAGGAGAGATAGAGAAAGATCTTTCATCCACTGGTTCACCAAGTGGCTGCAACAGCTGGAACTGAGCTGATCTGAAGCCAGGAGACAGGAGCTTCTTCCGTGTCTCTCATGCAGCTGCAGTGTCCCAAGGCTTTGGGCTGTTCTCAACTGCTTTCCTAGGCCACAAATAGGGAGCTGGATGGGAAGTGGGGTGGCTGGGACACACACTGGCATCTGTATGGGTTCCCAGCGCGTGCAAGGTGAAGACATCAGCCACTAGGCTACTGCGCCGGGCCGTTTTGGTGCACTTGAGCAAGAGCAATTTTCTTTTAAATAAATAAATTTATTTATTTATTTATAGTTACACTTTCAAGATTTTATTTATTTTTATTGGAAAGGCAGGTATACAAAGAGGAGAGTCAGAGAGGAAGATCTTCCATTCGATGATTCACTCCCCAAGTGACTGCAACTGCTGGAGCTGAGCTGATTCAAAGCCAGGAGCCAGGAACCTCTTCTGGGTCTCCCACAGGGGTGCAGGGTCCCAAGGCTTTGGGCTGTTCTCGACTGCCCTCCCAGGTCACAAGCAGAGAGCTCGATGGGAAGTGGGGCTGCCAGGGTTAGAACCAGTGCCTATATAGGATCCCAGTGCTTTCAAGGTGAGGACTTTAACTGCTAGGCCACCACGCCAGGCCCATAAATTTTTTTTTTTTTTAATAATGATTACATGGTTGATCAGGGAGGGAAGAATTGAGGTTTAGGGAAAATTGGGTGAATTCATTGCTGCTGCTTGTTGTTCCTGGGAGAAGGGGAGAGACAAAGGGGGAGACCACTCATGACTTTCACACATCCCAGTACCCAGGGATGAGGAACCGCCACCTCCTATCAACCCAGACTCTCAGTGTGCACATATCCTGAAGGCGCTGTCCTAGTGGTTTGGATAGTTCTGAAATGCTGCCGATCTCGCCTCTATTAGGAGGATCCCAGGGCCCAGGACAGGAGACCAAAGCATCACTGGATCCCGCACCCCTGCAGCTCACGAACCTGACATCCACCTAGTAGATGGGCCCCAGTGCCTGGGACAGGAGACCCGAGCCCTGCCGAATCCCCTACCCCTGGGGCTCATGAACCCGGCATCCATCTAGTAGGTGGGCCTTGGGACCCTGGACCGGGAGACCCAAGCTCTGCCAGATCCCCTACCCCTGGGGTTCACAAAACCAACATCCACCTAGAAGGTAGGTCCCAGGTTCTGAGCCAAGCAACCCACACCCCACCAGTTCACCCATCCCCGGAACTCAGGAATCCCTCCCCCACCACGCAGTTAGGCCCCATGACCCTCTGAGCCAAGCTACCCAGCCCTGTCAGGTCCTCCGTCCCAGGAACTCATGTACCCGGCACCTGCTAGGCCCAGGCTGGCATGCATGACTCGCCTCACCTCAGCGTCTGCAGTGTTATTGCGTAGCCTGGCCTAGTCTAGTCTGCCCACTGTTCCAGCTGCAGCTGGTGGGTGCTGCAGCCTATCCCAGCCCAGCCTGATTGCTGTGTCAGTCCTAATGTGAGCTGGCTGCTGTTTTTTAAAAAAGATTTATTTATTAGAAAGGCAGATTTACAGAGAGGAGAGAGAGAGGGAGAAAGATCTTCCAACTACTGATTCACTCCCCAAGTGGCCTCAGTGGCCAGAGCTGAGCTGAGCTGAGCTGATCAGAAGCCAGGAGCCTTTTCCAGTTCTCCCTCGTGGGTTCAGGGTCTCAGGGCTTTGGGTCATCCTCTGCTGCTTTCCCAGGCCACAAGCAGGGAGCTGGATGGGAAGTGGAGCAGCCAGGATTAGAACCGGCGCCCATATGGGATCCCCGGCATGTAAGTTGAGCACTTTAACCCCTAGGTTACCACACCGGGCCTTTAAAGACTTATTTTATTATTATTTGAAAGATTACAGAGAGGACGGGGGACAGAGGAAGATCTTCTGTCTGTTGAGTCACTCCCCAAGTAGCTACAACTGCTGCAACTGTGGGGCTGCCGGGATTAGAACCAAAACCCATATGAAGAACAATTTTTTTTAAAGATTTATTTATTTTTGTTGCAAAGTCAGATATACAGAAAAGAAGATCTTCCATCCGACGATTCACTCCCCAAGTGAGCACAATGGCTGCATTGATCTGAAACCAGGAGCCAGGAACCTCCTCCAGGTCTCCCATGCAGGTGCAGGGTCCCAAGGCTTTGGGCCTTCCTTGACTGCTTTCCCAGGCCACAAGCATGTAGCTGGATGGGAAATGGGGCTGCCAGGATAGAACTGGCGTCTGTATGGGATCCCGTTCATTCAAGGTGAGGACTTTAGCTGCTAGGCCACGGCGCTGGGCCCAAATTTTTTTTTTTTTTAATTTTTATTGGAAAGTCAGATATACATAGAGAAGAAAGAAAAAAGATTTTCCATGCATTGATTCACTCCCCAAGTGGCCGCAACGGCTGGAACTGCGATGATCCAAAGGCAGGAGCCAGGAGCCTCTTATGGGTCTCCCATGTGGGTGCAGGGTTTGGGTCGTCCTTGACTGCTTTCTCAGGCCACAAACAGGGAGCTGGATGGGAAGTGGGGCTGCCAGGATTAGAACCAGCGCTTATATGGGATCCCAGAGCTGCTAGGCTCCTGCACCAAGCCTGAAGAGCAATTGTTATTAGGCCTAGATTATCCAAGTACTGACCAAGCTTGACCCTGCTTAGCTTTCCAAGATCATATGAATTTGGGTACATACAGGGTGGGTTGGCCACAGTCAGATCAGGCCCTTTCAGTTCCTGAATGCTGCCAACCTGCTGTGGATGCAGGTTGGCCTTTGATTTCCCTGCCTGTGTTGGTGCTGGGAAGGGCAGTACCCTGCGTCTGCGTTTTGGGGCGTGCTGTGCTGAGTTTGATTACCGCAGCGACTGGGGATGCTGTGCAGTGTGGTACTCACTGCAGCGTTTAGGCCTGCTGCTCACCACCCTCGCCGTCTTTCTGTCTCCCTTCTTTCTTGGCCTGTTTTGTATTCTTAGCATTTGGTTGCCCTAATCTGAAAGTCCCGAAGTAGGAAACCAGACATTGCCTGCTTGGGAGTTTGATCTTGAACCTAAATCGGTGTTCTTTCCTGTTGTTGAAGTGTGAGGTCAGAGATAGGAAAACACGGCAGTTGCGAAGAGGGAGCCCCATTCAGGAAGGTTAAACTTAAGAACAGAAAACCCTGACACTGGCAAGTGCAAAATGGCTTAGTAATCGTCACTGGAGCGAAGGTGAGACAGCAGGTCTCATCCTTGTTACCCGAGTTCAGATCTACGTGTTAAGCGGGAACAGTTTTGGGAAAATGTTGGGCCAGTTGAGTGGCAGTTGCCCAAGTACGCCTGTTCCTAACGACTAGAACTCTGATTGGCCCAAATCTCTGCCTTGTTATGCCTTCCAGCCAATCAGGGGTTAGTTGGGTCACTGAAGTTAGTATTTTAAGTTTTTAAAAGCTGGGCACTTGCCTTTGCTTGCTTTCTGTAGGACTGTGGAAGACTGGAAAGAGTGGTCAGTGGCTGCGCAGGGGCCTTATGGCATGAAGCACAGAGCCTGTGAGAACTCATTGCTCACTTACTCCACTAAAGTTTGGTCCCCTTTCTCCAGTCCTCGGTGATGTGGAAGTTATTTAGAGGTCGTTCCAGGTATTACTTTATACTGAATTTTAGCAGTATGAGCAGAACCCAGCGTGCGCATATGCCATTTGGCGGTGGGTTTTATCGGAGGGACAGCTCTTTCTCCACGCAGATCATGATGGTAGTTCCCCATTTGACCCCGTCGTGGGCAGGAGCTGAGTGGTTGAGGCTTCTGAGAACAGTAATAAGAATATATAAGGGTACTTCAGAAAGTTTGTGAACTGGAATTAAAAATATAAGTTTAACTTGGTAGAAAAATTTGAAATCCTTGTATAGTTTTCTTTCTACACATTTTCAGAGGCAGGTGGGAGGCCCAGATGGAGTTCCTGGCTCCTGCCTGGCCCGGTTCAGCTGTTGGGACCGTTTGGAGAGTGAACCAGGGAGTGGGAGATAGCTTTCTCTCTTCTCTGTTTATCTTTGTGTGTCACTGCCTTTCAAATAAAATCTTTTTTAGGAAATACACGTTTTTCATGAACTTTTTGACTCTCCCATGTGTGTGGATTTTGAATTTCACACCAAAATAAATATATCTTTTAATTCCATTTTCTACAAGATTTTTGAAGTATCTTCACATGAATTCTGTAGTCTGATTTTGAAGCCTGATGTCCTGTTGGCACAGTTTGTCTGGGGAGGTTTGTATTGTGAGATAAACAATTTTAACGGTTTTTTCTTTTTTTCTTTTTTTTGAGATCTTTCATCTGCTGGTTTACTCCCCCAAATGCCTGCAAAGTCAGGCCTCAATCCAGATCTTCCCTGTGGGAGGCTGAGACCCAGCTGCTGGAGCCAGCAGCTGCTGCCTGCCAGGTGGAAGCCAGGTTGGAAGTGGGGGAGCTGAAACTGACTGCACATGTTCCAGTGGGCTGTGGGCGTCCCGTGCGGTTGGTGCGACAGCTCTCCTGGTTTTCCTGTTAGTTTGGAAGAGGGTGTGAGGGACACGGGAACCTTCTCTTCTCCTGGAAGTTCCTGTCTGGGGGCTCTTCCTTGGGCAGGTTGTTGAGATGGTTCGCCACCTGTTACTAAGGAACCAAGAGAGTTCTTGAGAAGAAAACTCAGATAACCCACTCTGATTCCCCTCTTTGCCTTGCTCCCCACCCCCGCCACAAACAAAGCAAGAGGTAACTTTTTTTTTTTTTTAGATTTATTTATTTTACTTGAGAGAGAGGATGAGACAGAGTGGGCTTCCATGTGCCAGCTCACTTTTCAGATGGTTGTACCAGCCAGACCTGGGCCAGCCTGAAACTGGGAGCCAGGAGCTTCTTCTGGGTCTCCTATGTGGGTACAGGGTCCCAAGGACTTGAGCTATCCTCCACTTCCTTCTCGGGCCAGGAATAGGGAGCTGGATGAGAGGTGGAGCTAACCCTCCATCTGTGATGCCAAGATTCATTATGGGCACAGGTTTGAGTCCCAGTTGCTCCGCTTCCCATTCGCCATGTTGGCCCCAGCAACTTTTTCTCAGTAGTAGTTCCTCAGTCCCAAAGTGTTGGTGAGTGCTGGTATCCCTCTGGGGATAGAGAAGTCTCAGAATGAGGACCAAGAGTTCGAATGTCAGTGACCTAGGGGGAGTATGCCCGTGAGCCTCTGGCCAGTGGTGGGGCCCAGAGAGCAGCTTCGGAGAAGCCTATTCTCAGGGGTAGCTTTGGTTGACCTCGTTTCTCTGCAGGGCACCTGAAGGTGAGGTGACTGCTGCCATTTGAAGAACTAGCCGAGGGTTAAAGCTCACTACTGAGGTGGCAGTTTCTGTACAAACACACTGACTGCAGTGACAGATTCCTGTGACGTTGGAGTGGGCTCTCATGGGCTGTCCTTCCCTGCTCTGAGCACTAGAGAGCTCTGCTGCCTCTCACAGCCTTCCCCTGCTTCCCGCTGTACCCTCACGTCCCTGCCAGTCATGCTGCTACTGAGGCGTCCCCCGACTGTCCGCAGAGCAGTTGGAACTGGCGGAGTTGGGACTTTGCTTTATCTCCATCTTCTTCTACCTCTCCTCTCCTGGGGGAAGGAGAGTGGGAGTTTGGACTGTGCTGTGAAGGGGAAGTTGCCTTCTATAGGGAAGTTCAGAGTGCAGTTTTCATCCTTGTTTGCCCACTTCTGATCCAGCTCACTGCTAGTGTATTTAGGAAGGCAGCAGAGGATGGCCTGGGTGCGACCCACATGGGAGACCTGGTCTGGGCCCATAGCCCAGTGCCAGCTGTTATGATTTTGGGAATGAACCGGCAGATGCAAGATCTCCCTGTATCTCTTTATATGTCGCTTTCTGTAACTCTGCCTTTCAAACAAATGAAAATCTTAGGCTGGGGCAAAGCTGGGGAGCAGTCAGCTTTGCCAACAGGCAGCATTCGGGTCAAGCCCTCACCTCTCCATTTTCTCCGGATGGTGTGAAGCTCCCGCATACAGCACCTGGGGAGCACTCAGCTATTTGTGACGATGTTCCAAGTTGTAAATGGCTTCTGTTTACGGATGGGGAACTGGACTTCATGTCTTACTCCTGGCTTAGTAGAAAGTTTTTGTTATGTTTTGTTTTAAAGCAGCAATGACTGACTCGTGTTTGATAGGATCGGGTAGTAGGCGGGCCCTGGGCTCCTTTGGCTTATTCTCATGAAGGTCAGAGAGAGGGCAGCAGGCAATGGGCCCTGTGACATGCCACTGGGGACAAGAGGTCTCGGCCCGTGGGAAGAAGGAAGGAATCTACTCTGGGACTGGGACTGGCCCATCACCCGTGAATTCTGAAGGGCGGAGGGCATTGCTGGATCGACAGGCACCCAGTCAATAGAACTGCCAAGAAACGAGGCCCAGCAGTGAGAGTGACATTTTGGAAGTGGCAAGCACAGTGTGAAGTTTGACAGTGTGAAGTGTTCCTGTTCAAAGTCCAGAGGCGGGAAGGAGAAGTATTTCCTCCAACCCTAAGGTGGCTCTGCTAGTAAAATAACCTTCAAAATTCACTAAACACTTTTTTTTTTCAATTGAAAGTCAGATATACAGAGAGGAAGATCTTCTGTCTGCTAATTCACTCCCCAAGCAGCTGCAACAGCCGAAACTGAGCCAACCCAAAACCAGAAGCCCGGAGCCTCTTCCAGGTCTCCCACGTGGGTACAGGGTCCCAAGGCTTTGGACCATCCTCTGTTGCTTTCCTAGGCCACAGAGAGCTGGATGGGAAGTGGAATAGCTGGGGCATGAACCAGCACCCATATATCATCCCAGTGCATGCAAGGAGAGGATTTAGCCACTGAGCCATCACTCTGGGCCTGAGTCCTCCCCCGCCTTATGAGCCTGCTGGTCCTGGTGCTTCTGTCTCAGTACTGAGGTGCTTTGGTGGATGTGCGTGGTCACCTCACATGCCAGCAGATGGGTGGCAGGTGCTGCTTCCAGAGCATCTTGTGCTGGCAAGCTCTGCTCTGGCTGCCCATGCCTCTGCTGTAAGGGTCACTCCTGCAAGTCGTGCTCCTGTCGCAGACTCCCAGGGCGGGGCTTGAGTGGGCTTGACCCTGAAGTTAGTCCTGATGCGGCCTGTTCTTGCTGCTGCCATGCCGGATTCCAGGGAGCCACTCTTGGTTGGATGCATCTTGTTGGGTAAAACCTGCTGTGTGTCGGATAGAGGAGCTTCAAAATGGAGAGACCCCACTTCAGGCACTGGACTTGGAGGGGAAAAGCCTTCAGCCTAAACGTACTAAGTGCCCATTGTTTAGGCAGCTGTTAATCAGCCATGTTTCTATGAAAATAAGTCCTTTTTCATGAGACAATTGTGGGGGAATAGCTAATTCTGGCCTGCTGCTGTGCAGTGTGAGGTTAAAAACATGGTAACTTGTCACAACACAATTATTCTTGTTCTTTTTCTGTGGGCTGACTCTACATTACTTCCTTTGTTTCTTCCAGAATGGAATCTACTCACCATTTACTAAAATGAAATGCATTTCTTGGGGGGAGGCAGTCCAGTTCACTAGGTCTTGGATCTTAAAGAGGAAGGAACCCTGTTCTCTAGTTGATGGGAACGTCCATGTCTTATTCCAGGCAGAACAAACGAATTTTTACAGAATTTAGCAATACGTAGAGGTGAACATTGGGGAGAAAGCTTGGCATAGTTTAACGTTTACAAGCTTTGAGATCTGACAGATTTCAGGCATATCTAGACCTCAGGCAAACTTTGGACCTTCATTCCTTAATTTCCTCTGAGGGCAAAAAAAGTTGGGGAGGGGAGAATATCGAGTGTAGAGAGGTGGTTGAGGGGAAGTCCCCATCCTTGGCATCCTTGGCCGATGCCGAACACAGCTCTGTGGAAGGGGCACTTCTCAGTGATGGGGCACTGAGGGCTAGCAGGCTTCCTGCAGCCGACACAGTGTCTGTCCTATGTTAGGTGCCTTCGGTCTTCTGGAGGTTTGTGCCATCTTGTTCGCTTGCTGACTAAAGGAGCTAAATCTTGGTTTTGGCCTAAAGTCTTCTGTGGAACTTAGGACAAGTCTTTCTTTATAAAGATTATTTTTATTGGAAAGTCAGATTTTCAAAGAGAAGGAGAGACAGAGAGAAAGATCTTCCATTTGCTCTTTCACTCCCCAAGGTTCCGCAATGACTGGAGCTGAGCCAATCCAAAGCCAGGAGCAAGGAGCTTCTTCCGAGTCTCCCATGCAGGTGCAGGGTCCCAAGGGTTTGGGCCGCCTTGACTGCTTTCCCAGGCCACAAGCAGGGAGCTGGATGGGAAGCAGGACTGCTGGGATATGAACAGGCACCTATATGGGATCCGTGTGTGTGCAAGGTGAGGACTTTAGCCACTAGGCTACTGTGTCGGGTCCTGGAATTTAGGGTGTTTCTTCACAGCGGTTTGACTTCTGAAATCCAGTTCTGGGAAAGCTCATGCTTCAAATTTGTTGGCACATCTGCCCTTAGAGTGGCTGCTCCTACTTTATGTCATAGAGTGATGTGCATCTCGTAGAGAGAGCTCAGGTCGTTCATGGCTTGCAGTTACATTCTCCTGCCTCCTTGTCCCTATGGGTGACTTTGGTTCGGCATTGTGACCATTGGTGTAATAAAGAGAACAAGCAGAATTCTATCCATCCTGTGAGCAATCAGATGGCACTTATGGATCATTTCATTTTCATTCTTTTTTCTTCTGGCACTTTCCATGTTAGTAGGATGCACCAGGACAGTGAGGGAGAATGAGAATAGAGGATCTGCCTAGGGGAAAACCGGTTAGCATTGCCAGTGTGTATGTAAAAGTTGTGAGTGAATGGATCACAGACTCCCCAGCGCTAGTGCCTGCCTGCGAAGCTGCACACTGCCACGCCATCACCAGTGTCCAAGTCAGAGAGCTTTGAACAGGGTTCTTGTTGAGCAGTTGTATGAGTTTGGTATACTTGATAAAGATTGCTGTTCTTTTTAAATACTGTTGATTGAATTATTTGATTCTAGTTACTTGGTCAGGAAGATAATTTCCAATTATATAACATTGTTCCTTTTGGAAAGCACCATTGGTATAATGACACAGTTTCAAAAAATAGATCTTTGGGGTAGAGAAAAAAATGTAATATAACCTACTTGCTGAATGTAAGTTACTGAAAGGGTGGCAAAGCGTATTTAGGCCAGATCATTATTTATGTATTCATTGATTTGAGAGGCAGGATGGGCTCCCGCACCCATGTGGGAAACCCAGAGGAAGCCCCTGACCCCTGGTTTCAGACTGAAGCAGCAAATGTGTAAAATCTCTCTTGTGTAGAGAGAGCCAGACAGCAGTTACAATCTAGAAGGAAATAGATACAAATTGCATTTCTTTCTGAGTTCAGGGACTGTGTACATTTGTGCTGCAGAAGGATGACGCAGGCACCAGTAGCGGGGCCAGGTAGGCACCATGAGAGGAGTTTCCTTGACTTAGTTTGAATGCACCTACATGACAACAAATAGCATCTGAGGAGCTTGAATTCTTGCCTTAGCGCTTCCTATTGGCCCCTGTCAGTCTACTGAACAAATGGAGATACTTTCAGGTGTTGTCTGACACCCCCCCCCCCCAGCTCTGTTGAGGGGCTCTAGACCAAAGGTTGCTCCCCTGAGCTGGCCCGGGTTTCCCCCTGTGTGTAGTAACTTGGTTTCTCTTTCTTTTTCAGAGAAGCAGAGTCTTTCAAAGAACAAGGAAATGCATACTATGCCAAGAAGGATTACAATGAAGCTTATAACTACTATACAAAAGCCATAGGTAAGACGGACCTGCTGCTAGAAAATATTTTGCAAAATACCTCCTCTCTTAGACATAGCCCTTTGCAAAAAAAAAAAAGGCGTATCCCTTTGCTTAATGAAGGATACTGTTGCTGTGTCAACTCTTCCAGCCTTAGTAGTCTCATGAGGGGTCACTTAAAACAGTTCATTAGAAATAGCCTGCCCTTGCCCCCTGAAAGGGAAACAGTGACCTGGAAAGCTGTAACTTGTTTTCTCTAAGGTTGCTTGCACAGGTCGTGGTGTGTCCATGTCAGCTTTGTCCACTCAGGTTATGTCAGCATCTTTAGGTTTGATGCATTTGACATGCCTGCCAAGGGAAATGGCCCCTCACTTCTAAAAGTCAGTCCACGCTTCAGTTTTAATTTACATTCTTTTCCCACAGATATGTGTCCTAAGAATGCCAGCTATTACGGCAACCGAGCAGCGACGTTGATAATGCTCGGAAGGTTCCGGGAAGCTCTCGGAGATGCCCAGCAGTCAGTGCGTCTGGACGACAGCTTCGTCCGGGTATGTGCCCGCGCCATGGGGAAGGCCGGCCTGCCGCAGTGCAGTTCCTCCAGCCCAGGTTCCTTTCTCATGACGCTGTTAACATTTGAGGCCACATGATTCTTTTCACTGGAATTATTTATTTATTATAGAGGTAGAGAGATGGACACTGAATGAGAGCACCCACTTGCTAATTTGCTCCCAAATGCTGGCCCAGGGCTGGGCCAGGCTGAAGCCAGGAGCCACAAACTCAATTCAGGGTTCCCATGTGAGGAAAGGCTGTTTGCCTCCCAGCGTATGGTTTTTTGTTTGTTTGTTTAAGAATTATTTATTTTTATTGCGAAGTCAGATATATATAGAGAGGAGGAGAGACAGAGAGGAAGATCTTCCATCCATTGATTCACTCCCCAACTGGCTGCAATGGCCGGTGCTGTGCCGATCCGAAGCCAGGAGCCCAGATCCTCTTCCGGGTTTCACACATGGGTGCAGGGTCACAAGATTTTGAGCTGTCTTTGACTGCTTTCCCAGGCCACAAGCAGGGAGCTGGATGGGAAGTGGAGCTGCCGGGATTAGACTTGGCAACCATATGGGATCCTGGCGCATTCAAGGCAAGGACTTTAGCTGCTAGGCCACAGCCCTGGGCCCAGCGTATGTATTTTTATTTGTTGAATTTTCATTTATTTGTAAGAGAGAAATATTGCTTGACTGATTGATTGATCTTCTGTCTACTAACTAGTTCATTCCCCAAAAGCCTGTAGCTGGCATGACCCAACCAGGCTGATGCAGGAGCTAAGAGTGCATGCTGGTCTTGTATATGGTTGGCAGGAGCCCAGGTGCTTAAGCCATTACCTGTTGCCTCCCGCAGTGTTCACTGGCCAGAAGCTGAACTGGAAGCAAAACCAGGACTTGAACCAAGCACTCTGACAGGGAACTGGGTATTGCAAATGCCTTTGTAACTGGGGTACCAGAATGTCTGCTCCACTGTAGGTGTTAACAAGAAGCTGGTCTCTGCAGTAGGGTCAAGACTTGAACTCGCTGGTGTGGGGTGTGGGATTGTTCACTGCTAGACCAAATGCCCACCTTAGATAATCCTTGTAGGGGCCTTTAACCCCCAAGTGACAGTAGCATGCCCTCTCCTCAGATGTGACAACCTGCAGTGTCTCCTAACATTGTTAACTATTTCTGGAGGACGTTTGTCCCAAATCAGAAGTCACTTTGCTCCTCCTTTTCATCCCAGGTTGGCTTGTGCAGGTCTTCATTGCTGCTGCCGATCTCTCTGCTTGGCCAGTCACGCTCCTGCTCTTCTCTCTTCATATTTCTTCCAGGGTCATCTACGAGAAGGCAAGTGTCACCTCTCACTAGGAAATGCCATGGCAGCATGTCGCAGTTTCCAGAGAGCCCTAGAACTGGATCACAAAAACGCACAAGCACAGCAGGAGGTAAGGTCTGGCCTTGGCAGTGTCTGGAGTAGCAGGGTCCTGTGTGGCAGAGACAAGATTGAAGTCAGAACCAAGTTAAGTCCTGCCCTAACCATCCGCCACAGCTGGGGGGCTTCAGGCAGGTCTGGGGTCTTGCTGAGCCACAGCTTCCTCCTGTGGCAGCTGAGTTTCAGTATGAGGTGTTTCAGAAAACCTGAAAATTGAAGAGTTGGCACCAATTTAATCAGAATTTTGAATTTACTAAAATTTTTTTAACCTTATCCAAATTAGCTCCTTGAAGCACCCTACTTCCTCAGCTGTCTCAGAAACATTAGTTTCTACTTTATACTCAGAATCATAGTTGGTCTATCAACTCAATTTATGAAACCCCATGGTCCTGATTTTTTTGAAAGGCAGTTATAGTGAGAAAGATGGAAAGAGACACAGAGAAATTTTCCACTTGCTAGTTTACTTCCCAAACAACTTCAACAGCCAGGATTTGGCCAGGCTGAAGTTGGGATCCTGGGACTCCATCTGGGTCTCCTGTTGGACGCAGGGCCCAAGCACGTGGGCCATCTTCTGATGCTTCTCCAGGTGCATCTGCAGGGAGCTGGATCAGAAGTGGAGCAACCACAGCACAGGGGACAGCTTAGTCCACTGTGTCACAGCACTGGGTCCCCAAACCAAATTCTGCAAAGCTTTATTGATTTTTGTGATTATTCAATTTATGGCATCATTAAAACTTTCTTACATGTGATTCTCTGGTGCAGTTCAAAAATGCTAACGCAGTCATGGAATATGAGAAGATAGCTGAAATGGATTTTGAGAAGCGGGACTTTCGGAAGGTAAGGTAGAACCGCGGGTCTGCCCCACCGGCCCTTTCCCTGCTATGGGAGTGTGCATGTGGGTGCGCGTGCGCCCGTAACCAAGCAGTGGAGAACAGTGAATTATCATTCGCTGGGTTCTTAACTTTTTTGTTCTTACTTAAATTTGGGAGAGAGGTGAAGTACTTCTTTTAACTACATTTGGCTTTATGATAAAAAGCAAAATGTATCTGTTATTTGAATTTATTTCCATTGTTGATGTGATATAGTGCATTGGTTAAAACGAAAAGCCAAATGAAATTAAATACTGGATTTGGACAGTCCATTTTTATTTGAAAGATGAGAATTAACTAAGTCCTGCTGTATGTGAGACAAAGTTGTAAGTCAAAAATAGTTGTCACATTTTGGTGTTAAGATTATCCTGAAACGTTAGACTGTGTGATTGTTCTTTGAGAGTTTACATGTGGGGGTTGATACATCTGAAGCACAGCGAAGGTGTAAAGGTTCTAGACGTTTCTAGAAATCTAGAACCTGTAGACATTAGGATTGACTTGACTCCTAGCTCCCATCCTTAGGTAGTGGTATTCAGACTTTCACAAGAGGATGGAGCTGGCCCCAAAAGGTTATCAAAACATGGATGAGGAAGAGGCTCTCAGGGTCACTTACAGAAGTTTGTGAGTAGCGTCGACAGGAGGAAGTTGTCCTTCCGTGTAGGAATTTCTGTAGCAGGTGTTCCATGAATGTCTGATGGAAGGGTGTAGTTAAGAGTCACTCTGGACGCACGCTGTGGGCTTTTCCTTGGTAATGATACATCTGAGCATTGATGATGCACAGTCCTGGCGTTAACTTATTAGCATCCCTCCTCTGTGCATTGACTGTAATAATCACAGTGTCATTGTAGTGTGATTCATAAGTTTGTTTTGTTTGGCTTTTGTGCGTGTGTTTGGAAAGCAGTTCTGCCTGCTGTCACGTTTTCTGGAATTTACATAGGCAAAAGCTTTGTCTCCAAAGGCGGTCTTCTGGGTTTCTTTTCTCTCTTGCCTACTCTGGAGCCAGAATTCTGAGTTTGTGACAGAATCCTCTGTTTGTGATATCCCAGCCCCCGCCACTGTGGCTCATGGTGATGTCACAAATGAAGAATTATCCTGGCAGGGGAAACAGATGAACTTGGAAGAAACAAAGATCTTCTTTGCCTGCAGCTGTCCCTAGTGAGGCCAGGGGAGGTGGGGGTGGAAGGGAAGTATTGAGCCTCGCGCGGTGGGCAGAGGCAGCTCAGCAGGGAGCGTCACCCTGGGAGGGCCACAGCCTGGGGCTGCCCATGGCTTGCTGACTGTTGCTCCTCCCACTGACTTCCATGGGGGGTGGGCAACATTTGGCACCACACTGCACAATGCCCAAATTCCATGATTGCCCTTGCTGTTTAAACCCTTCCAGAAAGCATTCTCAGGGGAACATCTATCTCATGGTTTACCTAATTTCCCCTGTTTCTGTTATTTTTAATTTTGGCCTTTCAGTGATGAGTGTCCCTTTAAACTTACCCATTGGCTGCCCAGTTAGCGCTCTCACTATTCTTGTGTCTTATAATTTCTTCTGCAGTTTTGGCTCACATACATGAAGTGCCAAGTCCTAATGTTTCTTCTTCATGCGTGGAAGAAAGTACACGCCAGACTGTGCTTGTGTTTTCCCTGTGGATGGATGTTGAACCTCTCTCTGTATCCTCGCACAGAGAGGCTCTGGCCAGTTAGAGCTCCATAGCACTCCACTGGGGACTGTCAGCCCTGCCCAGCAGGCCTCCTGTCCCTAAATGCTCAGCCTTCATTTCCTTCTGATTCCCATGACCAGATTCTTGGAGGGAGTTAAAAGCCCTTTAACTCCAGACTTCTCATTTGAGTTAACTTTTTTCTTTTTGAAGATTCATTAATTTTTATTGGAAAGGCAGATTTATAGAAAGAAGGATATAACAGAAAAATCCTCCATCCACTGGTTCACTCCCCAAGTGGCTACAGTGGCCAGAGCTGAGCCGATTCAGAGGCAAGAACCTCTTTCGGGTCTCCCCCCGATGTAGGGTCCTCCACTGCTTTCCCAGGCCACAAGCAGGGAGCTGGGTAGGATGTGGAGCAGCCGGGACACAGACCAGCACCTGTATGGGATCCTGGCATGTGCGAGGTGAGGATTTAGCTACTGAGCTATTGTGCTGAGCCCTAAATTTTTAAAAAAGGATTTATTAGTTATTTAAAAGGCAGAGTCACAGAAGAGTTGGAGAGAAGGCAAGACAGACTTCACCTGTTGGTTCACTCCTCAAGTGGCTGCAGCAGTTAGGACCATGCCAGGTACCTGGAGTTTCTTCAGATCTCTCATGTGGGTACAGGAGTCCAAGCACTTGGGCCATTCTGGGCTACTTTCCCAGGTATTTTAGGGAGTTAATTGAAAGAGGAGCAGCCAGGACACCAACTGGCATATGAGATGCTAGTACTGCAGGTGGCAGCTTTACATGCTATGCCACAGCACCAGCCTGAGGGGTTTTGTTTGTTTGGGTTTTGTGGGATTTTTTTGTTTGTTTGTTGTTGTTTTGTTTTGTTTTTTGGCTCATTTGAAAGGCAGTGATAGAGAGTTAGAGACAGAGAGAAGACCGTCCTATCCACTGGTTCAAACTGCGGGTGGCCACAGTGGTCAGGAGTGGTCCAGATCTCCCACGTGTGTCCCACCCAGCAGGGAGCTGGGTTGAAAGCAAAACAACTGGGACTTGAGCTGGCACTATGATAGGATGCTGGTACCCACAAGCAGCGGCTTAACTTATTGTACCACAACACAAACACATGATTAATTATTCCTGAGGAGAGTATGATTTAGCAGGGATCTCAGCAAATAGCAGCAAAACCGAAAATGAAAACAAACTTCTCTGAAAAGAAAATGGGAATGCCCCATCAGTGCAGTGTGTGCTGCGTCTTAAGCTTTGTGTAAGAGCATGTTGAGAACAGTAATCTGACACAACCTGTTTAAATCCATTTAAAATGGGCAATTTCTGTACTAAAAGCTACTCAGAAAGGGGCTGCCTGTGTGCACTCAGACGTGAGGTTCTTGGCATCAGGAAGGAAGAAACTGAGCAATTTGAGAAAAGCTGGAGCAGTAACTCTGCTGTTCCTTGTTTTGCTTAATAGACTGTCATGATGGGTTATGCAGAGTAGCAGATAACGAATTTGTGAGAAGAATGTGAATTTGGAGTGCAGTCAGTGTGAGCATGGCTCAGCATGGTGACAGAGGTTGAATCCTGTGTATACCACACACTGTTCTTAGCAATCTTCATTTAATCTAATGAATTTTCTATGTTTTTGTGCTTAGATTTTACTTTCCTACTCCAACAGTGAACCCAAAGAATTTGTTTGAACTTTAGCTCTGTGACTGTCCAAACTAAAGTGACGACATTTCTGAAGTCTTAAAATGAAGCATCGTCTTTCTTGTCTTCCTCCCCCAGGTGGTTTTCTGCATGGACCGCGCCCTGGAATTTGCCCCTGCCTGCCATCGCTTCAAAATCCTCAAAGCAGAATGTTTAGCAATGCTGGGTCGCTACCCAGAAGCACAGTCTGTGGCCAGGTATGCGCTAGATCAGTTCTGTGTTGAACAGGCAGATTCTGCTACACAGTGTGGTCCTATGGGTAGGTCAGTGGGGTCTGATGAGGCTTTCTTGAAACTTAAGGCCAAAAATGATACCACATTTGAAAACCCACAGCATATATGAGTATAGAATTGTAGCAAATACTTGGTTGTGTAGGAGGGAATAGGGTAAGTGAATTTTGGGGATATTACTTGAATTTTTTCTTGTATATTTTACCTTTAGTCCTTTTACTTCTATTCCAGGCTTGGCCAGCTTTGTCAGGGACTGTATTGTAAATATTTCTGCCTTTGCAGGCTACTTAGCACTGCCATTGTAATACAGAAACAGCCATAGATATTAGGAGTGGCTGTGACTGTATTTCTTTTTTTAAGATTTTTTTTTTTAAGATTTATTAAGATTTATTTATTGGAAAGTCAGATATGCAGAGAGGAAGATCTTCCGTCCATTGATTCACTCCCCAAATGAGCGCAACGGCCAATGCTGTGCCGATCCGAAGCCAGGATCCAGGAACTTCTTCCGGGTCTCCCACATGGGTGCAGGGTCCCAAGGCTTTGGGCCTTCCTTTACTGCTTTCCCAGGCCACAAGCAGGGAGCTGGATGGGAAGTGGAGCTGCTGGGATTGGAACCGGTGCCCATATGGGATCCCGTTCATTCAAGGCGAGGTTTTAGCCCCTACGCTATCACGCTGGGCCCTGTGGTTTAGTTACCAAAACCAATGAAAAGATGTAGCCTTGTCAGTGGTGATTGAGCGCCTCTTGCTGTAAGATGAGTATGGATGATTTATTTGAGGAAGACTATGGAAAAGTTCTTTTAACTGTCTGCCTTCAGAGACTACACAGTCAAGGGGAAAAGCTGGCCAAACGTGGTAGCGGTCGTGGTGTGGACATTCCCCTTTCTGGCTTTTGCAGTGACATTTTACGAGTAGATTCCACCAACGCGGATGCGCTCTATGTTCGTGGTCTTTGCCTTTATTATGAAGATTGCATTGAGAAGGCGGTTCAGTTTTTTGTGCAGGCTCTCAGGATGGCTCCTGACCACGAGAAAGCCTGCATTGCTTGCAGAGTAAGTTCCAGACACCAGATCTGGGTGGGAAGGAAAGATGCTTCCTTTTCAGCGGAAGGTTTTAGGATCATGAAGGAAGTGATTGCTATTCTTTCCATTTGCAAGGATGCCTCATTCTTTTACTTTGGTTTATCTAAAGGTAAATGTCATCATGTTTAATCAGTTCCTTTTACTATTATCGGAGTGAGTGTTGGTTTTCGGTTTTGCTTTTTCCCTCCTTCATAAAGAAAAGATAGTCATGCTTGCCCTAGGGAATAGAGACAAACCCCGGGGAGCAGGGCATGCCTGTCAGTAACTTGTCAGTCTTGGTTTCCCTACCCACCCCAGGAAGCACCTGCGAATCACATGCTGGGTGGAGTGGGGAGCTGCTGTGTGATGCTAAACTGCTTGAGGCAAGAAAAAAAAAATGATAATAATTGAAGTAGACTCTGACCTCTCAGTACAGTGACCTGAGACTGACCTCTTGCTTTTCTCTGTAGAATGCCAAAGCTCTTAAAGCGAAGAAAGAAGATGGGAATAAAGCATTTAAGGAAGGAAATTACAAGCTAGCACATGAACTGTACACAGAAGCCCTGGGGATAGACCCCAACAATATCAAAACAAATGCTAAACTCTACTGTAATCGGGGTACAGTTAATTCCAAGGTAAGCGCTTGGGGCCCATGGAGACGCTTCTGAGGGTCATCAAAGGGGTCTGCCCAAGCAGAGTAAACCAGAGGCAGCAGGGAAGGTGGTCTGTGGAAAGTTGTATCTTGGCTTATCACGGACTGCTTTTTGCAGGCGCTCACCTCTCCTGTGCAGTTAGGATCGGGTGAGGGTCACAGTGAGAAAGACTGTTCCTTCCTGTTCTTCCCCAAGGGCCCTTTCCTGCAGGAAAAGGACGTTGGGAGTTTTGTAAAGACTTTAAGCAAGTGAAACTGCTGCTTTTTGCTTGCAGAAGAGATTGTTTTTGCTTTAGGAGTGATTTGAAGCAAATTATAAGAAGCAGGCCAGATTTTCATCTACCTTACCTGATGCTTACCATGCACAGCCTCTTGAGTGCTCCTGAGGTCTACACACTGTAAGCAATAAAGAACAGGCCACTGCCCTCTCAGGGTTCTGGTTAAACAACAGTCCCTGTCATTGTGAGTCCCATGGTGGTCTCTGCAAGGACGGAGGGGGCAGGAGACCACCCGTACGTAGCGTTTCCGTGTTTTGATTGGGCACTAACATGGTACAGGAAGTGGTTTGTCCTCTCAGATGAAGATGTCTTGCGTCACATAGAAAACATTTCAGTTCTGACTCTGGTGTCCTTAGCCCACTGAGCTGTTGGCTTTCTTTGCAACCTGCTAGACGGTTCAGAGGCAGGTGTGAGTGCCACACTTAGAATTTGGAAGCCATGGTCCCAGCTTCTGGGCTCCCTGAATCACCTGAGATATGAAGTGTGACTGCTCTCTCTCTCCTGAAGCTTAGGAAACTAGATGATGCAATAGAAGACTGCACAAATGCAGTGAAGCTCGACGACACTTACATAAAAGCCTACTTGAGAAGAGCTCAGTGGTGAGTGCCTCCCGTGGGCAGGGGGAGAGGGGGGCCGCTGGCCTGCCAGGGGAGCCGCGCTGTGGATGCCGGAGCAGACCCAGGGATGTCGTGAGGTCATTTGGTCCTTCCCCCTGCCTCTAGGTGGGATTGTTCCAGCCCTAGACTATCTTTATAGACCTCCAGCGGAGGAGATTGCACAGCTCCCTCAGTCTCCCATGCCTGTGTCTAACGCCCCTCACGGTCAGTAAGTTTTCTCTGATGCCTGACCCAAATTCCTTTTGTTAAAGTTTTCACCCATTGCCTTTGGAGATTCTGTGTTATGTTGTACACTTTTGCTCTAACGTGGCACAGTGCTTGGCACAGGGGTGCTCACTCTGTACGTGTCTCTTGGATGGATGGACGGTGCTTGGAGGAGAAAAACACAAATCCTCTCCGGGCCATTGAAGGGTTGGGTTCAGCTTGCTTGTCGTGGGAGAGGGAAGAGTCTTGTGAGGGTTAGATGGTGTGGAATCCAGCTCAGCCTCTCAGGAGGACGAGGAGGTCCTCAGCCAGGTGGTCTGGCTTTGAGAGGGCTTCCTGACTGACGGGGTGTTGTGCCCACTCTGAGCGCCATGCTGCTCATCTTACCCTAGAACACACAGACACATTCCTTGGGAAGACCTCAGTCAGACATCCAGCTGTTCTTATTCCAGATTATTCCTCAGACAGAGAAATTCCCGTTTTTAAACTTCCAAAAGGAAGACATACTTCTTATGTGACAGTCTCCCAACCCCTTCTCTGTTCTTACTGTTTTGTCCCAAAAACAGATCCTGGGACTGATGCTAGCTGAGCCCTGGAAGTGGATATGCCAGGTCTCCATCAGGGTGTGGTGGCGCTTGGGACCACATCCCACCACAGCCTTCCTTGGACTGTCCTTTAGAGAAAACCACTTTGCCCATAATGCTTTTTTTTTTAAGATTTATTTTTTATTTACTTGAAAGGTAGAGTTACAAAAGAGGAAAACACACAGGGAGATCTTTATCTGCTGGTTCATTCACTGTCCCAAATGGCTGCAATGGCGAGGGCTGCACCAGGCTGAAGCCAGGAGCCAGGAGATTCTTCTGGTCTGCTGTATGTGTGCAGAGGTCCAAGGACTTGGGCCATCTTCCAATGGTTTCTCGGGTACATTAGCAGAGAATGAATCCAGAGTGGAACAGCCAGAGCTCAAACTGGTGCCCATGTGGAATGCCAGCATCACACTTAACACTCTGCCACTACATTGGATTCCATGATGCTGCTGCTGCTTTTTTTTTTTTTTTTAATGAATTTCTAAGTAGCTAAGTATGTCCAGCACCAATACTTACATAGAATTATAGATTGTGTGAGAAAGTTGCCATTCATCTGGCCCAGAAGCAAAGCTTTCGTGGACAGGAGTCCACCTTGGCAGTTAATGACTGAAACTTGCAGGTACAAAACGCTGCTTTCTAGCACGTCTTCACTGCCATCTTGTCTGATGGGGCGGGGGCGGGGGAGCATGGTGTTCTGTGAGGTCAGTGGACTCTGTAGGGATGGAGGAGGGAACAGGAAGTTCTTACCGGGGGATGATGGGAGGCAGGGTTAGTTCCTTCTGTTTGTTGACAGTAAATAAAAATCTGGGGTTGCTTTGATCAAAAAGCCCCTTTTCTGGAAACAATTCTTGGCTCTGGTTTTGAGACCTCACCTCAGAGACCCTCCTCACCTTAGCACAGTCCGCTCTGGCAGCTGAGACAAGGCCCCCACCCCAACTCCCCCCAGGTTGTGTTGGGCTGAAGCCCTTGCAGAGAGCTGCCCGCTGCCCTTGTCTGACTCGGTTTACCCTTGAAGTCAGGGAGAGACCATGTGCTTACAGCATCCTCTGCCGTGGGCTAGAGAAATTTATGATGGAAGGATCTCTAAAGTCAGGTGTGAAGTACAAGTGCACACGCTCTCCCTCACGTGGGGACCGGGAAAGTTCAGCAGGCCTAGCCTCGGGCTACACCCAAGGTTGTAAGTTACCAGTTCGCTTTTACTTTCACTTCAGATTTGATCTTAGTTCATTCTGTGGGTGATTCTCCGAGTTCCTAGTAGCAGCATTTGTGTTGTGTCCTAAATAGTGGTGTGGGTCAGAAACTTAGATGGCTACTATGTTGGGCTTCTCTCTCGCCAGCCAACAATAGTACTGTCCCTGCCCAGGCCTGTACTGCTGTTGGGAATCATGAATGACCCGTAGTGGCTGTGTGATCATTGGGGGCCCCGTGGTATAGCAGGTAGCCATGCCGCACTCTCTTCCTGCTCCCAGCTGATGGAGTCTGCTTAACTGGTAGGCCAGTCATAGCACCAGCAGTCTTACCAGCACACAGATGATGCCACTTGCTTCCATGGAAGAGGCACTTAACTGGCCTGGCAGTCACCCTGGCCAACTGGGTGTGTCCCAGCTCAGGTCAGGGGCCTCCTCCTTGTCTTCCTGAAATAGAAGCAGCCCTGTGTTTAGAATCTCCCTTCCTTTCTTTCACCTCAGGTGAATTGGTCTCAAAGGAAGTGTTTGCCGGTTGCCTCTGCCTTAGGTGATGCATCTAGTGGCTCACTAACCCCACTTCACTGGGTTGGAGCTTGCTGGTCCTGCATGGTTTTGGCATTGTAGGTTTCGGGGCTCTTTCATGAGGGTCTCCCTCCCATGATAGGTGTTTTTCCATTTGTGTTTCAATGCTGGTAATCAAGTAGGGGCCTTCCTTCTGCCAGGGCCTTCCAGGATGCCTCTCGGGGGCTATGTTGAAAGGAGCTGGGTTATTTCCCACTCAGCAGAGTGGCCTTTAGCTGCTGGGTGCAAGTGCCGGAAGCCGTCTCTCTTTCCTGGAGGAACTCTGAGCTGATTTTCTCCTGTGCGCCATGAGGAAGCCCTCCTCTCCGAAATCTCTTCCCCAAAATGTGTGTCTCTTGCTTGAACCGTGCCTCCTCTCCAGTGAGCCTGGAAACCAGTGCTGGCCCCGCCTGAGCACCGTGTTACCTTGTATTTCCTCTGCAGTTACACGGACACGGAACAGTACGAGGAAGCAGTTCGGGACTACGAGAAGGTGTACCAGACGGAAAAAACAAAAGGTAAAGGAGGCGTGGGGCATCACTTCTCGGGGACAGTGTGGTCCTGCATGTAAGCACTGACATGGAACTGAGGGGTTGGGCTGTACCTGGAGCTTCCGTTTGGCCACTGGCCAGGAGCAATGAACTAGACGGTGTGTCAGGACACAAAGGACTGTGTTCTGACCCCAGAGCCTCCCGGGCACTTTCACTTCCTGTCCTGTGCCATGAGGCTGATGTGAGGAACCCAGACACTGAGAGCCCCTGGTGTGGGGAACCAGGCTTGGCACTCCTGTGGTTCCAGGAGGTGACCCAGCAGGAGGAACTGGAATCAGATGGTTCCATTGATGCTGGGTGTCTCCCTCTAGAACACAAACAGCTCCTCAAAAATGCACAGATGGAACTGAAGAGGAGTAAGAGGAAAGATTACTACAAGATTTTGGGCGTGGACAAGAACGCTTCTGAGGATGAAATCAAGAAAGCTTACCGGAAGCGGGCTTTGATGCACCATCCAGGTAGAGCTGGGAAGACTCAGTGGGAAGAATGCATAGCCGGGCCCAGGGCTGAAGCCTGGGAGAGCAGCTGCTGCTGGGAATAAGATGCTAGTGGGTTCTCTCCCTGACAACTTCCAAGAAGTTCGAACTTCCAAAATCAGCATCATACGATCTTGATCTTAAACTTTGTTTCCTTGAGGCTCATCTGTGTCTTCTGCCGCTGCCTCTTTAGATCGGCACAGTGGAGCCAGTGCTGAGGTCCAGAAAGAAGAGGAGAAAAAGTTCAAGGAAGTTGGAGAGGCTTTCACCATCCTCTCTGACCCCAAGAAAAAGACGCGCTATGACAGCGGCCAGGATCTGGATGAGGAGGGCATGAATATGGCTGGTGAGTTGCTCGGGGCGGCCTGGGTCACTGTGGTGGCTATGGAACGCTGGAGCTTTTTCTGAAGACATTCCAGGAGGAGGAGCTGTGTCACCAGCCAGGGCCTCTGGGACATGTGCCAGCCCCCTTCGTGTGTGTCTGTAGGGCATAAGGCACTAGAGGTAATAGTAACAGCTCCTTTCCCCAGGCTCCAGGAACACAAGGTTAGGGGCTTGCAGACTCAAACACCGAGGTTCAGTTTGATGCATGATCTTGACAGGGTTATAGGCAGTGCAATCACACCAGTGCTATCAGCTAAGGCAGCTGTATAGGGGAGAACCAGCAGCGGCAGGCTTGGAAGGGCCTAAAAGCACGGCGCTAGGAGACCGCAGGGTTAGGGCACTAGAGGCAGGTGAGAGACGAAGCCAGCGAGTCACTTGGATGCCTTTAGAGCTAGGGTGTTAACAAATGTTTGCAAGAGCCAGAGCTGGGCCATGTCAAAGCCAAAAGTCTGGGCCCAGTGTGGTAGCCTAGTGGCTAAATCCTCACCTTGAATCCACTGGAATTCCATATTGGCGTTGGTTCATGTCCTTGCTGCTCCACTTCCATCCAGCTCCCTGGAGGATGGTCTAAAGTCTTGGGACCCTGCACCTGCGTGGGAGTCCCAAAAGAAGCTCCTGGCTCCTGGCTTCAGATTGGCTCAGCTTCGGCTATTACAGCCACTTGGGGAGTGAGCCAGCAGAAGGAAGAACTTTCTGTCTTTCCTCCTCTCTGTAAATCTGCCTTTCCAATAAAAAAATAAATCTTTAAAAAAAAAGAAGAAAGAAGCTAGGAGCCTGGAATTCCATCCAGGTCTCCCACGTAAGTGGCTGGGGCCCAGGCACTTGGGCCATCTTCTGCTGCTTCCCCGGGCATGTTAGCAGGGAGCTGGATCAGAAGTGGAGCACTGGAACTCAAAGCAGCACCATGTAGGATGATGGTGTCACAGGCAGTGAGTGGCTCAGTGTGCTGCACCACAATGCACAATACCAGCCCCTGGAAATAACTGTGATGGGGAAGAGGGGGTGCAGAATGGAAGATACAGCAGGTAGGAAAGGCCTGGGGGGTGGGCAAAACAACATGACTTTGGCCAGGAAGATGAGCTATGCAGGGAAAGGGGAAGATGCTTTAGGACACCATGTGGTAGCTGATGGAGCTACGTCCACCTGGCACAACTTGGAACATCCACGTCCCAGAAGTGCCTGGGTCTGTCCTGGTGTCTCTGCTTCCTACCCAGCTTCCTGCTGGTGCCTCGTACCAGATGAAAGCCCAAGTGCAAGGGCTCCTGCCATCAGTGTGGGCCAGCCCTGCCTGTTGCGGCATTTTGTGAACCAGAGGACAGAATTACACATGTGTCTGTCTCACTGTGCATTTAAGTAGATGAAAAAGAAAAAAATGGGGGTGGGGTTCTCAGAGCCAGGTGAGAGTGTTTCCTGTTCTGGGTGTCTTGAGCAGGTGACTTAATCCCCCTGTCTGACATTGTTTTCCCTGACAAGCTGTTGCAGAGTACCCAGCCACAGGAGTGGAACCTAGCAGGTGCTAGCTTTTCTCCTGGTTAAAGTGGGTGGAGTGCTAGACATTCAAGCAAGTACAGTGAGGCATAGCTCACTGTAGGGCCGGTTAGCCTTTTCAGTGGCAGCCCCAGCTTTATGGGGCCAGTAAGTCTTACAGAGCAGGGACATTCCCAGTGATTGAGAAGATGGGCCAGCAGAGCGAGTTGAGGCCGAGAAGGCTTTCCTTTGGGAGAGAGGGGGGCACATCCCAGGAGTGGGGTCTGGCAGGGTGTCTATCACAGAGGGTCCGGCTACTGTGCCCACCTCTTGTCTGATGTGGGGATTGGGGGCAGTGGTCCGACTGGGAAGGCTATGGAGTGCTTGAGATACCCTCCTGACATTTCTGATTGTCCCACCTTCTGTCTCTTCCCTGATCCCCTGCCGCACAGACTTTGACGCGAACAACATCTTCAAGGCGTTCTTCGGAGGCCCTGGGGGCTTCAGCTTTGAAGGTGGGTGTGTTCCTAGATGTTGAAGCCACATACTTGCCCTGGGTGGCTGGGGATGGGATGGGGGCACTCGGGAATGGAGAAGCTGCCCTCGAAGTGCTTGCCCTCTCCCTCTGAAGCAGGCCTTGGAGGCTCCTTGCCATCCCTAGAAAAACCCACAGTGCGCACCGACTCACAAACCCTTTTCTCCCTTCCCAGCGTCCGGCCCAGGAAATTTCTTTTTTCAATTTGGCTAATGAAGGGCAGCCACCCCAAACCCAGAAGATGCGGACTCGCTCAGTTTAATCTTGAATGTGGACATACTTCACCTCCTCCCTTCATCTTGTCTCCGTGTACTTAGAGCAGTTTGGTTTTCATACTTGGATCCCATGTCTGTGTGATTGGGTGAAGGAAAAGGAGCCAGCGCTGAAGACTATGGGGAAGGGAGGGAGGCAGCTTGTGAATTTTTGTTTTACTGTTTAACTTTATTAAAAAAGAAGAGAATAAAATGTTTTGACCCTCTCTGGCCATTGGCTCTAGCAGGCTTCTTCTTGCTTCACAGTTGATAGCCAGAGCTGAGCCCCCAGCACGGGCCTGGTCCTGACTCGGAGCCAGAGACCCAGGTTGTGGCCACACAGCAGGTGTGGTGCCCGGTGGGTTGTGAACACCTTCCCACACCTGGTTATTAGCACAGGAACGCCAGGCAGGCCAGAGAGGGGTCTCCCCTGTCTGATCTCCTGCTCCTGGCTCTGGACTATGGACACATGACCGAGCAAAGCCCGAGAAGGTGAAGTCCCACGTGGCTCTTCAGGCCCCAGCTCAGCACTGTGTCCCTTGTTTGGAAGAGGCACCGGTGGCCTTCCCTAGAGAATGGAGTACAGCAAGCAACCTGAAATCTTAACTGTGACATTTTTTTGAAGGGACTGGGCAGGGATGCTGTGATTAATGGGGATGAGCCCCCAGGCAGCCCCCACTTCGGCGAGCATCCAAGGCCAGCCTCTTTCGTTTCTGCCACCTCATGAAAGCCAACACTGTTCCACTGCCCAGCCTCGCCACAGCTGTGCCCAGCCAGCAGAGGGGAGACAGGACCGATGGCCCCGAGCTGGGGGACAAAGCCAGTCCTAATCAACCTAGCCCTAGCCCCAGGGAAGACAGAGCTGGACACAGAGGGCGAGAGAGATTACGCACAGCCAGGATTAACGAGATTTATTTCATTGTAAGTCATTCCAGTTGCCGGGGTTGGGCAGAGCCAGGAGGGTAACGTAAATTCCAAGCACTTTCTGTAGACAACCTGATTAGCAAGGTCCTGTTACTGAGCAGAAGGAGGTGGGGGGCACCCCATAACACAGCCCATGTGGCAATGTTGAAAACCTCTTCCCAGCTCAAGGTCTGCCCCCTGGCTCTTGGTGCCTGCCAGCCCCCTGCCAAGAGGACACCATGGGGGCAAGATGTTCAGACAGGAGCAAGCCTGGGGCTCCCCGCCAGCACACTGTCTCTGGTGTTAACACATCAGAGCCACAGGACACCACTGGACCGGCCAGCCCATCATCGCCTTCCTGGGGCTCTTCCTGTTCTGTTTATTTCCCCAGTTATCTAATTATTACCATTTCTACCCTGGCAAATGGCCCCATCCCGCCCAAGGCTACAGTGATTAATAAATGGAGTCAAAAATCCAGGGTTTCTCCCAAAGCCACTGCTCTTCCAAGGCAATGGATGCCTGCCCCTCCCACCACCCTGCCCACTGCCTTGCACCTCCCTCAGCGGGTTAGTGAGACGGCAGGGACCTCCCCCAGCCAATGTGGATCTGGGCAAGGGGTGGGCCCACCAACACCTGGAAGAGGATAGGGTTTGGGGTGCTGGCTGCAGCTCCAGGCCCAGCGCGGCCCAGCCTCATCAGCTCTGGTGCTGGTTCCTGAAGGTGCCTACTCACCCCACCCCCCTTGTGTTTAGCTCCTATTAAAGGGCAAGGATGTGGGGCGGGGCGGACACTGGGAGGGAGGCAGTTATATTACAAGTTTCCAAAAAGTTGCGGGCAGGTTAACTTTTGAGTATAAAAACAAAAAAGGAATCTTAAAGACCAGGGGAAAAGGCACCTTTTCCTCTCCCCCCACTTGAACATGCTCAGATGATGGTGCAGGCCTGCAAGGTGCCCCCCTTGCGGCTGCCGTGCGTTGGCACAGGCTTGCCCTTGCCGTAGTAGCCAGTGAAGATGGCCCTCACCTCCATCTTCTTGGCCAGGCTCAGCATCCAGCGCCCACTGCCCAGGGAGTAGAGCTTGCCCCTGCTGAGCTCGCCCACCTCCTCACCGCGGCTGCCCCCCTTCTCCTGCCGCACAATCTCCAGGAGGTCGATGCCCGTTTGCACAGCTTCCACGTCGGCTGCGCAGCCCAACGTGATGTGTGCCCGACTCCCCCGTGGCAGGTTGTCAGAAGGGGACACCTTGTCCACATCGCTCGGCCACAGCAGCAGCTCCTGCTCATTCAGCTCCACCCGGGCCCCGGCTGTCTTGGGTGTCACGAAGAGGGCAGAGATGGTCAGTGTGAAGGCTTTGCAGTAAGACTTCTTCACCACCTAGAAGGCCAAGAGGGAAGAGGGGACCTGAGCTGGAGGCTTGCGATCACGGGGCGTGGCAGACCAGGGCTCCATCACTCCCAAGAGAGACGAGCGCAGGTGTGCAGAGGAGATAGCTGTGCCTGGCCCTGCTGGCAAAAGCGGGAGAGCAGGTGACAGGCAGGCTGGGAGCTGAGAGCCCAGGCCTTGGCTTATAGCCTTGGGGCCTTTAGCACTGTGTGGCACCTCCAGGTCTTGTGAGTTGGGCTAACCCTCAGCGCTAACAGGAAGCTCAGGTGACCGCTGCCGAGCTGTTAATGGCCATGGCTCTGTATCCAGGCAGCGGGTGCCCTGCAGGGCATGGTGAACTCAGACATGTCCTTGTCCAAATCCACTGTCCCCTTTGGCTTACGTCAGATTCCATGGCCTCACTGGCTATACATCTGATTCTTTGAGAAGGGCCATCTCTCACTGGCCTGTAAAGGCATCTCTAGGTTCCCTCACAAACCCTTGTCCCAGCAGTAATGGAACAGGTCTCTAATAAACGTTGCTAGATGAAGAAGTGGATACAGCTGGCAGTGCCACTGATTCACTCTAAGGGGCAAGGGTGAAAAAAAAATTAAGGGCTTCTCAACCTCAGGAATCGGAGGAGGGCAGTGAGCAGAATGGCTGCCTTAGCCAAAGCAGAGAAGAGGGGACACAGGGAGGGTCAGGGAGGGTCTCCCTGAGGAGGCTGGGATCGAAAGGTCACATCCTCTGAGGGCTTAGAGGCATGGGAGCCCTGCACTGGTGTGTGTATGGGGGTAGTGAGCTCCACTGCCCCATGACTCCCTGGGGCCAGGGAACGGACTTCCAGCCTTTGGGACAAAGACAGACTTGGAGAGGTGAGGGCAGCAGCCTGCTGTGTCCACCCATTCTTGATCCACAGAAGGAGGCGGCACTCTGGGCGGGCTGTGGGAACCAGGTGACTCGGCCAGGAAGGAGGAGCTGCTGTCTGGTTTCCGGCCCAAGTCCCCATCTCCAAAGGGCACTGCAGTCCCCTTGCCCCCAGCTCCCCACCCCACCCCAGCGGAGCACCCCTGGGGAGAACTCACCTCCTGCTGGGCATACTCCTCAGCCCCAGCAGCCTTCCCGTAGTCGCAGAACTTGGTGGTGCAGTGCAGCACGCCCGGGGGTCTCTTCCCAAAGTAGCTGACCAGTTCCACCTTCTCCTTGGGCTCATCCCCGGGGATGACTGCAGGGAGGGGAGGGTGGTCAGGGCAGGCCAGGGAGTCCCAGGCGGGGAGGCACAGCTAGTCAAGCATACATGCATGAGCAGCTCCCCATGGTTCACACTCAGCAGCTGGACAGAGTCCTGGCAAGCATCTGCACCCCCTAGCCCTGCGGGGTGCATTTTTTACATCCCTTCTCCAAACCCTTAGGCACCTGTGTTCCAGGGATAGGCAATGCAGGTACAGCAAGGAGAGGAGCAGTCCTGAAAGCGGGGGTGAGGGGGATGAAGGATGAATGGGGTCAGGCAGTGGGGACCGCTGGAAAGAGCCAGAAACCCGCTCACTGGCTTGGGATGGACAATGGATCCTTCTGTCAATCCAATAAGACAACATGCCCAGGGCACTGTACCAACTACTGGTGCTGCCCCATCTCTTCTGGATCCATTTAGGGAGGTAACTGCTGGCTTGGTGGAAGAGTCTACAGAGGATGTGCCCGGTCCAGGGGTGCTCTAGTATATGCTGGGGTAACACTGTGTAGCTGGTAGGCAGCCTCCAGTCCCCAGCCCTGCAGCCCCCAGCTTTTACTAAAAGGAGCACATTAAAGACTTCTACTTGGAAAGCAGGCCTTGTCCTCAGCCATCGCCCAAGCAGAAACGCCTTCCAGCTGTCCACAGTTGCCATGCAAGGCAAGGCTGCCAGCTCTGACCCGGAGCCCTGCCTCACTGTCCTCCCCTAGTCCAGACCTGGCAGGCTCAGTCCCAGCCACTGTCGCTGCAGGGTACTCTGCAGTCTTCTCCGAGACCTCCTACAGGTACGACATGAGCTGATGGACACGTGGGCAGACTGTTCCAAGGAGGACGGTATCTAGAACTCGGGCATGTCAGAAACGGCACCTGGGCACGTACAAGGGTGACAACCCCAGGGGCCTCTTCAGAAGGACAAGGGCCACCGGAGCTTCTCTTATCCCAAACCTGCCCTCTGTCTGGGGCAAAGGCCTTTGCTGGGAGAGACCCTACAGCAGTGGACGCAGCCAGGGCTCCAGCACACAGCTCCTAAGCCCACTCTGGGCCCAGCTTTCCATCTGGAAGGCCAAGAGTTTGGGACCAACTGTGACTGGCATTTTCCAGAGTTGAAGGATACCACCGGGATGCGCTGGGTGGCCTACAGCCTGGGAACCATCCCTAGCAACACCACACAGTCCCGGCTTTCATGTCTGCAGCTTACATTTGCACAGTTATGCTTTTTTTCAGCTACTGACCCTGAGTATGAAAACACTGCCAGCTCCTCCCCTCCACAGGAACACATTCATTATCTGAGTACCAATCCAGATCCAGGCCGGGGGAAGGGGCTTGGGAGCAGAGGACAGGAAGGGCACAGGGAAGCACCTCACTCCACATTCCCATCACTGTCACTCCCACTGCCCAAGGCTACCTCCCCTGTCCCGCTTCTGCCCATTCCACCCTTTCCAAGTGCAACAAGCACCCCACGCCCCCACCCTGACCACGCACAGTGCCGAAGCTCCTTCTTAAAGGCTTTGTGGCCGCTCAGCTCCTCCAGGAAGACCTGGCCAGCTTTGCGGAGGCTCTCGGAGCTCTTCTTGGTCAGGAACCAGCCGAAGAAGAGCGGCAGGAAGTCCTTCTCCAACCCCGGCTTGAGCTTCTTGAGCTCATCGGCCGACAGCTGCCACTGACTCTTCTCCTTGAGCTGGGCACAGTCCAGGCGCCAGGCCGTCTTGGGTTCCACCAGCACCACCTGGTACTGGTACTGGTCAGCCACCTCAAAGAGCTGCTCCAGCCGCTCCCGCTCATGGTGGGTGTCATCCAGCACCAGGACGCGCACGTCGCGGCGGCAGTAGGCCGCCAGGTCTTCATCCAGCCGCTTGTACTCCTCTGGGAAGGTGGTGCGTGTGCCGGGGGTGATCTTGTAGCTGTCAGCAGACACCATCTTGGTGCCATCCCGGTACTTGTCCACGATGAGCCGCGCCAGCGTGGATTTGCCGCTTCCTGGCAGCCCACGCAGGATAAAGAGTGTCTTGCACTCATGCAGCGTGGCCACCGTGTCCTCATCCTGCAGGAACGGGAACTGCAGCTCAGGCTGCTCCTTGGGCCCCGAGGAAGACATTTTACGGAAAAAGATCTTGGGCAGGAAGGTGTGGCTCTTTCGGGAGAAGCCTCTGCTCTGTGTGAGGAGGGGGAAGAAAGGAAACATCAGCCAGCTGTGCCCCAGTGGCTACCCCAGCCGCGGCTACCCCAGCCGCTTCGTCCCCTGCTCCTTCCCCGAGCCCAGAATGCCAGGAACCCTGGAGCCAAGTAAGCACCTCCCCAGGCAAGGCAGGGGTGCCCACCTACTGCCAGCTGTGCAAGATAGGGCGAGAAGTGCAGCTGTGCCTCTGAACAGCACAGAGGGCAGAAGTGCAGGCAGGGCCGACCCTGGGGCCCGTGGGTCTGGCACTGGCCTGGCACCTGTGGAAACTGTGTGCCCTCCCTGAAGGCCCGGGGCTTCTCTCTCTTTCTGGCCACGGCTTCAGCTGCCCTGGCTCTAATACAGAGTTGGAGTGGAGGAGGGTGACCCAAAGACTGACTCCCTTCCTCCCCCCAACAATGGCCGCAACAGATAATACTCTCTTGTCTGCCTTTGGGGGGGGACACAATGGTCCCACAGAATAGCTGGTGGGGGGCAGGGCGGGAGAGCACTGGACAAAGAGCCTCATTCACCGCCTGCCACCTCCTCCACTGCCCGCTCCCAGGCCCCCACAAAGTTGCCATCTTTGTGCCTGCCTCAGGACTGGGCAGCACCGGGCACCTGTGTCATGGGGTTGGCTCCGTTGGTGCCGCTTCCCCAACAGTCAGCAGCACTTCTCCAAGCCATCTGTCCTCCCTCCCATCTACTCAAAAGCCACAGGTGACAAAAGGCCTGGACCGCTTCTCACAGCAGTCCAAGGGCCCAAGCAGACACAGCTTCATCGGGCAGACCTTGCGCCTGTGCCTCCATGCACCGCTCCTGGCCACGTCCAAGCCACCCCCAGGTCGCCCCAGGACACCGCTGGACTCTGCAGTGGCTGGGGTCCTCCCTCACCGGGGATTCTCCAAACGCTTCCTTCAGACGCCCGGCTCCAGCTCCCCTGCCCAGGACTCCCGCAACCCCTACCTGAGGGCTGTGTTGCAGGAACTCTTGCTTCCAGCCCCGGGGCTCGTTTACATGCCACTTCCTCCCGAGAGTCTCCAAACACCCCCGATTTCCGTTACGAAAAAGCCACCCCCACTCCACCACCCGATGCCCAGCCAGGCCTCCTCCCCGGCCCCCAGCCGTGCGCTCACCATGATGAGGGGGCGCCGCCGTCGCCGCCTTTGCGGGCACTCGCGCTCCGGGCCACCCGCCTGCGCCACGCGAGCCTCTCGGTGGCGGGTGCGCCCCTGGCCACGCGGCCTTACATAGCCCGGAGGGCGGGCCCGGCCCCTGTGCGCGCAGGCGCCGGAAAGCGAAACTCAGGCTCGGGTCGACCGCCCCGCCCGCCGCCTCGCACCTGCTCAAGGAGAGCTGGTGAAACACGGATGCCGGCGTCAGCACCCGGCATGATTTAAACTTGGCTACTTTGTTTGTCGTGGACTTGGGCGTTAGGTTCCACTTTTCACCACCAACACTTTTTGTTTTGTTTTGAATCTGGTACTGCAATAAACGATGCGTCTGCCTGAAACCCTGCACTCGCGGCCCCCTGGTTCCGCTCCGGGGGGGCGCCCGGGTGGCCGTGGGCACTGGACGAACCCCGCGGCGACCCCGATCTCCTCTCCTCCTTCTCCGGGTTCGTGGGGCCCGAGGGCTTTCACCGCCATCCTGCTTGGGGCTCGGAGGGGTTGACCAGTGGGACCTTGTCAGCCTACCCAGCATTCTGGGCTCGATCCTCCACCATCCCCCAACTTCAGCACTTCCAACAGTGGGGAGCGGCCAAGCCAGACTTGGGGCGGGGATTAAACGGACTTTTAATGGAGAACAGAGAGAGAGGGAGAAGGGTAGTTGACCCACGGGAGACTGTCACCCATCGCGGCGGCAGGGTCCCCCTCACGCCTGATCCACCTCCCCGCTGTCTGCTGTGGTTTTCGCGTCTCCCGTTTCTCCCGTTTCTCCCGATTCTGTGGGCCCCGGCTCCTCCAGACTTCCCGACTCCTTTCTGCCGAGTTCTTCCAGGAGCACCTGCTCCAGCTCGCCGGAGGGCCGCCGGTAGATCTCTCGGGACTCCCTGCGGCCCAGGTCCACTCGGGGGGCCTCGCCCACCGCCTTGAGGCCTTGGTCCGCCTCCTGGCTCTCCCACTGGGTCACGCTGGATGGCGCCTCCGGGAGATCCTCCTCCTCTTCTTCCTCCATCTCCCTCTCGCTCTCTATCAGTTCTCTCTCCCACCGCTTCACCACCTTCTCCAGGTCTTCGCGCCCTCTCTTCAGCTCCCGCCCCTTGGCCTTGGACGCTTTCTCTTCTGGGGGTACTGCCACAATCTCTTCTGCAAAAAAGAGACGGGAGGGAGGGAAGTCGGCAGAAAGGGTGTCCTCGCCCAGGCTGGAGGAGGCCTGGGCGCCCCCAAGGACTCTCAAGAGTTTTTTAAACTGGAAGCATCGCGGAGCCTGGGTGTCATGGCTGGGGTAGGGGAGATTATGGCATTTGCTTCTCACTCAACTGCCCTATGTCACTGATCCAGGGTCAAAGTCACAGAGAGAGTAGAGGGTCGAGCTGGGACACTTGCGCCCACAGACACTTCCTTTTTCCTTGCAAGAAGCAGGCTGGAGGTGGGGACCGCCTCTCCACCCCCGCCCCGCCAGGGACCCTCCTTTGCGCATCCTTAGGTCCTTCCTTATTTGCTGGGAGGGAGGGATCTGTAAAAATAGCAGCAGGCTGCCAGCAGGAAGTTGAACTGGAACTGAAACTAAGGCCTCTCACAGTTCCATCCCTTTCGGGTCGGCCTGCTCTCCCTGGAGGCCCCCAGCGCCTCCTAGCAGCCTGCAGGTCTCTAGCTAGATCGCCGGCGCTGAAGGTCTGTGCTCCACTGGAGTTGAAACTAGGAGCAAAGCTGCCACCTGCTGTTCAGAGTGGGAAGTGCGCAGCAGCTGCGGGCACTTGGCTGGCACCTGAGAGCAGGTGCTGCTGGGAAGCTGCTCTGGCTTTTCAGAGCCGCGTTGGAGGCACCCAACATATACTTGCCGAGGGGACCTGGCAGGTGCTGAACCATACAGGGATGTTGGGTGCCATGCTGGGGCCAGAGAGCCAACTTGGAGCCTGAAGGGCTGTAGTCAGGAGCTGTCCGTCTCTGCCCACTAGATCTCTCGCTGCCATATGGTGGGAGCTGAGACATCACACAGCAGCTGGGCAGAAGCTGTCAGCGGGCTTCCCTATACCCTGACTGCTCCTGGCCCCTCATGCCCCGCTCACTCAGAGGAGCCTGGAAGAGCATGGTGGCAGGAATGCAAGGGGTCTTTACTCCCTGGAGGCCTTGAGAGAACCAGGTGGTGCAGCCCAGCCTGAGAAGCACACAGAAGCCCCCTCACCATGCAGCCTTCCCCACTGCCCATCCCACCCCTTCCTCCCTCTGACCACAGGGAGACAGCTCACCTTGCTCAGCTCCCCTTCTCTCCAGACTGTGAGGACTGAAGGGCCTGTCCTCACCCCCCACACGTTGTGTGTGGCAGGTGGCTGTCACTGCTGCTGCCCACCCCTGGTGCACCTACCCCTGCTTCCTGCTGTATTCCATTTACAAAGCTCCCGGGCATCTTTATGAGCCGGGGGCAGCTGATGCTTCCTCTCTGGAACCCTCCATGTCTACCAGGAGCACATGGGGGTGTGCAGGTCCCTGGTGGACCTCCTTGCCTGCTGCACACACTCTAATAACCCTGGATGACCAAACCCAAGAAATGCACCAGCCAGCTGTTCGGTCACAGCCCTAGCGCTTGCCTCAGCCCTGGCTGTCCTCCCTGTCCCACCCCAGGAAGACAAGCTGGCCACGCCCTCCTCCTCTCAGGAGCGGCAGGCAGCCATGCCTGGAACTCACCTCGCTTTTCCTTGAGAGTCTCTCTGTAGTTGGTTTTCTTCAGTTCCTCAATGATGCCCTTGTTGGCATCATCCAAGGCCTGCGGACAGCAGAGGGAGCAGTGAGTTCTTTGCATGCGTGCTTGGCCCCTGTGGCCACCCCACTCAGAAGGCAGACTGTGTTGTGGCTGGACCACCTCACCCGTCCCCGAGGACTCCACCACGCAGGACGCCTACCATGACGTTAAGTTATCCTGCCTGCTCACCAACAGGGTATCAGCCATGCTAAGAGGCCCAGACCCTTGGCAGCCAACTTCATTCAAACCCATTTCTCTGAGGCTTAGGCTTGTCTTTGGAAGTTGTATCTGTCTACTAATGTCTATCTTTTATTTCTTTGTATTTCTCCCTTTATAAAAGATTTATTTATTTTATTGGAAAGTCAGATTTACAGAGAGAAGGAGAAACAAAGAGAAAGATCTGTCCACTGGCTCACTCCCCAAGTGGCTGCAACAGTCAGAGCTGAGCTGATCTTAAGCCAGGAATCAGGAGTTTCTTCCAGGTCTCCCACAGGGGTGCAGGGTCCCAAGGCTTTGGGCTATCCTTGACTGCTTTCCCAGGCTACAAGCAGGGAACTGGATGGGAAGCTGGGCTGCCGGGATTAGAACTGACGCCCATCTGGGATCCTGGAGCATGCAAGGTGAGGATTTAGCCATTAGGCTACTGTGCTGGGCTTTCTTTGTATTTATTTATTTGAAAGGCAGAGTGACAGAGAGGAAGGGAGACAGAGAGGGCCACAACGCCTGCAGCTGGACCAGGCTGAAGCCAGAAACTTGGAACTCTATCCAGGTCTCCTAATGGGTAGCAGGGGACCCAAGCACTGAGCCATCATGTGCTGCCTGCCAGGTATCTTAGCAGGAAGCTGGATGGGAAGTGGAGCAGTGGAAACTTGAACCAGAATCCCAGTATGGGATGCAGGTGTCTCAAGCAGCAGCTCTACCTGCTCATAATGTCTCCTTTTTACCTGAAGCTGCTCTTGGCTTCAGTTCATGGAACAAGATCATTGAAGTCACTAAGCACTCAAGGAGGCAGCAGGCCAAGGAGGGGCCTGGACACAACCTGGGAGCTGGCTGGGGGCTCTTTTCCTCTCACTGCCCCGTGCCCCTGTGGTGCTGCTCCTGGGACAGGCCCAGGCCCTACACCTTTGGGTTCAGCATTCCAGGAGTCACCCTGTTGTATGCTTCTGTGGGAGACAGTGAAAGGGAAAGACCAGGTACGTGGAGAGGGAGTAAGACTCAGGGGAGTAGGGGCTCTTGGGGAGGGGCAAAAAGACAAAAGACAAAGCTAGGCTACCCACAAGGGTACGTGTGGCTGGCCCCGCCATCACAGGCCAGTGGACTCTGTCCCAGTGCTCCCAGGGAACCCGTGTCTCCCTGGGACCCAGGCCCTGAGTTCTTCCATCACAAGCTCTTGCTTGGTGCCCATGGCCTTGGGCCTCAGTGCAGCACGTGGTGACCCAGGGCCTTCAGTTCCTGTTGCCCTGAGAGCGACATGAGGGAGCTTCTGGCTCCTGCGTTGAGCCCTGTTCAGGCTCTGCTCTTGTGGCTGGCACATGCAAAGCTCATTCTCTCCCTCTGACCCCATGATTCTGCCACTCAAACAAATAAATCAATATTTTAAAACTGCACAGAATGGGTTAAACTGCTGTTTGCGATGCTTGTACCTCTTTAGGGAGCACCTGTTTGAACCCCAGCTCCTGGGACTGTGTCAGGGGAAGCAATGGAACTGGCCCTGTTGTTGGGCCCCTGCACCCACATGGCAGACTTGGAGGAAACTCAGGACCCAAAGCTTCAGCCTGGCCCAGCCTGGGCCTTTGTGGTCATTTGGGAAGTGAGCCAGTAGATGAAAACATTCTCCCTCTCTCCTAGTCTCTCCTTTTCTCTAAAGTCTGCCTTTCAGATAAACACACTCTCTCTTTTTTAAATATGTCTAATTGAAAAGCTGTGTAATGGGCCAATAGACTTCAAAAATTTTTTGCAGGTGCAGCGAAGTAGCCTAGTGGCTAAAGTCCTCGTCTCGCATGCCCAGGATCCCAGATGGGTGCTGGTTCTAAAATCCCCACGGGCCTACTTCCCATCCAGTTCTCTGCCTGTGGTCTGGGAAGGCAGTTGAGGACGGCCCAAAGCCTTGGAACCCTGCAACCGTGCGGGAGACCCAGAAGAGCTCCTGGCTTCGGATTGGCTCAGCTCTGGCTGTGACAGCTGCTTGAGGAGTGAACCATCAGACGGAAGATCTTCCTCTCTGTCTCTCCTCCTGTCTGTATATCCACCTTTCCAATAAAAATAAACCTTAAAAAAATAAATATATATTTTTTATATCTTAATATTTTTTTGCTCCAAAATAAACTTACCTTTTTCCTTTATTTTGTCAGGAACTTCAGGAAGTTCCCTTCATGCTTTGTGTTGCTACACAAGCCGCTCACAGAAGCAGGCAGAATGACCTCTGCTCTACCTAGCCCACCCCTGTGGTTAGTACCGGGGCAGGGTGGGAGGGGAGGGGGGCACCTCAGGGTGGAGCGGGGAGGGGGTAGATGGGGGACTAAGAGTCCTGAGGGGAGGGAATGGTTGGGGAGGTGGGCTGAGAACCCCAGGGGGAGGGACTGGTTGGATGGAAATGGGGGCTGAAAGCAGGCGGGGTTGGGGGAGAGGGGGCTGAGAGCCGGGGGCGGGGAGAGGGGCGGAGGGCTCACACTGATGATGGCCTGCTGTGCTTCGGTGTTGTGCACCAGCTTCGCCCGCTCCAGGGCCTTCTCGAAGTTGTTCACGGCTGACTCGAAGTCTCTCAACTTCACTGAGGAGCAAGGTGAGAAGGCACAGCACAGACAGGAGGTGACATGTGGGTACTGAGGGATGTAGCTGGGTTGGGAGCCAGGGAGGGCAGGGCTCAGCCTGCCGCTACAGCCTCATCCCAAATGGAGCGGCTCAGCAGCCACCTCTCCTGCACGCTCCTGGGCCGCCTCAGACCAGGTGATCTGTACCCTGGCACTAAGGGGGCCCTGAGGAGGGGCTTCCCGGGAAGGGACTGGTGCACAGGGTACAGGTCTCCAGGGCTAGGGAGACTCATCTTACCACATCTTTAGATCGTTCCAGAAAAGGAAAGGCATATATACACACACACACATATATAATTATATTATTATATATTTGTGCATATTATAATAATATAATAATTATTATTAATATAAATATATTATTTATTTATTATTTGAGTTACAGGGAAAGACACAGATACATCGGCTGATTTCTTCTCTAAGTGGTCTCAATGGGCAGAACTGAGCCAGGCCAAAGCTAGAAGACCTGGGGTGAACACCATGGCTCAACAACCTAATCTTCCATCTTCAAGCGCTGGCATACCATATGGACACTGGTTCAAGTCCCAGATACTCCATTTCCAATCCAGGCCTTGGTAATGTGTCCAGTTAAGCAGCGGAGAATGGTCCAAGTCCTTGGGACCCTGAATCCATGAGGGAGACACAGAAGAAGCTCCTGGGTCCTGGCTCTAGATTGGCTCAGCTCTAGCCATTGCAGCCACTTGGGGAGTGAACCAGTACATGGAAGATCTTTTTTTTTTTTTTAAGATTTATTTATTTATTTATTTATTGGAAAGTCAGATATACAAAGAGGAGGAGAGACAGAGAGGAAGATCTTCCATTCGATGACTCACTCCCCAAGTGAGCACAACGGCCGATGCTATGCTGATCTGAAGCCAGGATCCAGGAACTTCTTCCGGGTCTCCCACACAGGTGCAGGGTCCCAAGGCTTTGGGCCATCCTCGACTGCTTTCCCAGGCCACAAGCAGGGAGCTGGATGGGAAGTGGAGCTGCCGGGTTTAGAACCAGCGCCCATATGGGATCCGGTGCGTTCAAAGCGAGGACTTAAGCCGCTAGGCCACGCCGCCGGGCCCTATGGAAGATCTTTGTCTCTCCTCTCAGTGAATCTACTTCTCAAATAAAAATAAATAAATCTTAAAAAAAAAAATGCTGGTGCCTTTATCTGGTCTCCTACATAGGTGACAGGGGCTAAGGACTTGAGCTATCTTCCACTCTTTCCAGGAGTATTCATAGAGAGCTGGCTCTGACGTGGACCAGCCTGGACCTGACTGGCACCTGTACTGGACACCAGCATTGTGGGGCAGCAGCCTTACTGGCTATGTCACAATCCTGGCCACAAAACATCTTACTCTAAATGTCATTCAGATTTCTTATACATGCAGTAGACAGCAAACTAAACATGGAAGGTGGAGACTGACGGTTGCCAGCGGGCCAACTGCCAGGATCTCAGCTTGTTCCTATCTCCTCCCACGCTGGGACAGTCTGCACCTGGAGAGGAAGGAACCAGCCGAGCGCCCTGCCCACCAGTTGATGCTGGGGCTGGGACTGACCTGATTAGCCCATGGACTGGTTGAGCTTAGTTTCAGAGGGGGAGGGAGAACACTGCCTCCTGTGGCCTCCTACCAACCCACAGCCCTTCCGCCTTGCTTGAGGCTATTCCTTAGCCAGAAGGCTCTGCCATAGCACTTGGAAAAACTGGAATTTTCTCTACTTTAAAGTTATTTGCTTAGGACCATTGTTGTGGCACAGTGCATTGAGCCTCCACGTGCAATGCCTGCATCCCATACAGGAGTGCTGGTTTAGATTCTAGTTGCTCCACTTCCAAAGCAGCTCCCTGCTAATGCACCTGGGAAAGCAGCAGCAGATGGTCCACCCACATGAGAGACCAGGATGGAGTTATAGGCTCCTGGCTTCAAATGAATCTTTTTTTTGGTAAGATTTATTTCACTTTTTTTTTTTTTTTTTGGAAAGGCAGATTTGCAGAGAGAAAGATCTTCCATCCACTGGGTCACTCCCCAAGTGGCCACAAGAGTCTTAAGCCAGGAGTCAGGAGTTCCTTCTGGGTCTCCCACATGGGTGCAGGGTCCCAAGGCTTTGGGTCATCCTCCACCGCTTTCCCAGGCCACAGGCAGGGAGCTGGATGGGAAGTGGAATAGCCAGGACATGAACTGCACCATATGGGATCCTGGCGGATGCAAGGCTATCATGCCAGATCCTCAAATGAGCCTTTAAAAATGGCACCAACCTGTTAGCTTGCTGAGTCTCAGTGCCTTCTGAAATGAGGAACTGAGACGCTGGGAGTGACCTGGAAAGCTCATGCCCCGGATTGGAGAGCCTGGTTCGAGTCCCAGCCACTCTGTTCTCCAATCTTTCTCCTAATGTGCCTGGGAGGCAGCAGGTGGCAGCTCAGAGACTTGGGACCCCTGCCACCTACGTGGGACACCTGGCTGGAATTCCAGGCTTTGTCCTGGCCCAGCCCTAGTTGCTATAGTCATTCTTTGGTTTTTAAGATAAGCTTATTTTGGTGCAAAAATTCTTGCAACCCATGCCAATGAGAGGTTTTCAAAAACTTCTTAGAAAGATGCTTGAGTGGTTGGGCTCTGATTCATCAGACTCCCTGAGTTCAAGTCCCAGATCTACTCCTTCTCCTGACTCCAACTTCCTGTAAACGTGTACCACGGGAGGCAGTAAGTGATGGCTCAAGTGATGGGTCCCTGGCACCCACACGGGAGACCAGGACTGAGGTTTTGGTCCCTGGCTTGTCCTGGCTCAGCCTCTGCCATTGGGGGTATTCGGAGAGTGAAGCAGCAGATGGAAGCTCTGTCTGTTTCTCTTTTTTTCAATGACTCTAATTAACCAATAAATTAAATATTCATTTAAATGTACATAAATAAAATGTTTAAAGTTCATGAAGTGTGCTTTCTGCTTCCTGCCTCTGCACCTGCCATCTGGTAAGCCGGCAGCAGTCATCAGACAAGGGGGCTGGCCTCCCACTCCTGTAACCTCCAACTATGAGCTGAAGGGAACTCTAATGGGAAGGGGAAAAGAAAATCTTCATGGAAAATGCTTATTATAAAACTATGCATAGTTTTCAAAATTCTGTTTCACCAAAATCAATTTCTTTTAGTTGCATTTATCTCCAAACAGAAGCACCCTCATGGGCAGGCACCATATTGAGGACCATGTGATTCGAGGCTGGTTGGCAGCTGAACTCCTCAAGGTCACGGCCAGTAGCTCCCGTGGTGCTCAACGTCCCCAACCGGTGAGCATGGTGCACCCCATGTGCCAAGCAAAATGGAATGGCTCCTCTCTGACCTGACTCCCGGCTCCCCCAGGGCTGGGAGCTGGACCCCAGGGCTGCGGAGGCTGGTGGTCTCGGCATCCCTACCTTGTGCCTGCGCCACCAGAACACTCGCGTTGAGCTGCCACTCCATGTCGCCCTCCTCCTCAGCACACTGCTGGGACTTCTCGCCGTAGTTCTGGGCCTGCCATGGTTGGTCCAGTTCCAAGTAGCAGCGGCCAATCTCGTGGAACAGCCAGGTTTTCTCCAAGGTGGTTTTGGCCAGCGGGATCTTCTCCTCCCACCTGGGGAGAGGAGGGACCAAGGTCTCTAGCCCAGCACAAGGGCCACAGCTGGGCCTTCCTGCTGGGCGCCTGTTCTACCAACCAGTCCAAGGGGAGGGTTAATAAACATGTTCATGGTTCAAAGCTCCCACAAGATATTTTGGGAAAAGCTATGGGACCAAATTCAAAGCAACAGTTGAAAATTGTGCTTAAAAGCAGCATTTGAGGAGCCGGCATTGAGGTGCAGTAGGTAAAGCCGCCACCTGCAGTACTGGCATCCAGGATGCAAACATGCTGGTTGGAGTCACGGCTGCTCTGCTTCCAAAACAGATCCCTGCTAACGTACCCAGGCGAGACTGAGTAAGTCATTGGCCTTTACAAAGTACTCCTGGTGACTCTTACATCTGGAAAATGCTGAGAATATGCCCACTCTATTTCAGCAACTAATTTGAACAGAGGAGGTTTTGAGGTTGCAGAGTAACCAGAGATACCCAGCCTGGGTCTGTCTGATGCCTCTGCCAGCATGCTGGCCCCAGGCTGGGATTGTAATAGGCAGGCAGGAAGTTCAGGCCCCTGGCGAGCCCCTGGCAGGGGCCAACCCTGCTCACTCACGTGTCGATGGCTTGCTGGAACTTCCCAACTCTGGCAAAAACCCTGCCAATGTTGTCGAGGGCTCTGGATTTTGCATCGGGAAGGTCGCTGGAAGGAAGGAAGAAAATCAAGCATTACCTAGAAATTTGCCTGAGGCAATGATCAAGACTCAGGGCCTTTAAACTGGGGAGCCTTTATTTGCCAGCTGGTGACTGCCCCCACTCAGAACAGGTTTGAAGGAGACAGCCCCAAGGTGTCAGGGCAGTGACATCATGGTGGCTTTTTTACAGTGGCAAGCAAGCAAGCAAGCAAGGATACAGAGGCTACAATAAGCAGGTTAGAGCCAAGATGAGCAATTTTATAGTTGTAGTTACTATTTAACTTCTAGCAAATTGGTTCCATTTTTCATGGGGCTCAGTTCACAGGACCTGGTTCCTCTTTTCACGGGGCTCTGCACGTGAACCAGCACCTGGTTCCTCCTTAGGAGAGGAGGGTCAGTCTAACCTGACTGGTGACCATGACATACACTCAGTTTATAATTTCTCACCCTGTCGTAGGCATGGTCCCTCCAATGGCATCATGAGGCCAAAAATAGACTGTTGTGGGGTTGGGCCTGTGGTTCAGCAGTTAAGTCAATGCTTGGTATGCCCCTGTCCTGTATGGAGTGTCACATTTGAGTCCAGGTTATTCCACTTCTGGTCCAAGTGCCTGCTAAGGTGCACCCTGGGAGGCAGCAGAGGACTTGGGTTCCCGCTCCCCATGTGGGAGACCCAGACTGCGTTCTGGGATCCTGACTTCAGCTTGCCCCAAGCCTGACTATTGCAGGCATTTAGAAAGTAAGTCAAGAGATGAATGACCTGTCTCTTCCTGCCTTTCAAATGAACAAAACTAAAAATAAATAAGGAAAAAAGGAAGAAAAAAAAAACCTGTAAAAGAATGAACTAATTTTAGGATCATTCTGGAAGGCAATTCATGTCACAAAGATGTCTCTTTGTTCCAACAACTTGTGCTCTAAGGAAACCGCCTCAACAAGATAATATGGGACAGGGGCCCAGCACCACAGTAAACATTTTTTGGGCCTTTGCATCCCTTATCAGGACGCCTGGACCAGATTCACTTCTCTGCTTCCAATTCCAGCTTCCTGCTTGTAGGCACCCTGGGAGACATCAGGTGACGGTCAAGTGCTAGGGTCACTACCATGTATGGAGGGAGACCTGACTAAGTCCCAGGCTCCTGGCTTTGGTTCTGGGGCCAGCCCTGACCATTGCAAGCATTTGGGGAGTCAATCTGTACATGGAGATCTTGCTTTCTTTCTGTCCGTCTCTTTGCCTTTAAAAAGAAGGAAAGGAGGAAAACTAAGATCTTTAAACTAGGGGTTGGCACTGCAGTGTAATAGAGAAAGCTCTCGTCAACCCAATAATGCTTACATCCAATTTGGCCATGATTTGTGTCTCAGCTGCTCTTCTGACCCTGCTCCCTGCTAACGACCTGAGAAAAGCAACAGAAGATGATCCAAGTGTTTGGGCCCTGTCTCCCTTGTGGGAAGCCCAGAAGTTCCTGACCCAGTGCTAGCAATCTGGGGAGTGAATTAGCATTTGGAAGATTTGTCTTTCACACACACACTCTCTGTGTAACTCTTTCAAATTAAATAACCTTTTTAAAGATTTATGTTTTTAAAGATTTATTTATTTTTATTTGAGTGGTAGATTCACAGAGAGGAGGAGAGACAAGGTTCTTCCTTCTGCTATTTTACTCCTCAAGTGGGTGCAGCACCAAAAGCTGAGTCAATCCAAAGCCAGGAGCCAGGAGCTTCTTTTGGGTCTGCCACGCGGGTGCAGGGTCTCAAGGCTTTGGGCAAACCCCTACTGATTTCCCCAGCCACAAGCAGGAAGCTGGATGGGAAGTGGAGCAGCTGGGATGCGAACCAGCACTCATTTGGGATCCTGGCACCTGCAAGTGGAAGATCAGCCTGTTGAGCCATGGTACTGGCTCCCAAAATAAATAATCTTTTATAAAAAAAAAATCTTTAAATGAAATTGTACTTTTGTCCTTCGACCAAGAGAAAAAGTTGGGAGTCAGAAATGCAATTCAGGTTTCCCACATGGATAGCATGAACTCAATGACTTGAGCCATCACTACTGCCTCTCAGGGGCTGTGTCCGCAGGAAGCTGCAGTCAGGAGCCAGCCGCAGGGACTCTGGCATCTTGATTGCCAAGCAGAAACACCTGTTCCTTAATGAGCTTGCTTTTTCTTTTATTTTTTATTTGAAAGGAAGATTTACAGAGAGAAGGAGAGACAGAGAGAGTCTGTTAGTTTACTCTCCAGGTTGTTGTAAACGCCAGAGCTGAGCCAATCTGAAGCCAGAAGCCAAGAGCTTCTTCTGGGTCTCCCATGTGCATGCCATCTTCTGCTGTTTTCCCAGGCCACAAGCAGAGAGCTGGATGGGAAGTGGAGCATCTGGGACTTGAACTGGTGCACGTACAGGTTGCTGGCAGTGGAAAGTGGAGGATTAGCTTGCTGAGCCATCATATTAGACCTGTGAGCTTTATTTTCACTTCTACAGTCAGGCAATACTTCATCTCACCCAACACAGTAGGTGTCCCAGCAGAAGAAATCAGCTTCACAGACAGAAATGCTGGAGAAAGCACAAATGAAGCCATCTTCAGACTGGCCCCCCAAGGACTACTTTCCTTGCAGAAGCAGATTACTCCAGGTTCTCTTCTCTGCATAAGCATTAAGGCAGAGGGAACTTCACACTGTGCCAATCCAAACTGGCTTGTTGAGGCAGTTTGGCCCTTATTTCTTTCTTATCTCAGGAGGATCAAATAGCTTCGGTTCAGCTCAGCTTAGTGCATGGCATGTTAGTGCGAGAGACTCAAGTTATCCTTTTTTTAAAAAGGCACAAAGATCCTATCCACAGAACTCCTATCCACCTGCTGGCTCACTCCCCAGGGGTGCCCCAATGAGAGGAGGGACCAGGAGTGGGCGGCGAGAACTCAATCCAGGTCTCCCATGTGGGTGACAGGGGCCCAGTTACTTAGCCACACCTCCTGCCCACAGGGTCAACAACAGGAAGCTGGAGGGCATCCTAGGCCAGCCTGGACTGTCAGGGCCTAGGGCAGGAACAAAGACCCCTGCTAATTTTCTGGAACACTCCCCTGCCCCGATCCCTCCACACAGCAGGAAAGCCTTTCCAGGCCTGCTTCTCCACTTGCTCTCTGCTTCTTAGTTCCCTGCTACCCCGGAGATCTGGAATGAACCCTGGGATAGGGGGCTCACCCTGCATGACGCCTTGCAGGCACATCGCTCACAGTGGCAGAAGACGCAGCCTGCCAGCCGTGGTCAGGCTGGCCATTCTGAACACACATGATGCCCTTTCTTCTACACAACGACTGCTGTGTCTGGGCCTTCGTTAGATCCCAGGGAGCTTCACTGGCCCATTGCTGCAGCAACCTCAGTGCACACCCACAGGAATGCAGTGCAGTGCGTTATGGCTCCAGGGGAATGAGGTTTTCTATGAGGCTATTCAAGGAAAGAGATCCTTTCCATGATGTTCTTTAATTAAACATATACAAAAACAAACTCCTTTTGTTGTTAAAATACTCGTGTGTGCGCACTTAAGTGGGTAAAGGCACCGAGAAGGATTCACAAGGGGCCAAGCTAGCGGGCAGGAAGGCGAGACGGAACTTTCAGGTCTTGCTCCCTGTGCCCTTCGGCTGAAGGCCCAGCATCACACTGCTGTCCTTGTGCACAAACACTCCCTCCTTGGCTTTAGGACCTGCAGAGTGCCGACATTAAACCCGAACTCCCAGACCCACTGAGCTGTTCCAGGTATTAACCAGAACAGAACCAGGTCTGGGCACTGTTCCCCAAGCTACCAGTCGCAGGGCAGGCAAGCAGCTACGGACATGTCCCCAGGACCAGAGCTAAGAGCACTGTTCCAATAATCACAAACATTTGGAGAAGGAAGACATGAAGTGGTTAATACCAGGTTAACACTGGGCCTCCTCTGGCTACAGACAGAGGGGCGGGACACGTAGGGGGAGACAGTGTCAGGAGACTGCTGCTGGCTCCTGGATTGGTGGGGTGACCCATCTGGGCCAAGTTCATAGGCAACGGGGCGCTGGGGGTCTGCAGAGTTTCAACATCCATCCAGGACTGTGAGTCACTGCTGGTTTCACCTGCAGCTGTTCACTGATTAACTCCCCTTATCTCACCCTTCTTCCCCCCATCCTCTCTGGCCTCCCACTCCCCAGGGGTACTGGCCCCCAGCTCAGACAGGCCACTGCAGCTCCCCAAGGCCTCCACCCCCACCACACACCACTGCTTCCCTCTGCTCTTGTCCCACCACTCCCACACCTAGGGTCCACTTTTATCCTCTCTCCTGTTCTCTCTGAAGGTCCTGCTGCTCCCGGCCTCTCCTCCCTCTGCTCAGCCCTGCACTGCTCCCTCCTGCCTGTCACCTTGACCCTGAGCCATATCCTGCACCTGCTGCTCTCCCAGCACCAATGGAGTCAGGGTGCCCGTCCAGAAAGGGTGCTATGTCTTGGTGTGAGGAGTGAATAAACTGTATGATATGTTTATTTATTCCTGACAATAATAAGTAATAAATAATAAGAACAGGAGTTAAGTCACTGCTTGGGAAGCCTGCATCCCATAGTGGAATGCCACTTCAGGTCCTGCCTATGCTTCCCATCCAGCTCCCTGCCAGGGAGGCTGGGACAGCAGCACGAGATAGCCCAGGTACCTGAGCCCCTGCCACCCACATGGGAGACCTGGATGGAGTTTCTGGCTCCTGACTTCCGCTGGGCCCAGCACCAATCACTTCAGAAGTGGGTGAGAGGCTAAAACATCTCTCTCTCTCTCAAATAATAAATCTTTAACAAATAATGGCAACAGCGATGAGAAAGCATGTCGTGAAGTCACTGATGGCACAGTCAGATATGAGTGAAGACTGGGGACACTGAAGAAGCTGCTGGACAAGTGAGAGACCAGAGGAGATAAGGACATGTGCAAGGCATGCGCAACGCACAAGGAAGGTCCAGTTTGTGGTTGCAAAAGAAAGGAACACAGAAACACAGATTACTGCAGGACGCCTGTTTACCTTGCAGCCGCCTCACACACCGACTACGTGCCCACGCTGGGGCAGGGGCTGGGCCCCTTTGGAAGGGCAGGGTCTGGCAGGGCAAAGGCACACCTGCAGGAGGGAGCTGGGGGGAGGTGTGTCCTTCCCTGCCCCGTGGGAGTAGGGGTGCAGGTACAAGGAGGCCCTGCCTGGGGTGGGGTTCATACGGGAGTGTTGAAGACTGTGTAGGCAGTGTCCCCAGGCCTGAGGAAGCAAGTACTAAGGAAAGAGAAGGTACTGAGTCCTAGCTGGACACCAGCAGGTGCAGCCTGGCAACCCTTTGAGCAGCTTCATATGCCCAGGGGCCTGAAGAGAACCAGGTCGAGTCGGAAAGGGCAGCAGCGTGCATTGCACAAGGCACTGGGACTTGGGTGTTACATTACATGGCAGGGCTGGTCAGCCAGCCAGGGGGGCAACAGGGTGCCCAGGCCAAACACAAGCAAGGAGTGGAAGGGAGGGGATGCATGTGGGAAGTTTCCAGCTTGGGGCCTGGGAGGTATCCAACTGTGCCACCTTCAGGGAGAATGGGGATCAAGGAGAAGATAAAGGATCCCACGTTGGGACACAGCGTGTTTTGGTTTTCCACAGACATCTAGCCCAGCAGAAATGTCCTGGGGTCTATTAGACGTGCTGGTCAAGGCCCGGGAAGAGGTCTGATGAGAAGCAGAGATGGACAAGTCTTCCAGCCCAGGCTGGACCCGAAGGACTGTCCACACCGCACTGACTTGACCCTCACTGACCCTCAGGAGCAACTTAGTCCAGGCTGCATGGTATCTCAGCAGCAAAGTCAGGTCTGGCAGGAAAGCTGTCTGTTTGTTTCTTTTTCCAGGGTGTATACTATGCAGTATTTTGGCTCTGTGGGGCGAGGGCAGGTGAGAGATGGACTGGGAGATGGACAGCATTTAAGACTTGGCTAAGTGAAGAAGGAGAAGGCAGAAGCAGGAATGTTCTGGAAAGTGTGACCCCAGGGCAGCACAGAGGTGAGTGTGAAGAGGGTGGCCAGGACCAACTGCAGAGTGTGAGCAGTGTCAGCTGGGGAGGGAAAGTTTACCTGTGGAAAGTGGCTTCTGCAGTGGGAGCTGGGGGCAGAGCCCCTGGATAACAACAGGATAGAGGTCCTCCTGTGATGGCTCAACTGGCTAATCTTCCCTCTTGTAAATGCTGGGATCCTATATGGTCACTGGGTCACGCTTTGGTTCATGTTTGGACACTGGTTCATGTCTTGGCTGATCCACTTCCCATCCAGCTCCCTGCTTGTGGCCTGGGAAAGCGTCGAGGATGGCAGAAAGCCTTGGGACCCTGCACCTGTGTGGGAGACCTGGAAGAAGCTTCTGGCTCCTGGCTTCAGATCAGATCAGCTCAGCTCCGGCCATTGTGGCCATTTGGAGAGTGAAACAGCAGATGGAAGATCTTTCTGTCTCTCCTTCTCTCTGTAAATCTGACTTTGCAATAAAAACAAATAAATATTAAACAAAGAAAAAAAAAAGAACAAAGAAAAGAGGACAGGCAGGTGGCTGACCGGGTGTCAGGATGCCTGCGTTCTGTGTCTCAGTGCCTGGGCATGCTCCCGACCCCAGTCTCCACCAGCACAGATCTGGGGAGGCGGCAGCTCCCAGAAGCTGGGTTCCTGCCATGCTCATGAGAAACCTGGACAGAGTTCCTGGCTCCCAGGTCGGGCGAGTGTGGTCTCTCTTTGCAGGCATTTAGGGCATGAACCAATGAATGACAGCTCTCTCTCGCTCTCTTCCTGCCTCTCAAATAAACAAAGAACCTTCAAAATAAAATTAAAAGTCAGAAATACAGGCATGCATTTTATTGCTTATGTAGTTATTTTCAACTATTTCAAAAGTAGAGCAGTAGTGTGACAGAGACCTACCCCCTACACCCTGAAAAAGCTTGCAGCAGCCCTCACTGGGTCACACTGAAGCCAGGAGCTAGGAACTCCCTCCAGGTTTTCTACGTGATGTGGGTGGCAGGGGCGTAAGCACTAGGACCACCCTCTGTTGCCTTCCCAGGGGCATTAGCAGGGAGCTGGACCAGAAGCAGGACAGCTGGGACTTGAATGGCGCTCAGATAATGGTGTTAGAGACTGTGCCACAATGGCTCCTGCCCTGAGTTCTTGAAAAGGACTTCCACACGTTGCCATCACAAGTCCGCCCCTCCCCGCTCCTTCTGCCCTCCAGGGCAGATACTCTTGTCATGCCCACTCAACACCAAAGGAAACACACAGGCTCAGCAAGATCAAACAGCTTGCCTTAGGGTCCCAGAGCTGGTGGTACAAGTTCCTGAGCCCAGCTCTGCCTACCTGCCGCTGGTGCCCGTGCCCTGGGTCAGCAGTGTGGCTTACAAGGCCCTTCTTGGTGCGACCCTGGAGCACTTCCTGCAGCCTCCTCCTGGCTATCCTCCTCTGCTTGCCAGCTCGGAGCTGCTTCCTGCCTCAGGGGCTGCCCACGGACTCCAGGTGTGCCCAGCTCTTACTCAGGTCCTCCTGGGGGACACTTACCATGACTGCCACTCATCAGTTATGTCACCTTCTGTTGGTTCTCTGCAGGAAAGTAACCCTTACTCATATCTGGTCGCTACTGTATGCTCAGTGCTTAGTGCTAAGAGCCGTGATCAAGGCTGGGGTTGGATGCATGCTTGTTGAAACAATGTGAGAATGGAAACAAACCTTAGAACCAGATACTGCTAGGAGCTTCTGACATCCCTGAGCCTTCACTCCCTTCTGGTGCTGACATGGCTAACAGTCTAGGTCTGCTCTGTTTTGTCCTGAGCAACGGCCCCCTTGTCCCCTCAGGGAGTCCTCAGAGCAGAAACTGGAAGCTGAGCCACCAGAAGCCCCAGCCAAAGGCAAATCCAGCCCTGTTGAGGCCCCAGCCTGCCCCAGCACACTCACTGCTCCTTGGCGATCTCCAGATCTTTTCTGTGGCTATGCAGGGCCGCCACCATCTGGCCCAATTCAATCTGGGCATTGCCGATGCAGCTGTACAAGTTGCCAACCAGCTCGTCCTTGTTGGGCACCTCCTCTTTGTCCCACTCCAGTACCTTCTTCAGCACTTTCTCGGCTTTCTGCAGGCTCCCTTCAGCACTGCCGCTGGTCAACACTGCCGAGGGAAACATGCAGTGAGTGGGGCGCGGCATGGAGCGGCTCCTCTCCTCTCTGGGATCCCATCCACGGGTCAGCGGGGCCAGGATGCAGGCTGCTGGGCCGTCCCCTCCCGCCTGCCTGCCCTCTGAGATGGCCACCCACGCATGTCTATGTCCTCCAGGCTCTTGAGGATGTAGTGTGCCGTCTGGGAGGGCCTGCGCTTGCGGTCCCGCAGCCACTTTTCCTGCATCAACTTTCGGTCCCGCTCCCTGGCGTAGATAGGCTTCTGCTGCCTCCAGAAGTTACTGCGTGTGTCCAAGTAGTTGATGCCTGTGATGATGAGGTCCTCCACCGTCAGGCCGTTTTTGATGGTGCCTCTGATCAGGTCTGTGGGGAGTAGAGAGGAGCAGGGGGAAGGCAGAGGGGAGGCATCTAAGGAAGTCGCCCCTTCTAGGTCCAGTCCTGGTTTGTTACAGACATTTGGGAGATTGAATGGCAGATAGATCTTTCCCCTGCCCTCCTCTTTTTGTCACTCATCCTTTCCCAGTACAAAGGAATAAATCTTTTTTTTTTTTTTAAAGAGAGATCTATGTATTTTTATTAGAAAGGCAGATCAGATTTATGGAGAGGAGAGACAGAAGCGGTGCCCATATGGGGTCTCATTGCAAGGTGAGGATTTAGCCACTGAAGCCATTACACCAGTCCCAAAAAATAAGTCTTTTTTTTTTTTTTTTTTTTTTTTAACGATCTCTTAAAAGGCAAGGACTTCAGCTGCTAGGCTACTGCACCGGGCCACAATAAGTAAATCTTAAAGAAAAAGAATGACATTGACCCAGTACAACAGCCTAATGGCTATCCTTGCCTTGCAGGTGCCAGAATCCCATATAGGTGCTGGCTCGTGTCCCAGATGCTCCATTTCCCATCCAGTTCCTTGACTGTGGCCTGGGACAGCAGTGGAGGACAGCCCAAAGCTTTGGGACCTTGCACCCATGTGGGAGACCCAGAAGAAGCTTCTGGTCCCCTGGTTTCGGATTGGCTCAGCTCCGGCTATTGTGACCATTTGGGGAGTGAACCAACAAATGGAAGATCTTTCTCTCTGCCTCTCCTTCTCTCTGTAAATCTGAGTTTCTAATAAAATAAATAAATAAATAAATCTTAAAATGAAAAAAAAAAAAAGAGCAACAGTTCCAGACCCCAGGGTTCTCCCGTCAAGTTGTGTCCTCATGGAAGATGGACTCTAACTAAATGACCTGATCCAGGTTGTCAGTGCCAAGTGAGTCCCCAGGTGCCAACTGTGCCAGGGCATACTGAGATCTGGCAGGGTGTGTGACATTCTGCCTGCAGCATGGCCAGAGGTTAGAGCCCTAGCAACACTACAGGGCCACTGGGGGAATTGCTCAGGGCTTCCCACCCTCCAGGGCAGGCCCTTAGGAGAGCAGGGGCGGCACTGTTCCTGTTACCATGGTGACCAGCCAGTAGTGACCTTGTGGGGAGCCCCGTGGGAATTTGCAAATGTCCTTGGGCAGCCAGTTCTAGAGAGAAGAGGCATTTGCTCAGACACGGCTGACCAGCTCAGGGCCACATGCCCGGCCTAGGTGTATGTGGGTTCTCATTCAAGACTCTGCCCTATCTCTCTGGTGGTACAATGTGGTAAGAAGAGCGTCAGGCCAGCAGTGAGCAGCCCTGGATTGTGGTGTTCACCACTAACTTGTTCGCTGCTTTGGAAATGTCACTCTTCATTCTCTAATTTCTATGTTTTTATATAGGAAGGGAAAGCTCAGATCCAAAGCTGTTACAGAATATCCCAGTGCTGACATCCTAAGATTGAAGCACCAATCTTTTGGATTGCTCTGCTTGTTAGACATGGGGTACCCCTTTGGGGAACAGGTTGTGGGCAGGGAGTGCCAACTGGGGACCATGTTGGTACAGGAGCCCAGATCTTCCCTGTCCCATCTTAGGTTCCACTGTGCTTCGGAGCACCTGTTCTGGATTTTGCTAGCTTTTGTTCTCCGGATTTTGTTCGGGCTTTGCTGAATTTGAACTCCAGCCATGTGGTTCCCTGCCTAGGCGTGGTCTTAGTTTCTGCAGGCCCATGCGTCAGTTTCCTTACCTACAAAGTAAGACTGCAAAACGTAAAACCTGCCCATGTGTAGATGCTACTCATATTGTTTGGTTGGCTCAGCCTCTGGCTCAGCTGTTAAGCATCTACCCTACACCTCCTTTATCCCTAAGTCCCCCTTGCCAACAAAGCGGCTGGAACCTTCATCCAACAAGAGCTTCTCCAGGTACTCCTTGTCCACATAGAGCTCTCCCAGGAGCTGGCGGATCGTCTTCTCGCTCTTGAACGAACCCCTCCGCTTGGTCTCCCTCTTGGTGGTGTGTAAGAGCTGTTTCATCGGGTGAGGCTTCTGCTGCGTTTTCAGACTCTAGGGAAATGGAATGCCACCCAAGAGTGCCTCAGCCAGGAGCCAGCACTCGCACATGGCTCTCAGGGTTGTGGGCCCACATTCCTCTTCTACCAGAACCTCTCTGTGGGTCCAGAACCATGCAGCAGGCCGGGTTAGGCAAGAGCCCTCTGCAGCAGGGTGGGAAGGTAGGCTACTGAAGGCCACGGCTGACCGTGATGGCCAGGAGCATGGTGTTTCCACGCTAGACCCGAGCTTCTCAGAATCAGCGGCCTTACCTCTGCCTGCTTGCTTAGGAAGGAGAGGTCCCCTTTGTTCTCCAGCTTAATGGAAGATGGACCTGCAAGGACAGAGGCCAGAACTCAGTGGGGCCAGGCCTTCCCAGGCATGACCTCTTACCTTATTTTTATAGGGAAATGTCTGCCAGGGCAGGGGGATGATGGAGGTTGTGGCAAAGTTGGCCCAAGTCAGCCCCGCAGGCAAATGTGCAGGTGCTTGGTCAACCCATCAGCCACACAGTCCCCGCTAGCCCAGGGCTGTGGCAGACAGGTTTCCACACAAGGGGAGGCCCTGGGTTCAGGGAAACCTCCCTACCCTGTATCACTGTGACACTCTGCGGCCCCTTCTGGCAAGCTGTCACTTCTCCTGCCATCAAGCTGATGGGGAAGGCCAGTTCTTGGTAGGCATGTGAATAGGGAGGAACCTAGGGCCTAGGGGAAAGCTGGGCTTAGGCCTCATTCTACTGACTCCAGGCCAGGTACAGGCCTGCTTTGAAACAACCATCTTCTGGAATCAGCACTGTGGCAGAATGAGTTATGCCACTGCCTGACATGCTGACATATCACATGGAAGCTGGTTCGAGGACAGTTATTCTACTTCTGATCTAGCTCCCTGCTAATGCACCTGGAAAAGCAACAGAGGATGGCCCAAGTCCTTGGAGACCAGAAGAAGGCTCCTGGCTCCTGGCTGAGTCTGGATCATTGCACTCATTTGGAGAAATAAACCAGTGAATGGAAAAATGGAACAGTTTTATATGTGTGTGTGTGTGTGTGTGTGTGTAATCACATATATATATATATATATATATAATTATATAGAGAGATTTTTTCTTTTAAATTTAGTAATTTTTATTAAAAAGGCAAATTTACAGAAAGAAGAAGAGAAAGATCTTCCATCCAATGGTTCACTCCCCAATGACTGCAACAGCCAGAGTGAAGCCAATCTGAAGCCAGGAGGCAGGAGCTTTTTCCAGGTCTCCTGCATGAATGCAGGGTCATAAGTCTTTGGGCTGTCCTCTACTGCTCTCCCAGGCCACAAGCAGTGAGCTGGATGGTAAGTGGACAAGGTAGAGCAAGAACCAGCGTCCATATGGAATCCCATTGCTTAATGGGGGAGGATTTAACCAACTGAGCCACTGCACCAAGCCTTATATCTCTTTCAAATAATGTGTGTGTGTGTGTGTGTGTGTGTGTGTGTGTATGAAATACCCTCCTTCTGATCCAGGTTTAAGGAAAACCATATGCAACGGGTCAGGAACTGGTCCTCTTAGGCAACAGTTTGTAACCCTCAGCAACATCAGCAGTGGTCAAGTCCAAGTGTAGTAGTCCCAGTAGGCCTGGCAGCAGCTGCTCACCCATTCTGTCTCTGGCCACTCTCTAAGTGTGTGGATTCCCAGAGTCTCCCTGGATGGCTAGTTGGATGGTGAGAGAAAGAGCCTTAAGACGCTTGGTGCACAACAAATTCAACTACAATTGCAAGAGGCTGCACATGTCCCAAAACAGATCTGAAAGGTCTGTGATCACTCACTTCCCACTGAGTTGTTGATTGCTTCCTGGGCCTTCTGGATCCCGACTTTGAATTCTCGGTCAGGCCGCAGCTTATACCCTCGATGGTAAAACACCAAGGCGAACTCAAAGTCTCCCATGGTGTACAGCGTCTCGGCCTTTTGTAGAATCCCCTGGCACAAGAGGAAATCAATCAAGGTGACTGGGTAAGACCTCAGAGACTCGGGGGTGGGGGAACTGAAGGGACCTGGTTTGGAGAGGGGCAGGGCGCTGGAACCTCACTGGAGGCCACCCTAGGCAGTCTGGCCGGTTCTTCAGCTACCGCCACCACAGGCTACCAGAGGCAATTGCAGTGGCGAAAGCCAGGTGGAACCTGCCCGCCCACATGGTCGGTCACCTTGCAGAAGGTCGGGTCATTCTGGAGTGAAGCCTCAGCATCTTTCAGGGATTTCTCCAAGTCACCCAGCTTCAGAAAGCACTTGGAGCGGGCCACCAGACAGTTCTTGTCCCCATTCTGAAGGTGAAGAGCCTAAAAATGGAAGTGGGCAGGTGGGTAGGCATCAGGAAAAGCCAGGGCAGCAGCCTGATGGGGATAGGAGGGGAGGTGGGACAGTTTAGATCTCCCTGCAGCGATGCAGACTGCCCAGCAGATCCATTTTTTTTTAAAGATTTACTTATTTTTATTGCAGTCAGATATACAGAGAGGAGGAGAGACAGAGAAGAAGATCTTCCGTCCATTGGCTCACTCCCCAAGTGGCCGCAATGGCTGCAGCTCAGCCAATCCGAAGCCAGGAGCCTCTTTCAGGTCTCCCACAGGGGTGCAGGGTCCCAAGGCTTTGGGCCATCCTCAACTGCTTTCCAAGGCCACAAGCAGGGAGCTGGATGGGAAGCGGGGCTGCCAGGATTAGAACCAGCGCCCATATGGGATCCCAGTGTGTGAGGACTTTAGCCACTAAGCTACCACACAGACCCTGCCCAGCAGATCCAACCATAGAGATTTCAGCATAGTTTGCTCGATGATCTATTCTGGAGTAAGGTCGAATCATAGCTATTGTGGGAGCCACAACTGAGCTCGGGTAAGCTGCTACCTTGCCGACAGACTGGCCATCACCCAATCCTGGCCATCCCCCAATCCTGGCACCCGAGGATGTGCTGGGCACACAAAATTCAGTGTCTTAATTTGAACTGGCTGTGCAAGCTGCGCAAAAGTAAATGTTAGAGCCTGGCGCAGCAGCCAGTGGCTATGCTCGCTTCGCATGCCCTGGGACCCCCATGGGCACCAGTTCTTGTTCAAGCTGCTCCACTTTCCATCCAGCTCTCTGCTTGTGGCCTGGGAAAGAAGCAGTCAACGACAGCCCAAGGCCTTGGGACACTGCAACCGACAGGAGAACCGGAAGAAACTCCTGGCTCCAATTTCCGGTTGGCTTAGGTCTAGCTGTTGCAGCCACTTGGGGAGTGAGCCAGTGGATGCAAGACCTTTCAATTAAAAAAAAAAATCTTTTTTTTTTTTAAAGTAAATGTCAAAGTCTCAGCATTCTAAAGAGAAAAATGGATTTTAGGATGGTTTGCAGTCTACTAACTTCCTCATGTTTTGCAGCTCATTGAGAATTAATCACTGTTGCCAGAAATAAGGTGAAAATTCTAGGGAAGCTGAAAGTGTAATGTTGATCCCAGCCCCGGGTGGGTGGACGGTGAGAACTCCCATCATCCCAGTCCGCGAGGGACTGTCCCTAAGGTATCAAGGCTGCACCCGCTCCTCCTCCTGCTGTTCTTGGAAGAGGAAGCAGCTCCCTGGCACTTCCTGGAAAGACACTCCAACTCTGACAGGCGACTCTCCCTCCCTCTCTTAGCTCTCCAGGACAGACCTCCTTAGCAAGAGGACAAGGGTGGACAGGCTCCCCCACAGCCACCTGGACTGAAATGCTCACCTATCGCAGCCTCCTTTTTGCTTTGTTTTGTTTTAAGGTGTGACTGGGGGTGGAAAAGAACAGAAGTTTGACTTTAAGGGGAGCGTAGACCTGGTTAGTGGCACTCCTGCTGTGTGGAACAAGAGTGGGCCATGTATAGCAAGGCATTGCCGTAAGAGCATCTCCTGCTGTACAGGTGCGATGGACAGTCCAGCAGTCCAGCAGCCCTGCAGTCAAGGGCCGGCTTTGGACCCTTTCTCTGCCATTTGTCAGTCAGTGACCTTGGCGCATTGTCCAACTTCTAGATCCATTTCCTCCCCTCTAAAAGGCAGTAATAATATACCTCCCTCACAGACTTGTTCTGTGTGTAGCGGTGTACCTGACAGCCTAACTCCTTCAGGGTCTGGTAAGGTGACTTAGACGTCGGGGCCTATAATAACGTTCGTTATAACACCTTTGGTAGGCAGCGACACGAAGCCCATCTCCCAGTCAGTGAGGTAGCTCTGTGAAAACAGGCCAGCTAGCCAGTCCATATTCAAGTAAGGAAAGAGAAGGAAGAAGGAAGCGCTAGAAAACAGACACGCACAAGCACTTTATGACACCTGTGAGCCCTGAGGAACCACCAGCACAGCAGGGTCCTGCAGGCAGCAGCAGGAGCCCGGGGCTGGCAGCCATCGAAAGCGGTGGTGGGTGACAGTGGGTGACAGGTTTAGATACCAACTCACGTTGCTGAAGCTCTGGGCGGCCTTGGAGAACTCCCCGCAGAGATACAGCCGCTCGCCCTCCGCCATGTAGGAGGGAAAAGTGCTTCGCAAGGTATCCGCTTCAGGGTCCGACATGATGACCTGCCTGCAAAACGCCTGAGCAGAAAAAGGGAGGTGAAAGAAGCTCGAGAACTTCTGCTCTGCGTGCGGATGCCCCGTCTCTTAGCAACCGGGAGTCTATCGTAACTTCCGGCGCCGCCCCTGGCTCCAGCGGAGGTCCTGCTGGGGGTGAGCCGGCTCGGGAGTGCGCAGGCGCGCCAAGCCCAGGCGCAGCGAATGCGTGGCCAGCGCCTGCCGGTCGGCTGAGCATCCGAGGGGTTAGTCCTTGACCCTCTGTGCGTTCTCCACCAAGTGGCCACGTGGAACTGCTCCGGTGGAAGACAGCCAGGAAAACGAGAAGAGGGTTAGAGGCAAAGGACCAACGAGGGGTTTAGGTGTCCATGGCAGGGATTTGTGCATCGCCGTGGGTGGAAGTGGGGTGGTGCAGGGAGCTTGGGGTCGGAGCGCTCTGGTCCTCTTCAATCCTGTCACTTCCTAACCACAGGACTCTACACGAAGTACACACAGTCCGGAACCTGGAATGTTCTGTCTGCCTAATGAATGTGGAAGCAGCAGAAGGCTTAGGGGTGTGAGAGTGTGCCTGCGGAAAATCCTATTGGGTTGGTGTGCGTTGTTGTCCACTGTTGAGCACCTGCTTCATAGCAGGCCTTGACCCCAACAGGCTTCCCAGTTCCCTTAGCACCACTCCAAACAACAGAAGTGAATGGGCTCTAGGTTCCCACAACATACTGACTGAGGAGCCCAGTAACTGCTTGGTTGGGGCTTGGCTGTTGAAGATGTTTGTGAACCAGCACATAGAAAGTCTCTTAATCTGACACTCTTTCAAGTAGATGAAAATAAACATCATCATCATCATCATTATTACAAATTGTATTTGTAGAAGTCAGCTGTCTGACACATGATGGAAATTAAACAAATTAGGGACCAGCACTGTGACACAATAGGTGCCAACATCCCATATGGATACCTTCCACCCAGCTCCCTGCTGGTGTACCTGGAAAGCAGAAGAGATGGCCCCTTGCACCCATGTGGGGGACCTGGAAGAAGCTCCTGGCTCCTGGCCCAGCTCGGCCCACTGTGGACATTTGGAGAGTGAGGCAGCAGATAATAGATTTGCTCTCCTCCTTTCTCTACCTTTCAAATTAAAAAAAAAACATAAGCCACAGTCAGACTGGAATAGAGAATTTACAAACATGCATCTGGCAGAGAACTTGTGTCCATAGCACATGAAGGGAAGTATGCTTGGAGTGGACAATAGTTTAATGCCGAAGACACCTGCTGTCCAAGTCAGGATATCCACTCTGGCTCTTCACTCCAACTTCCTGCTAATACAGACCGTGCAAGGGGGAAAGTGGGGGCAGCAGCGTGGCAGAGTGGTCATGGCTGCTATCACCTGGTCTCCTGCAGTCCATGTGGGAGGTGCAGACTGAGGTCTAACTCCCAGCTTTGGTCCCAGCTCAGCTCCAGTGGCACTGGCATTTGAAGAATAAACTCACAGCTCTCTTTCTTTCCTCTCCACCCCACCTCTCAAATGTTTACAAATAATGTGCAATTTATTACACATTGTGTCCCCTAAAAGTGTTAAAAAATACAGTAAAAACACCGTAATTGTGTGTGTGGGTTTGGCAGTCTGTAAGACGCTTTATCATCTTAACACATCCCGGGGAACAGGGGGTTGGGGGGAACAGGCAATGCTTTCCTAGTTTCGCAGATAAAACACTAGGGTTGAGGGAGGTATCAAGGTTTGCCCCAGGTCACAGCACAAGGACCAGGCCTTGGGTTGCCTTGGCAGGCTGAACAGTTGTGAAATTGGATCCCAGCCTGATTCAGCTGCTTACTACCTGGGCTCCTTACATCACCTCTTCGTTTCTTCTTTTATTGTAAACTAGAACATCAGAGTAGAAACACATCTGGCACAAACAGGTATAGTTTGGCTAGATAATTATTAAATGAGTGCTCAGGTCAGTGAAGAGACACACCGCCTACAATAAGAATCCCTCCCCAGGCAGTTGCCACTTACCTTGTCATGACCCTGGTCAGAGCCCACATCCTCCGCTGCTTTCCCAGGCCACAAGCAGGGAGCTGGGTGGGAAGTGGGGTGATAGGATTATAACTGGCGCCCATATGGGATCTTGGTGTGTTCAAGGACTTTAGCTGCTAGGCCACTAGACTGCCCCGCCCCGCCAACCTCCCCGCCCCTCCCCCCCCCCCAATCTTGCCTTCTTACACTTAGTGTCTTGGAGTAAGACACCTTGTGTTTGGCAGAATTTGGCACCAGGGCCTCTGTTCCTGGCTGCTCTGTGAGATTTCTGAAACACATGCAAGAGGGACAGAAGGCCAAATGACAAACTCATCCCACGACAAGGTTCCACATGTCCTATTTCAAAGGCAAGCGCAACTGATCTGGAGTGGAGGGTGGCACTGGCTGCTGCTGAAATACGGAGGGGTTTGGCAGGAATGCAGCTGCTGGGGGGAGGGTGAGCACTGGTGATGTTTTCAGGAGAGGGACAGTGGAGTGGGGGCTGGCCATGGGCAGGAACCGGCCTGGAGTTGGTCCTATTTTTTGAGCAGGAATGCTCAAATTACCCAAAAGGGTAATTTCTGCCCAGGGAGCCACACTGCCTGGCCTTTGACTGTCCTGGGGCATTACCCTCTGTTTGTCCAGAAGCAGGGCTCTGGTTGCACCTGTACCTCCTTGGGGAATCCCCACCCCAGCACATATGGGCCAATGGCTCCAATGGGGGGCCTCAGTGCTGGGTTAGAGTAACGTTTATAATGGGGGGGCTACCGTTATGGCATGGCAGATTAAGTCACAGTCTGCCTTCATCTTCCTCCTCCCTCAACCCTTCCTCTACAGTGGCTTTGTCACATTCACAGTCCATTCTGGTGTTTATTCAGTCATGCATGCACTGAGTGGCTAACGTGTGTCTAGTCCCGTGCTAGGCACCAGGGATGCCAAAAACAACAGGGCACAATCTTAGCCCAATGAGGAAGGCCTGGTGGCCAGGGCCTTCATCTGGTGGCCAGGGCCTTCATCCCTCCTCCTTCTCCTACCCTGTGTAGCTTGTAGGGGATGAGCTGTGACCTGCTAGGGGATTGGAGTCATCATAAGGGACAGTAGTTCCTCCACAAGTAATGAGGGCTTTGCTGTGCTTTTCACCTAGTAAATGCTGGGCAAATATGAGCTCAAGCGGGTTAAAATAGGGAAGGAAGAAGTTAGCTGGGATTAAGCTTCTGGAGCTGAGGGGAGCAGGATGCCCAAAGCTTGGGTGTATAGATGCTACCTTGTGCACTGTGCATGCAGTGACATGGCCTTGCCCTCCAGCCTGCTGCAGAGGTTTATTCTCTCTCACTCTTCCTTCTTCCCTTCCTTTTTAAGATTTATCTATTTATTGGAAAGGTAGATTTACACAGAGGAAGAGAGACAGACAGAAAGAAAGATGTACCATCCCCTGGTTCACCTCCCAAATCGCCACAGTAGCTAAAGCTGAGCTGAGCCAGGAGCCAGGACGTTCCTCTGAGTCTCCTAGGAAGGTGCAGGAACCCAAGGGTTTGAGCCATCTTCCTCTACTTTTCCAGGCCATAGCAGGGAGCTGGTTAGGAAGCAGAGAACCCAGAACATGAACTGGCGCCTATATAGGATGCTGGCACTAGCAGGTAGAGGATTAATCTATTGAGCCACAGTACCAGCCCCAATTTGAAGTTGGGAGCCAGGAGCTTCTTCTGGATCTACTGCGCTGGTGTAGGATCCCAAGAAATTGGGCTATCCTCTGCTACTTTCCCAGGCCATAAGCAGAGAGCTGGATTGTAAATTGAGCAGTCAGGAGATGAACTGATGCCCATGTGAAATGTGGGTGTCATGGGGCACAGGATTGGCTTGCTGTACCACTAAGCTGGCCCATTAGGGGTGCCTGTTTCTAACCAGACAACAAATTGTGGCACAGATGAGCCCTCCTAAGTACAATTTCCTGGCTAACCACCAAGACCCAGAGGTGCTGACCCCCTAGATCAACTCTGGAACACCTTCATAGCATAGGTGGAATCTCCCTGGGGGGAAAGGTGACTTCCTGGGGACTTGGGCTAAGTGGAGTTGCATCCCTGCAGGGTTGGAAGGCTCTGGTAGACATCTCCCCCATCTTAGGTCCCAGAGGAGAGAGCAGATGTGGAGTAAGGAAGCAGGCAGTGACATCAGCAGGAGCCCTTGCTTCAGGCGTGGGTAGCAAGCTCAGCCATCCTCCAACTGGGTGCATGGGCCCCGCAGAGTTGTGGTCCATATGAGGCTTGTGTCATGGTTGTGGTGTGAGGGTGACTTTTCAGGCGTTGCTGTGGCCCAGTGTACCCTGCATACAGCGTACCCTGCATGCAGGGCTGACCCGTCCCCTGAGCTGGTTCCCTTCCTCAAGCTAGACAGCTGCAGGGCAGCCAGCAGCAGCTCAGGAGACCTACAGCACGAGGTGAGGGTGGAAATACAGCAGCAGAAAATTTATGTCCTGACTTCTAAGACTGTCTGCTATCAAAAATTCTGCACCTGTCAGACTGGGTGTCCCAGTTTTTGGTTTGGAAAATACGTTTGTCTTGCAAGTCTTGAGGAAGGGAGGGGTGACAATTCATTTTTCGCGTGCTCATGAAAGACACTAACAGTGTCTTCACTCCAGCTGACTTTTCAGCTCTCCCGATCTGCGCTGAGGTGAGTGGGCAGTGGAACCTTCTTGGCTCCACTCACTCTCCTTGTCCCGGGACCCTTATCCCACTCAGTGGTTTCATTGTTAGTGGTCTGGGTTCTCAGCCTCGGTGCTGGGTCAGAGTGAGTGGCATTTACGGTGGGAGGCTACTATTGTGGCACATCAGGTTAAGCTATGGCCTGCTTTCATCTGTCTTCTCCCTCAACCCTTTCCCTACAGTGGCTTCGTCCCATTCACAATTGCATTCTAGTGTTTGTTCATGCAATGTAGCGCGGAGTACTTTGGGGAAGGCCTAAGGTCTCCGTTGTTTAAAAAACGGATCTAAGCCACCGGACCTGATGTGATCACAAACCGACGTCAGCTTCTCCCCTGGGAGAGAAGAAGGGATCGCCAGGTCCCTGAAAACTGTGGGCAGCAGGTCTAGCCGACAACACCCCATCCCACCCCTCCCTCCAAGCCTTCCTCAGAGTAGCGGTGGGCCCAGCCCCTAAAGCGATCAGGCCACGGCCCCCAGCCCGGTAGGTTCTCCTTCCAGTCTAGCCCGGCCCATCTCCCCACCCGAGGCCCCGCCTCCGCCCGGCCGCAGCCTCGCCCTCTCCCAAGAGAAGGCACCAGCTAAGCCGTCTGGGGCGGGGAGGGTCGGCGAAGACTACAAGTCCCAGCAGGCCACGGGGGGTCACCCTTAGGGGCGTGGCTATGCCCGCAACGAATTGGGAGGAGTCCTGGCGCTCAGGCTAGGGAACGCGTGTGGCCAATCGCGGCGCCGCTCCCGCCGTGAGCCGATGGGGGCGGAGACAAGCCCGCCTGGGCCGGGACAAAAGCCGAATCCCGGGCGGCCGCCGGCGGCTGGAGCGCTCCGGGTGGTGAGGGTGAGCCGGTCCGGGTAGAGGGAGTGCCACGCGCCGACTTTCTCTCAGAGAGGTGAGTGTGGGCTGTTTTCGTCGGCGAGACCGACCCCCGACTGCCCGCCCTAGGAGCTTCCTGCTTCCCCACCCTCGACCCGGAACCGACTGGGTGGGTGTTCGCGCGCCCTCCCTGCACCTGCTTGGAAGTTTGGAGGGGGCTCAGCGTTGGGGTCGCTTTCTCACGGACCCCGGTGTGTGGCCGGGTGTGGATCCCTCCACTTTCCTCCTCTTCAGGCCCCCATTCTCCAGGGTTCTGATTCCCGCGAGTTTGCACGCGGCTTGCTCCCGTCGTCCTGCCTCCCTCCGCCGAATTGAGTTGGCCCCGAGCTGGCGCCCTCGCCTGCCCCGGTGACCACTGGATGACGAGGACGGGAAGCAGAAGCGATCACCCCATTCCAACCCCTCAGGACCTGAGCTCGGGCCCTTCCTCCCTAGTTCTGTGGAGAATGGGTTTGGCTGCGCTCCGGAGGGAGCAAGCGGGGCGTGCGCCACGCTGGGCGGGCCGCCCCGAGGTGCCGAGGCCTGGCCTAGCCGCAAGGACTTGGCGGGCAGAGTGGTGACGGCCCACAATGAACCCTCATCGCCCTGGGAGTGCCAGCCCTTAAATGACAGATGGCTGGGGTCACAGGCTCCTTGCCCACCCTGGACCCCTGCCGAGGCTGGGCTGAAGGATGCTACTGCCACGGCGGCCCTCCTTTGGAGCCTGGCAGGGGGCCAGTCCCGGCGCCCGCTGCTCTCCCTACTCTAGCCTTGGCAGATGCTGTGCAGTGCCAAGGGTTGGGGGGGGTGTCTTTGGAGGTCTGTCTAGCAGGGGATTCGGGATGCAGCGATAGGGAGGAATGTATAGCCTGGTGTGGTTCTCCGCCCACCATGCTTCAACTTTGTGCTTAGCCTCATGGATTCCTGAGTTATCCAGTGGGGGACAGTTGGTAGTTCCCAGCTGCCCAGAAGCTGTGTACCTCTTAGAAAACTGAATCCGTTTGCAGGGTGGTAACGGGAAGAAGTGCAGAGGTTGGGCAGTGTGATGGCTCTGAGTGCTGCAGCAGGGTCCACTGCCAAGGCTTCTGTCCCTTCCCTTGGCTCCCAGCAAGGCTAGTGCTCCCCAAAGCCTCTCTCCCTGTGGATGGGAGCCTGAAAATGTGTGCGCTCTCAGCCAGCCTCAGGGGCTTGCTCTCCCTTGTTGGTGCCAGAGGTCCCTTCCTGGGGACAGCTTCTGCTCTCAGTCACTAGTCCTGCAGGAGACCCCATGCAGCTCCTAAGGGGAGAGAGACAAAGGATGTGTTCCTGGGATGATTTCTGTCAAATGGTTGACAGATTGTGACCTGTTACCTGGTAACAGTTCTGGGGCTCAAGCTATGCCCTGGAATTGTGTGTGTGTTCCTGGTGTCATGGGCACAGTCCACTCACTACTGGGGAGATAAGAGTTTGGGGGAGTTCTCCAAACCCAGCTTGTCCACTTGGAATCTTGGTGTCATTGGAACTGTCGGTTGGTCTGTGGGCTCTCAGGTCACTGTCACCCATGAGCACCTGGAAGACACACACACAGCTGATTGTATGCACATCTTCCTGGGGTTTCCTTCAGATTCTTACCAGCCCAAGACCCCTGAGAGGTGATGAACTAGGGAGATTTCCAGAGTTACTGAAAGGCTAACCATTGTGAGGTACCCCTTCCAGGTCCACGGTCTTAGGGTCGGCGCTGGTGGGATACCTCCTCATCCTGTGAGGGCGTCCAAAAGTTAACAGTGTCCTGGTGGCAAGTCTCTTATTTTGGGAAGCTGGCAGATCTTTTATTTTGGGTCGCCTACCTCCCTGTCTTCTCACCCAAGCACCTGGGAGAGACCCCCTCCACCCACCAGAGGTGAGCTCTGGGAGCTGAGTTGGAGCAGGGGCTTCAGAAAATGGCAGAGGCCAGCTGTGAAGAACCCCTTGCTCTCTTTTTTCCTCCCCAAAGTGGGATCTGTGTCTGCCCTGGGAAGTGCCAGCCTCATTCACTGGTACCCTGAATGACAGTGTTAGACTTTCAGCAAGGGGCTGCTTGTCACATAGAGACAGCTGGGGTCGCCCCCCAGCCCCCTCCAGCGTCCTCTGCCCTGGGCCACACTCTGGGAGGGGGTAGGGAGTGTGCCCATTTGATTTCAGGACCAGTTTTTCTGGTCTGAATCAAGAAGGTTGAGAAATGGGGCTGGAGTGGGTGGGGGGTGGAGGACTGCTGGGCCGTGGGGCTGGATGAGGTGTCTCCTTCCGGAAGCTCACCCTGACTAGCAAAGGGTCACAAGTCATCCCAGGAGAAGGTCAGAAAAGGGACTGTCTCCATCAAGCCCTTTCTCAGATGCCCTGTTTTTGGGCCAGGCACCTGGCTGAACACACTCATTGTACGGGGCGGGAGACCAACTGGGAGGCCCAGGGAGGCAGCCCAGCCAGGATTAGAACCTGACGCCCCAGTGGCCTGGCCACTTGGGATGGGGGCTACAGAGTAGCCTGCCCAGGGCTTGGGGTGGATGCCAACCTTCCATGGTGTGTGTGAAGCAGCCAACTCCCCAGCCCCACCCTCTTTTATTATTTTGGCTTCACTTTCTCCCCAGCAAATTCAACAGCTTTGGATCTTTATGGGAGCAGCAGGTGTGACTTCCTGATTGGGCCAAGCCCTTGGCACGAGCGACTTGGTCTCCTTTCCCATCTCCCCCTCTGCCTATCCATTCCCCCATCTACTCTCTGCAGGTTGTTATGCACAGCACCTGGGGGGGGGAGGGGAGAGGGGATGGGATGCGTCAGGATAAGGCTGTGGGGAAGGCCAAGGACACATCTCTGAAGCCCAGGGTGGCACTGGGCATGGTTCTTGGAGAAATAGTCCTTTTCTTTTGAACTGATGTGGGTTTTTCCTAGGACTCCAGTATGAGGTGATTAGGGGTTAAGTCTTGGGGTTCCTGGTCAAGTTTCCTCTGAGCTTGTATTCATCTGAGAACAGGCTGGTGACTCTCAGTGTATCCCAGGATATGAGGCTGTTCATCTGATGACCAAAGATGGTGTCCCCCTGCCCCTGAGTGCTGGCCTAGCTGGGAGGGTCCAGCATTGTGCATTCCCCATGGAGGCCCGTTGTCCCTGAGCAGGAACTGCTCAAAATGAGCAGCTGATGACTCAGTGGAGTGGGTGGAATGTCCTGAAGGTCACTCTATCTACGCCCAGGGTCTGCTCTGAACTGGGCTGGGAGCTCTGGGATGACTGTCCTGGAGCCAGGGCCCAGGGGTGTGATGCAGCTGGACTGAGCCTGAGTGTCCTTGGGCAGGCATAAGTATGTGTAAATGCATGTGGATGTGTGTGCGCAGCTGAGTCTGGGGGTGGGGGAGAGGAAACCTGCCGGGGGGAGCCTGGCCAGTGGAGCCCAGTTACAGTCGTGCTCCTGGCAGGTTGTGGGAGCTGAGGCTGTGTCCACTTCTGGTGTGAGCTGGAGTACTGGGGATCCTGCCTTCCCACCCAGCTGCCTTTAGCGGCAGGGTTGATGGTGCAACTGCTCCACTTTGCCTAGAGAGAATCGCCACAGATTTGAGGTCCCCTGAGAGCTAGTGTTGCCTTTCTTTTCCTCACCATTTCCCCTGCTTCCTGTTGTGCTGGGGAGAAGGTGCTGAGGACTGCTTTAGCCTTCCTGCTAGGGGTAGCTCCTTGAGAAAAGCTGAGGTCTGGGAGTGGGTCAGCCTCATTGGGGAAGAGAGGGACTCCCTCTTCCCTGCCTCACTGACCAGCTCCTCTCCTCCCCACAGGTGGAGCAGGTCCCTCTGCAGCCATGTCAGCCAAGGCAATTTCAGAGCAGACGGGCAAAGAACTCCTTTACAAGTACATCTGCACCACCTCTGCCATCCAGAACCGCTTCAAGTATGCCCGGGTCACTCCCGACACAGACTGGGCCCACCTGCTGCAGGACCACCCCTGGCTGTTGAGCCAGGTGAGCCCTGCCTCCAGCCCGGTCCTTCTCCCAGGCCCCGAGGTCTCGAGAAGAGAAAGCATTTGCTGAGATGGAGCTGTCAGAAGGGCCACAGGGTCGCAGACAGCCTGCATATGTGAGCAGTGGGTGGTGGTGAGGGGTGCGCAAGTGCAGGGTCTTGGGTTTGCTCTGGGCCCTGCATGTTGGGGCACCTTGCTTTGATATGGAGTTAGAACCAAACATGCTAGTATCCAAATCCCAGCTCCCTGGTTATTAACTGTGTGGCTCGTTTCGCTGCATTTTGGATTTCTTGTCTGCTGAAGACGACTACTCCCTGAGAACTGTAGGTATTAGCAGGAATGTCCAGAAAGCAGCTGGCATGCTGCCTGGCTTTGTGGTCCTCAGTAGGAAGGCAGGCAGAAAGTGTGGCATTGGCCTTGGAGCTCTCTGTCCGCAGAACCCCATGGGGCCATCATTGGGACACTCCGTCTCCTTTCTCAGGTCCTGAGAGTGGGACTGGGGCCGATAGTGAGATTTTCCTCTGTGAGACAGCGAGTTTCCTGGTCCTGGATTCAGGGACTGCTTTTTGGGCCTGTGTGGCCAGGGTGCAGGCACAGCAGGGGGTTGACCATTGACCAGGTGACCTCCAAGGTCCTCTGTCCCTGTGCTCTCTCTTTTGGAGTACAGATGCTGGTCTAGACCTGAGGAGTTGGCAGTGGCCTGAAGGAGCTGTCCCACCAATTAGCCAGGGCAGCAGGTGTTTGCCGAGCACCTGCTGTGTCCCAGTCCCTCTCCTGAGGGCAGAAAGCTCTGAATTTCTGGTTATTAAAACGAGGTGTAGGCTGGGGTCGGCATGAGGGAGGCTCGAGCCTCAAAGAGGAGTGTGGTTGCACTGGAGATGGGCTGCATTGGCTGCTCTGAGGTTTGCATCCCTCAGCTATCACTTTCTTATTCAGTGCTCCCCCTTCTCACTTAACACAACTGCCTCTTCTCATTCCAGAGCTTGGTAGTCAAGCCAGACCAGCTGATCAAACGGCGTGGAAAGCTTGGCCTAGTTGGGGTCAACCTCACTCTGGATGGGGTCAAGTCCTGGCTGAAGCCAAGGCTAGGCCAGGAGGCCACGGTAAGTGCTAAAGCGTTGCGATGGACACCCTCTGGTTGCGTGCAGGCCTGCAGTTCCGGGTCACCCCCTAGCTTGTCACATGGCAGCCAGGAAGAACTGTGTCCTGTGGTGCTGACCTGTCCAAGTGGCCTCAGGCAGCAGGAGTGTTCTGGCTGTTCAGTTCCAAACATCCCCCTCTCCCCCCCGCCCCTGGGGAATCAGAACACCTTTTGTTCTTGGGTAGAGAACTGTGTGTGAACAGTGTGTTTCTTTACCATTGGTCCTGCAGCTGGGACTCCTAGGCCAATTTTGAGAACTCTTTGCTCTCTGGGTTCCAGAAGGAGTTAGGGTCACTTATGGTGCTGCATGTGGTGCTCCAAAGCATGTGGATGAAGAACATGAGAGCCAGGAGACACTCAGGCAGAGACACGTATTGAACCAAGAACCTTGGAGAAGATTGTTACTTGTGCTGAAGAACAAATTCAATTCTAGACCTGCCCCAGTTCTGTGGTGAATTTCGGCTGTGTCGATGAGAGGTTTAAGTGAAAGATGGCTTAGGAAGGACTGAGAGATGCTCAGGGGTAACGAGCTGGTGACCCAAGAACGGGGAATGAGGCTGAAGCATGACATAGCCTGGGAAGGACATGGTGTCTACCTTTGGCTCTGAGCCTGGCGCCTGATCTAGGAGGGTGACCTTGGGCCTGGGAAGAGCTGCTCCCTCTCTTGCTGTCTTGGAGCTTGGGTAACAGGTGGCCCTGGAAGTCTAGCTTCCCTATAGCAGCTTTTGATGCCAATTCCCAGTGTCTGATGGGGGGGGGGGTGGAGGAGGGGTTGCTGCAGGTGCTGCTGGGTCTCAGGTGGAGGGACCTTGGAGGTTGAGCAGCATCCCCAGGGACTAGTCAGGCTCATTTCTGTGCATCTGACATGGGGTGGTGGCATGGAGGGTGGGGATGTGAGCTGGCAGCAGCAGGAGCAGGAGTGGCTCATTACATCTGATAGATGGATCTCTGTCTGGCTCCTGACTCAGTGGTGACGCATGGGCTGGGCAGGCGCGGGGAGGGGGTTTCTGGACACACTGGGTTCAAAGCTGTCTCATCTCGCCTGCCGCCAGGGACCCACTCAAACTGATTAGCTCTGCGGGCCTGCTGTCCTCTCTTAGCCAGGAAGGTCTGTGTGGAACTTTCCTCATCAACCCCTGGCTCTCTTTCCCACTGCCCATGGCCTGGACTCATGTCCTCAGGCGTGGTTGTCTCTGTCAGCCTCGATGCAGAAAAAGCAAAAGACAGCTGCCCCACTCCACCCTGTGCGTGCACGAGGTCTGGGGTGGCCTTGTTCTGGCCAAGCTCAGTTGGTGCCACGGTGGGGAGTGAGATAGTGTTATAGCTCCTATGTCTCCTTCTAGAGGAGAGGAAGGTGATCAATGTGCAAGGTCAGTTTGTGGCCAAGTGTGGCTGGTGCAAGGACAAGGGGATGACCTCATGAGCACTTCCTGAGCTGACCCCTCACCCTGGGGTTTGTCTCAACCTCATGCTGTGATGGCATCCTGGGGAGTGAGTTATCCCTTCACTCCTCACTTCACCTACCTCTCTTTCTCTATAGGTGGGCAAGGCCACAGGCTTCCTGAAGAACTTCCTGATCGAGCCCTTTGTTCCCCACAGTCAGGTATGTGCCAGGCAGTTTCAGGCCAGCCAGAACTTTGTGTGTGTCCACCTCCAGGGGGTGGGAATAGCATCTGGTGCCTGGGGCTGCCCTGAGGCTTCTGATAGAACTAAGGTGAAGGCGTGGCCTGTAGCCAGGAGGAGTAGGGCTGGAGACAGAGGGACTTCCCAGGGGTGCCATGAGAGAGACTTGGAAGTTGGATGCTTCCCCAAGGTGGGGTCATACCTGCTGCTCTGTGCTGTCAGCTCTGCTGCAGCCTGGACCTTTTTGGTTTCCAAGGGGAAGAGGGTGAGCAGGCTTCTTGCTCTTTTGGAAGTGAGCCCAGAAGGGGCTTCTCCCCGACCAGAGGTGGCCCTTAGCTGGTGCGGCTTGGTGGCCCTCACCCATTTCCTGTGCTTCACACCCCTAAGGCGGAGGAGTTCTACGTGTGCATCTATGCGACCCGCGAAGGGGACTATGTGCTATTCCACCATGAGGGCGGGGTGGACGTGGGCGACGTGGATGCCAAAGCCCAGAAGCTGCTGGTGGGTGTGGACGAGAAGTTGAATCCGGAAGACATCCGGAGACATCTCTTGGTGCACGCTCCTGAAGACAAGAAAGAGTTGAGTGCGAGGGGGTGCGGTGGGAAGGCCAAAGGTCTCCTGGCTCAGAGCAGAGAACACGGGTGGGGTGACTTGCTGTGTGGGTGGGAGTCGGGTCTGGGCGCAGCATGGGCATGCATGAGTCCTCACCTCTGTGCCCCTGTCTGTCTGGCTGCTGGCAGATCCTTTCTGCCTCAGCGGCTGAGGAGCACGGCGTCTGCAAGGGACAGCAAGGGGTCAGCGGGCGAGTGGAGCTGTCATGTCAGTGACAGTGAGAGATGGCTGCGGGGGTGGACTGGCAGGAGGAAGGACGGGGGTGCTGCCGAGGCCACATCCTGATGGATTGTCTCCTTCTCTCCCTCTCTCTTCTAGAATTCTTGCCAGTTTTATCTCCGGCCTCTTCAATTTCTATGAGGACCTGTACTTCACCTACCTCGAGATCAATCCCCTTGGTAATTAGCTCTGTTGGGGCAGAGGGAGCTAGAGTTACTTACAGCAGGGTCCCAGTGTCCACAATAAATAACCCTGGCCTGGGTGTAAGAGCCAGGCCCCTGCTTGCCTGAGGGCCGTGCAAGGGGTGTGTGTGTGTAGAGGTCTCCACACTTACTCAGGCCTAGCTCCTGTTTTTGAGTTCTCTGAAGACTAACTACTACTCCTTCACCACCAACTTCTTCCCCAGTGTGTGTCTTTAGTCTTCATGATTTATTGTGTTTGGGAGAGTCCTGACGTGACCCCACCTGCCCCAGCCCATGGCTCGGGCTGTCCTGCTGGAGGCTATGCCCATGTGCTACTCCCTTCTGCCTTGGTCTGACCCTTCAGGCCTGTCTTCCCTGTCCCTTAGGGTACTGGCAGGCTTTCCTTGCTGCAGGGCTTGGTCGGTCATTGACTGTGAAAATGAAAGGTGGTGATGGTGGGGGATGGCAATGAGCCTGCTCCAGCAGAGTGAGTTCTGCTAGGTTTTCTCAGGCCAAAGTGCAAGAATCCAGGAAAACCAAAGCAGATTCGAGCTGAGGCTGCAGCCCCGCACAGGGGCCAGATGGCCGTGTGCTAACTTAATGAGTTAAATGGCCATGAGGGAGAAGGCAAGCAGGCGGCTGTCCAGTGAAGCAGCAGTGAATGAATTGAGTCCTGCTGGCTGGGGGCCTGGTGCTCTGCATGGCTTCCTGCTCCACACCGGCTGCTTTCCTGGAGACCCGGCAGCTCCCCTGGGAGTGTCAGAGGCGCACACGGGGTGGGGGGTGTAGGTCTTCTGACAACCACATGGCCTTAGCCATTTTTTATTATAAATGGCACAACCAAAGGTAGGGGAAGGGTTAGGTGGTCAAAGCAGGGAGTGTAGCCTTTTATAATGATGTTTGAGGCTGCTATGGCAGCTGACCCAGGCCTGCCTGCTTGCCCTGTTCTTTGTAGGTTGCAGGTGAGACATGGTCTTGCAGAGTTTGATGTGTCCTTTCAGAGGGGAAAGCTGTGTCAACATAAGGGTTACCTTGGTTTCCAGCTGAGCTTAGGAGGTCACTGGGCCCATGTGGGGACCCCACGGGAGAGATGTCAGGGAAGTCTGGTGGGGGCTTTGGAGGTTGATGGTCACCCAGGTCCAGGGCCACATGTCCAACTGCGTTTGTTTCCTTTTCTTGCAGTTGTAACCAAAGATGGCGTCTACGTCCTTGACTTGGCAGCCAAGGTGGACGCCACTGCTGACTACATCTGCAAAGTGAAGTGGGGTGACATAGAGTTCCCGCCCCCCTTTGGGCGGGAGGCCTATCCAGAGGTAAGACGGGTTTGGAGACGTGCCAGAGGGTGAGGGGTCTCAGACAGTGACTAATCTCAGCCTGGCATTCAGCTCCCCTCCTGGGCTGACTGTTTGGCAAGGAGGACCAGAACCATTTAATTTTGTTAAAATCCCAATGGGGTGATAGCAGGAGGCAGCCAAGCCTCTGAATCACAGCCAGAAATCCTTTTAGACTTCACTCTCAATCAACCTCCCTTGGCTCTTAACTTGATTTGTTGCTTCTTGATGATTCTGGATGGATCCCGTAATCCTGGTGGGAAGCTGGCTCCCTCGGCCACATGCTGAGAATTTTAATTGCTCCTTCCCACCCATCCTCTGAGAAGTCCTCCCAGTCCAGGGGGGGCAGGGCTCAGGCTCTGTGAAGAGAAGTACCTAAGAGGAGAGTAGGTCCTGGGGGATGAAGCCAGCATGCACAGGCAGGCAGATGGTGGAGCAGGGGCTGTGGCAGAAGCAGAGACAGGGAGGTCCAGGACTCAGGCAGAGGGCTTAAGGTCAGAGAGTCAGTCGGGACATTTGTCCCCCGGCAGTGACTGTGGCTGTGGGTGGTTTTGGTACTTGGAGACACATTGTGCTTTGTTCTGGACACTTGGGACCCCAGCAGTGAACCTGTTAAGGTGTGCCCAGGGGAAGCCCTGGGTGTGCCCCCGCCTCCCCCCACACCCCCGAAAAATACCCTGAGGGTCTGTGTTGTCTGCTGCCCAGGAAGCCTACATTGCAGACTTGGATGCCAAAAGTGGAGCCAGCCTGAAACTCACCTTACTGAACCCCAAGGGCAGGATCTGGACCATGGTGGCCGGGGGTGGCGCCTCGGTCGTGTACAGGTAACTGATGACAGAGCTACTGAGGTGTGCCAGCTAGGCCTACCCAGTGCCTAGGGGGTGTGGCCTGCAGTCTCCAGCCAGAAACTCACCTGAGGATTAGTGCCACCCAGACGGCTTTGAGGGGCTCTGGTGAGGCCCTGCACTGCACAGCATGCTTAAACAGGAGCTTTGATGCTTTGCAACAGCATTTGCTGCCAAGGTTCTCAAATGTACAATGTAATTTGGTACATGGAACTCTGTCTGTCTCCCCAGCCCTCCTCAGCCAGGTCACCCAGGCCTTGTAGTGCCTATACAAATATGTATTTATTTTCTTACGGCACAGAAACGTTGGGGTCATTCTCTGCCCCCTGGGCAGTAATCAGCTGTGGTTTTAGCTAAAGCACGGTGGCTCTCTGCTGGTTTCCAGCCGGAGTGTCACCAGGTTCCCCTCTGCGTGGCCCGAGCCCCCCACTGCAGCAATTCTTGGCACTGCACAGTCTCTTGCTGTTCCTGCAGTGGGCCTTCTCCTTAGCTCTGTCTGGGCTGTGCTTGTCGTTCATTTTACCCACCAAACTGCCCTGGGAACTGACTCCCCACAGCTGGCGGGCAGCTCTACCCAGGAGAGTCAGAGCAGCACAGTCAAGTGCAACTTGCATGGGAGGCCCAAGGGGCATGTCTACCCGGGCCAAGCTGCTGCCCGGTGCTCCAGGGGCGGAGCAGGTGCTGACCGTGTGTCCCTCTGGCAGTGACACTATCTGCGACCTTGGGGGCGTAAATGAGCTGGCCAACTACGGGGAATACTCAGGCGCACCCAGTGAGCAGCAGACCTACGACTATGCTAAGACCATCCTCTCCCTCATGACCCGCGAGAAGCACCCCGATGGTGAGATGCTTGTGCACGCGTGCGCGCGCGCACACACACACACACACACACACACACACACACACACACAGTCTTATTGAAACAGCCCTGTACTCTACAGTGGGAGCAGCCTGCTGCCGGGAGTCACGGAGGCTGTGGGGGGTGTTCCCGGTCCTCGATGGACCTGGCCCTTCCTTTTGGACCTTGGTTTCTCTGATTCCACCATGGGAGTACCTGGGAGGAAGAAGCAGCAGCTGTGTGATCCCTTTGTGATCACCATAAACTGTCCCAAGTGAGCGTCCTGTGGCTGGGTCTTAGCATGGCACTGCTCTGAAGAAGCTGACCTGGGCCATGTGATTCTCACTGCCAGCATTTGGTGGCCACATGTGCCACTTGCCCTTTCCCTAAGCCAGAGAGATTCTCAGCGGAAGTATCTAAGGCCAAGCTGGGATTTCCTGGATGCCACCCTGCAGTACGGGAGACACTAGGTGGATTTGGATTGAGCCCCACGTGGTCACATAGCTGATGGAGTGCAGCTGACACCGCTTTGTGGATGTTGGGACAGACTGTCCCATGCTGTCCCTGCTGCCTTCCGGCAGATGGGGTCCCTGGCCCAGTGAGAAGCACTGGAGTCAGCCTCCTTAACCCTTTTTCAGCTTGTCTTATTCTAAACCTAGGCAAGATCCTCATCATTGGAGGCAGCATTGCAAACTTCACCAATGTGGCTGCCACGTTCAAGGTAATCGGCTGCAATAGCAGTGCTGCTGGGTCTGGGGACAAGTTGGATTGGAGTCAGAGGCAGGTGCCCATAGGTCCTCCAGCCTGGAAAGGGCCTCTGTCCAGGTCTCCCGTGGAGGAGGCAAAAGACCACAGAGTAGAAGGTGTGGAGCTCAAGCGGTGTGTCTCTGGGCCAGCAACTGACCCTTGCTGAGCCTTCATTCTCTCCTCTGAGGTATGGGGAGAGGGCAGTTTCTGCTTCTCCCCTTTTAGGAACCAGTTCTTAGACAACTGACTAAACTGATCCTCATTTTTAACACTGGGTTCTCTGCCATACCTGGTCTTCTATCCCTCAACCCCCAGCCCTCTGTTCAGCGATGGGAATGAGGAAGGGGTTTTGACAACCTGGACTGCTTTTCATTCAGCTTTGGTCCCTGTGCTGGGCTGGGGCCTTGTGCCTGCCTCATAGACACTGTGCTTGTGGCTGCCAGTCAGTAACCACCACAGAGCTCGCAGATCTTGGGAGCTGGCTCTTTCCAGGCAGCCTCCTCCAGAGCTGCTGCTTATCCGTGTGGTCCTGCTCCGTGAGGCTCCTCAAACCACCAGCCATGGTGCATGTGAAAGCAGGTTAAGCCTCAGCTTACAGTTCCCACACCCCACACCAGAGTGCCAGTGTGGTCCTCCCACCTCTGTGGCAGGGGCCCAAATGCAAGGGCTATTTTCCACTGTTTTCTCAGGCCATTAGGGAGCTGGGTCATAAATGGAGTAGCTTGGACATGACTGGCACTTGTATAGGTTGCTGGCACTGCAGGCAGCAGCTTTACCTACTGTACTATAATGTCAGCCCCAGAATACTATATTTTGATGCACTCTGAAAACCTGGCATGGGGCCCCACCACCAACCAGATTGTACTGAGAGATGAGATTGACTAGTGAAGGAAGAAACCAGCAAAGCTCTGTTGACTCTGTATGGCTGGGGCAACAGTGCCTCAAGGACTGTTGCTTCTGGGTACCCCCACATTCCCCCCATCAGTGTTGTCAGAGGTGATCAGATGTCCTAGACTATGGGTTGCTTGTACCTGCCCCGGTGGATGTGTGCACCACATGACTGACTGCTGGGGCCTGCCCGTTCCCTGAGAAGCGGCCCTTGTAGTAGGAACATGTTAGCTTGTTGATGAAGATTTTCTGTCATCCACTGTGGCTTCCTTGTTTCAGTGACATGTCTCTACTGTCCCTTTCCAGGGCATCGTGAGAGCCATTCGAGATTACCAGGGCCCCCTGAAGGAGCATGAGGTCACGATTTTTGTCCGACGAGGCGGCCCTAACTATCAGGAGGGCCTGCGGGTGATGGGAGAAGTGGGTAAGCATGGAGCCCAGGAAAGCATTGCCATTCAGTCTGTACTTACTGAGGGATGGCCGCTGCTTGCTAGGCATTGCCCTGGGTGCTGGGGTTTCAGCCACAGACACAGCAGGCCGTGAGCTCAGGGCAGCTCAGGATGTTGGGAGCAGCATCCGTGTGCTGGGGGTCACTGACGAAGGTAGCAGCGAGCAGTGGCTCTCAGTCAGATCCAGGAGTTCCTGATGGGAAGGTGGCATCTTGGTCCAGGCCCTGGGGAAGGGCAGAGGCGGCTCAGTGGCATTGTCTCTCATGTGGGGGAGACTGCTGGCTGCTGGCTCTGGCCTGTCAAACACACAGAGGTGAAAGCCGGTGGATAGAGGCTCGCTCTCCCACGGCTTCTCTGCCTCTTCCTTTGAGAAATGGAAAAAAAAATGAATTGAACAACAAAAATGAAAAACAGAAACTCAGAGAGCTTAAGTGGGGCCCCCCTCAGCCAGCCATTTTAGACCTGTGACAGCTGTTTTGGCCTTCAGCGCCTTAGAAGGCCCCGGACCCCAGGCAGTTATGGGGAGCAGAGCAGCAGAGATAAGGCGCTTTGCTCGGGGGCTCGCTGTTTGAACACACAGAACCATCCTGTGTAGTCCCAAACTCGGTGTCCATTGTGAATGTGAGTCACTCGCACCCTTTCCCCACTAGACACACACAGACACATACTTCCTCCCCCTTGAAGTGGTTCAAATATTCACACTCATTCATCTGCCTAAAACTGAGGCCCTGGGGACAGCATGGTAAACAGTTTTTTGTTTTGTTTTTTTCTTTAAAGATTTATTTATTTAAACATTTATTTATTTTTATTGGAAAGACGGATATACAGAGAGGAGGAGAGACAGAGAGGAAAATCTTCTGTCTGGTGGTTCAATCCCCAGGTGACCGCAACAGCTGGAGCTGAGCCAGTCTGAAGCCAGGAGCAAGGAGCTTCCTCTGGGTCTCCCACACTGGTGCAGTGTCCCAAAGCTTTGGGCTGTCCTTGATTGTATTCCCAGGCCACAGGCAGGGAGGTAGATGGGAAGCAGGGTCACGGAGATATGAACTGGCACCCACATGGGATCCCAGCACATTCAAGGCGAGGACTTTAACTGCTACGTTATTGCACTAGGCCCTAAAGGTTTATCTATTTTTAGTGGTAAGTCAGATATACAGAGAGGAGGAGATACAAAGAGAAAGATCGTCCATCTGCTGATTTACTCCCCAAGTGGCCACAATGGCCGGTGCTGTGCTGATCCGGAGCCAGGAGCCAGGAGCTTCTTCTGGGTCTCCCATGTGGGTACAGGGTTCTAAGGCTTTAGGCCATCCTTGACTGCCTTCCCAGGCCATAAGCAGGGAACTCGGTAGGAAGTGGGGCTGCCAGGATTAGAACTGGCACCCATATGGGATCCCGGCACATATGAGGCTAAGACTTTAATCACTAGGCTATTGCACCGGGCCCAGTAAATGGGTTTGTTAGAGCACAAGGCAAGTCAGCCGTGAGGTGAGGATGCTGTCCATGGGGATCTGCACAGTGTATAGGGCAGACCAACCTCGGGGGTTGAGAGTGTCTGCCCTTGGCCAGAGCTCTGTGAGAAGGGCACGGCCAGGTGACTGTGGGGCAAGTGTTCCATGCAGAGGGAGCTGTGTGCTCACAGCCCCCTACAGGAGTTGTAGATGCTGAGAGACCAAGCCAGGGCAGCAAGCATCAGGCATGTGGAAACAACAGGTGCTGAGGGCTGAGGGGGTGCAGCCCCAGATCAGGCTGCAAGTGCTAGACCGCTTACTTGACTGGCACTGTGGTCACTCAAGGCTTGCCCCAAGCCATTTCCTGCTCCTCATGCCAGCAGGTGATTGGTCTTTAGACAGTTTGTGTGGTGGGAAGATTTTGACAGGTGATTGATCTAGCAGGGATCCAGGCAGGCAAGAGGCTCACCAGGGCCGTGGCGTTGCAGACTCCCTCACTGAGGAGCACCATTGATGGACTCTCTGTCTTCCCTCACAGGGAAGACCACCGGCATCCCCATCCATGTATTTGGCACGGAGACCCACATGACGGCCATCGTCGGCATGGCGTTGGGCCACCGGCCCATCCCCAACCAGCCGCCCACCGCAGCCCACACTGCAAACTTCCTGCTCAATGCCAGCGGGAGCACATCGGTAGGTGCCAGCCTTCCTACTGCCTCAGACAAGGGAACTGTCACAGCTTTTCCACTCCCAGGCCAGGGTCCCATGCCCTTGGCTGCCGTCTGGGATGTAGGGGTTGTAAAGGTGGATGCTAGGCGATGGCTCCCATCAAGACCAAAAAGTGACAAATCAGACCTGTAGGGTGGAGGGAGGGACCCTGGCAGGTGCCTCAGCCACTCTGTGTGAGACAGTGTGGTTCCTCTCTCAGAGAACTCTTAAAAGTGTGCTTCTGGATGCAGCTTGGGAGGAATGGTGCGGGACGTGCTTTTTGTTCCCTGATTTCGTTGGAGCCTTCGGGATCGGTAGCTTTGTCCCCAGGCTGCTATCTGATGGTAACCCCCTTCTTTCCCTCTTCTGCCACCCTAGACTCCAGCCCCAAGCAGGACCGCGTCCTTTTCTGAATCCAGGGCTGATGATGCAGCACCTGCCAAGAAAGCCAAGCCCGCCATGCCACAAGGTAGCTCCTGGAGGTCGCAGACACGTTGCAGAATGGCCTGTCAGTGCCCTCCTCACCGTGTCCCACTCGGGCTGGCAGAGTACACACAGAAGAATCTGGGCTTTGTGGGAGGAGAGGCCTTGGGGTGCAGGAAGCGATGGCTGGAGCTCGGTGGTCTGTCTTGAGGCCCAGGGACCCACCCTGTGCCAGGGTACCTCACTCCCCTCTGTACCTTGGTCCCTGCCTGGGTGTGAGCTGGGTAGGGAGGCTGCCAAAGGCACAGGGCTTTTGCAGTGCCAGGGTGTGGGAAGCTTTCTTACTCCCTATTTTTGATATAGGGCAAGGGCAGGAGCCTAGAGCAAGCACTTGTGACACAGTCGCCCAGCACCACAGGGCTCTGTCCTTGGTCCATTGGCCCATCTGTGCTTCACCTGATTAGCCTTTCCATTGTAACTACCAGGCAGCCCTTGCCATCCAGTATCACTTAAGCAGCGTGGTTGCCCTGGGCCTGAGGAGGCTCGTGTGTGCTCTTTCTGCTAAGGCAGGCTTGGCTTAAGGCACTTTGAGAAAAATGGTGGCATTAGCTCCAGGGGCTCAAGCTCCAAAGCCACAGCCCTATGTATGATACTGCAAATCATCCTGGGGAGCCAGGTCCAGCCTTGGGCTGATCTCATCATCCTGCCACGCTTCATGGGGACAAGAAAGAGATGACATTGAGGGCCTGGGACCAAGCCAGCCAGAGAGCCCAGTGCCAGGTGGGGAGGGGATCACTTGCCCACTGTCCCCTCAGAAGGCCTGGGGGGAGGTTGGTGCTAACACCCAGTCTCTGCCACCTTGGTCCTCTGTATGCCTCTGATTGGCACCTTCACTGCTTCTGCTGGCTTCCTCCTGTCCACTGTGCAGTAGGAGAGATTGTGAGGGATCTGCCCTGAAATGCACATCCATGGGGCCCTTCCCTGTCACTGCCCTCTCCCTCCCAGTGCCTCCAGCCAACAGCAGGTGACTTAGTTGCCTTGGTCATTTTCTTTGACAGATTCAGTCCCAAGTCCAAGACCCCTGCAAGGTAGGATGCCCCCACCCGCCCCAGCTCCACGTGTGGCTTTTTATCAGTGGGTACCTGTCTGTGTGTGTTTCCCTTCTCTTAATGGATTGCAGTGGCATCTGCTCTATTTGCTGTCCCCACCTCGGTGTGACCTGTTCCCAGGTCGGCCTAGTCTTTCCTCTCTTTCCCCCTCCATCCCTGATGAGAACATGCACCCCACTGGACACCGTTTTCACCTTGTGGTTCTGTGGCTCCACAACTGGAAAGTATGGGAGCCGGGCCCAGCCCTCCAGAGAGGGTCGCAGTGTCAGGGAGGGAGGTCACCATCCTACAGCCAAAGTGAGCCCCACAATCACTCCATTCTCGTTTACCCTCATTTTCTCACTTGTCCTGCTGGGGCGTTAGCACTGCCAACTGCCTTGCAGCACTCCTGTTACAGGGGCAGGTTGACATCTCCCCAGCTCTGTAGTGGAAGAGCAGAGTGAATAGAGAGGGGGAATCTGGGGCATTGGAAGGGATCTTGGCTTTGGGATCTGAGGTGACAGTTTGTAATGGGCATTTTATGTGAGCATGTACACACACACATACATTACACATATTCACTTTTAATGTCCTGACCTGGGGGAATAGATGGAAAGCCCCTGGCTTCCTGTTAGCCGTTGACATTCCCAGCTGTGAGGACAGGAGAGTTTTCTGGTCTTGACCCCCTGCTAATGCGAGGGTGCTCATGCCCTGCCGGTTAGTCGGGCACACAACCCACTGATCCTCGTCCCTTCACTCCCTGCATTTTCTGTCTCTGACGAGATCTCCCCTTACCCTGTGCAGACTGAGCCCCCTGCAGAAAGCCCCGGGGTGGGGTGTGGTTTCTAAAGAGGAGGGGCATGTGTGGCCACGTAGGAGAGAGAGGGTCAGGCAGGGAGAGCGGAGTGAGTCGGAACCAGCTCTGCCACTCAGTGAAGCAGAGTAGGAACCTGCTGGTGGTTAGGGGGTTCAGCCCTGGGACACTGTCTTTCCTGGGGCTCCATTGCTGCTAGTGAGGCCAGAGGCCACTGTCACCCCTTACTCTGGGTGTGACTGAGGCAAGGAGTGTTTGTTGGGACAGGAGGTGTGAGTGGGTTTGCAGATTGTTGCTTTTTTCTCATCTCTGCAGATTTTTGTGTGTGCACATGTGCACTCAGATCTGGGTGACCCTCTCTTCCCCACCCTTCATCTCCTACCCCCTCCTCTATTACACAGCGGAGCTGCATCTTAAGTTATTATGCAATCCTGGCTCTGGTGCTGGATGATCTAGGACCTCTGTCATTGAGCATCTCTGGGCTTGGGTTTCCTGGGACCAGACACTGTGAGAACTGGATTAGATGGCTTCCCATGTCTCATGGGCTCCAAAGTGCAGACAACAGCAAATCCCAGGTGTTTGCAACCTCCGGAACCTTCTGTCATGAGAAGCTTCAGGCTGTGATGGAAGAGCAGGCCTACATGGAGATTTAATCAGATGAACTTGGCGGACTAAGCCGATGCGGTGGAGCAGGTTAATACCACCTGCCACTGGGCTGGATGTTTCCATACTGGGGGGAGCTGAGAACCTCCATTGAGTGCCATGCTAAGGATTGGAGGGGGGCAGTAACAGCTGCCTCCTGTCACCCCACAACCATACTGCAGCCAGCTCCTGTGTCCCCTTCGTCCCTTCCCTCTTTCCTGTCTGCCAGAGAGTATTGTTCTGAGCAGGAGACAGAAAGTGGGTCCCCGTGCTGCCAGCCTGCTGCAGCCTCAGCCTGGGCTGCCTAGTCCTCAGCCCTGGCTACAGTGACCTCTAATTCACAGGGATTCCAGGACTGGCTGGCACCTGCTTCAGGTCCCTGTTCATAGAGTGAACAGGGTTGTGGGGGGATTATAGAGTGGATGAGAAGAGGGAAAACGTTTCAGAAACTCATTGATTTTTAAAGCATTTGTCAAAAACTCGTTTGCAAATAGTTTCTAGAAAAATTGAATTAAAACATAAGTTCAAGGGCCAGCACTGTGGCTTAGCAAGCCAAACCTTCACCTATGGTGTTGGGATCCCATATAGGTGTCAGTATGAATCCTGGCTGCTCCACTTCCAATCCAGTAGCCTGGTTGGTTCTTTTTTTTTTTTTTTTTAGATGTATTTTATTTTTATTGAAAAGTCAGATATACAGAGAGGAGGAGAGACAGGAAGATCTTACATCCATTGATTCACTCCCCAAGTGGCTGCACAACCAAAGCTGCGTCGATTAAAAGCCAGGAGCCAGGAGCTTCTTCTGGGTTTCCCACATGGGTACAGGGTTCTAAGGCTTTGGGCCGTCCTCGGCTGCTTTCCCAGTCCACAAACCAGGGGGTTGGATGGGAAGAGGGATCAGAACCGACACCCAAATGGGATCCTGGTGCATGCAAGGCAAGGACTTAAGCTCTTAGACTACCATGCTGAAGGATTGCTGTCTCTCCCTCTCACTTTCAAATGAATGGGCAAATCTTATTTTTTCTTTTTAAGATAAGTTCGAGACAGTGTGATACATTGGGGTAAGCCCATATGAGATCCTGGCATATACAAGGCAAGGACTTTAACCACTATGCTACCATGCCTGGCCCTGTATCAAAACACTTCTAAATTCTATTTTCCATTGAGTTTTATGAAGTCTCTGAAACCTTTCTTGTGAAATTAAGCAGGCCCTGATTGTCCTGGGAACCATTGGCTGGAGTGAGGGGTCCCTGCAAGGGGCAAGGGGTGCTCTTTCTCTGTTTCTTCCTGAACTGTCTAGCAGCCAGGGAAGTCCTTTTAGTTTTTTCTGTCGCCTCTGCTGCCTCCTTGTGAAAAAAATCAAGGTGTCTCCTTACTCAGTTCTCTTGACATCCCTTTGTGCTCTTAAAGGAGCCACTGTCCTGAATGTGGTGTGGAGGGCTCTACCCCACCCCCGCGGGTGCCTGGGTGCATGTATTCGGGGTGCACTCGCTGTGTCTTTGCCCACCAGGGAAGAGCGCCACCCTCTTCAGCCGCCACACCAAAGCCATCGTGTGGGGCATGCAGACCCGGGCTGTGCAAGGCATGCTGGACTTCGACTACGTCTGTTCCCGAGACGAGCCCTCGGTGGCCGCCATGGTCTATCCTTTCACGTGAGTCCTGCTGTGGCCAGAAGCCCAGCTGTCCTGCTCTCCTACCTCAGCTGACACCAACTGGGGTTGGGGGTAAGGGAGGGCTCAGCACACTTCTCCCCTTTGCTGGGGAAGGGTCTGTCCCTATCCCCACTGTTGCCACCCCGTGAGGACAGTCCACCCTCTCGGGGATCTTTTTGCCTTCTCTACAAAGTTGAGGAAGACAGAGCCCTGGCCTGCTGTACCTTATCTCAGCTTTGCCTCTGCCCTCTCCCAGGGGTGACCACAAACAGAAGTTTTACTGGGGACATAAGGAAATCCTGATCCCAGTCTTCAAGAACATGGCTGATGCCATGAAGAAACACCCGGAAGTGGATGTGCTGATCAATTTTGCCTCTCTCCGTTCTGCCTATGACAGCACCATGGAGACCATGAACTACGCTCAGGTGAGTCCCTGAGCACTGGGCAGGAGACAGCCCCTGAGTGGTATCCACAGCCACTGCTGCTGGGGACAAAAGTGGCCCAGCTGTACCCAAGGGTACAGCCCTTGCAGCTTTGCTCTGTCCTGCCGTCCGAGTGGTTCCCATAGTCCTCTGAGTGCTCTGAGGCCCCTTGCCAGCACTAAGTAGTTGTCAAACTAATACTTCCTGTCGAATCTGTGTTCCTTTGGTCATCAGCTAAGAGAAGCTTTTGGAAACACGAATTGGCCCTTTGTACCTCACCACTTGCTCTCCCTCGGTTCTTCTCATTTGTCCTTTTATTTATTTTTTTTTTCAGTTGTCTTCAAAATTGATTTGTAAAAACCCTTCATAGATTAGTCATGTTGATTCTTTTGTTCAAAATTGTCTGATTTCAGGTTGTTATGTTTTAACTTATAGCTAGACACCTAAAATTATTTTGATATCTAGATGCAATAAAAAATATAGCATATCTCTGAAAAGTTAGTTAGTCTAGAGCAGAGATTGCAAACTATAGCCCAAAGCAAAACCTAGGCCATCTGATTGTACTGGGGTTTAAAAAAAAAAACACTTAACAGGACCTGGCACTGTAGCCCAGTGGCTAAAGTCCTTGCCTTCAACACATGGGGATCCCATATGGACACTGGTTCTAATCCTGGCAGCTCCACTTCCCATCCAGTTCCCTGCTTGTGGCCTGGGAAAGCAGTGGAGGATGGGCCAAAGCCTTGAGACCCTGCACTCGAGTGGGAGACCCGGAAGAGGCTCCAGGCTCCTAGCTTTGGATCAGCTCAGCTCTGGCCGTTGTGTTCAGTTGGGGAGTGAATCATCAGACGGAAATCTTCCTCCCTGTCTCTCCTCTGTATACCTGACACATGGATAAATTTTTTTTCTTTATTTTTGACAATGCTTACATAGTTAATTACGGCACAAAGGTTCACGGGTTACAGGAAAGTGTGTAAGAGTGTTATTTCCACTTTTTTTTTCCTGTATCTGGGGAAAAGGGGGAGGTAAAGGGTGAAGCTCCACCCAGTCTCCCACCCATCCCAGGTCCCTGATGTGGGGCATGCTCTGAGGGTCTTGCTCAAGTGGTTTTGATAGTTTAACAGGGCCCGGCGTGGTGGCGCAAGTGGTTAAGGTCCTCGCCTTGCACGCCCAGGATCCCATATTGGCGCCAGTTCTAGTCCCGGCAGCCCCGCTTCCCTTCCAGCTCCCTGCCTGTGGCCCGGGAGAGCAGTCAAGGATGGCCCAAGGCTTTGGGACCCTGCACCCATGTGGGAGACCCGGAAGAAGTCCCTGGATCCTGGCTTCGGATCGGCATAGTATCGGCCGTTGCGCTCACTTGGGGAGTGAATCATCGGATGGAAGATCTTTCTCTCTGTCTCTCCTCTCTGTATATCCGCCTTTCCAATTAAAAAAAAAAAAAAAAGATAGTTTAACAGTTCTGAATTGCTGCTGTGTCACCATTCCAAGCACGATGAGGTCGCTGAAGAATCCACTGATTGACATAGTCCATCTTAGACTCTCCATTTGGATACATCTTTAAAAAAGAAAAATCACTTAAAATTTTTTTTTCTGTATACTAGAAAAGCAGAGTGGGGAGGAGAGAGAAACAGAGAGAAAGAGGGAATCTTCTTCCACTTAATTGTCCCCTAAACTCCCACAACAACCAGGGATGGGCCAGGCCGTAGCCAGAAGCCCTGAACTGTGTCCAGGTCTCTCATGTGGATAGGAACCCAAACACCTGAGCCCTCATTGCTGCCTCCCAGGATGTGTTCCAGGAAACTGGATTGGAAGCAGAGCAGACAGGACCGGAACCCATGCACTTTAATAAGCAATGAGGTTGTTCTTGAGGAGTGGTTTAATGTGCTGCGCCACAATACCTGCCCTATCACCTATTTTTGGAAAAAAGTTTTGTTTAAAAATTACAATCATGCTCTGATTCACATACTATCCGTGGCTGCTTTTTCACCACATATCACCAGACACCACGTGGGCTGGAGAGCTGAAATGCCACCTCCACCCCTCACAGAAGGTTTGCTGGACCCTGGTCTGGAACCCAGGAAAGGAGGTGCTTGGGCCTTCTTTGTTCCCTGCCTGACACACTCTCCTGGCTGAGTGTTGAAGCAACTCGTCCCCTCACACTCAGGCCTCACCCTGTGGGGACACGGTCACGACTCAGAGGATACTGTGGAGAGAAGCCACACATGGCTGGGCAGATGCAGGGCAAGTGGAGAGCGAGTGGCCGGAGTTTCCAAGTGAGAGGCCAAGTGGCAGGCTGTGGAAATGTCTTCTCTTGTGTGTGTACTGAATCACTGTGGTGTTGGCCAGTGAGAGCCACTGGCCTGTCTACCACCTCTCTTTTGGGAGAAGGTTAGGGCGCTTAGGGTGGAGGGCCAGGCTGCTGGCCACATGACTTTATACGTAGAGCCTGGGAGGGGGCACAGGGCATGGGAAGGGCTAATAGGAGGGCATTTGTTGTTGCCTAGATTCGCACCATTGCCATCATAGCCGAAGGCATTCCTGAAGCCCTCACCAGGAAGCTGATCAAGAGGGCGAACCAGAAGGGAGTGACCATCATCGGACCTGCCACTGTGAGTCTCCCACCCCCACCCCCCAGAAGGCCTTGCTTCTTCTTCTGTTTTTTAAATTGTAATTTTAATGATGTTTACATTGTTTACATAGGGTGGGAAGGGTTGAAGATTAAGGGAAAGTGGATGAGACCATTGTTTCCAAATTTTCTTTTTCTTCTTCCTGTTTCTGGGGAAAGTGGGGAGATAAGAGGGGGAAGACCATCCAGCATCCCAACCACCTCAGTATCCAGGGATGGGTAACAGCCACTGGATATCATCCCAGGGTCCCCTATGTGGAACGTGCTCCGAGGGTTCTGCCTCAGTGGATCTGATAGTTCTGAAATGTTGTTGATCTCACTGATTTAAGGAGGAGAAAATCCTTCCAAGGTCCATTGGCTGACAGTCTCCATTCGCCCAGGTATTTGCTCTCAATGCTTGGCTGGGGTAGTTGAGCAATTTATTCTGCCCTCCATCCTCTGCTATGGTACCAGATGTTCTCTACACGCCCCAGTGGAATGTCATGTCCTCTATGTGTGTCTGGGCATGCTGTTCATTGCTCTGTCTTAGCCGTTGAGGAGGCCCAGTTCCGACCACATGCACTCCACAGTCAGACCACAGATCCTGTGATTCTTCCCATAGTTTGAGTTCTGAGCCCAGTGGTTCAGTTTGGAGGATCTCCAAAGAAACCTCATCTGAGGTGATCCAAGACCTGACTTGTGTGTGCTTGCCAGTATGGGATCCGACTCAATCTGTCACCCACATCAGCCTACATACACACTGGTGGTTGCAATTTCTGGGTCAGTTCTGACTCCAGCCCCGTCTCTTATACAAACCAATGGATGCTGCGATCCAGCCCAACCCTGACCACCAGACACTCAGCCCTCACATATACCAGCGGGAACTAATCGTGGTTAACCCCTCAGTAACCCCCGACTAGGGCCACCCCAAGCCTTGGTTCCTGTGCTTACTGGTATGTTCAGCAGACTGGTCCAGTCTGTCTCACATCCACATCCTATTCAGCTCTCATACATGTCAATGGTCACTGAAGTCTGGCTCAACCCAACCAACCCCACTATCCAGCCCACATTTATATCAGCAGGTACCACTTGCTGTCTAGTCAGGCCTACCTCCAGCCATGGTTCTTACTTTCACCAGTGGGAGTTGCAGCCCTTCATAGAGGTGGCCACAGTTTCCCTACTTGGTCTACACCCAGCCCCAGATCTTGCACTTTCCAGGTGCTATGGCAAAGCCCAGCCAGCCTGTACTTAGTCTAGCTCATGTGTGCACTAGTGGATACCCAGCCTGGCTTTCCCCCTAATCCAGTTCACATGCAGGCCAACAGGTGTTATAGCCCTGCCTAGCCTAGTCTGCCCCTGGTCTCAGTTCTCACTCTCACTAGTGGGAGCAGTGGCCCAGCAGCAGAGCTCGCACTGTCCCCCTACCAGGCTCACACTCCTCCCCCTGGGTCTCATGCATACTGCTGGGTGCTGTAGCCTGGTCTGGTATAGTCCATCTCACTTTGATATTTGCCAGCAGGTACTGTAGCCTTGCCTGGCCCAGTCTGCCCCCAGTTCCAGCTCATGCTGGTGGGTCTACAGTCTAGCCCAGCACAGCCAACCCCTAGTCCTGACCCTAATTTCTTTTTTAAAATAAAGTTTTGTTTTGTTCATTTGAATCTTGAGTTACAAGAGGAGAAAGAGGTAGAGACACTCATACATACTGAGAGAGAGAGACCTTCCATCTGCTGGTTCATTCTCCAGATGGCACAGTGGTTGAGGGCTGGGCCAGGCCAAAGCCAGGAACTCCATCTGGATCTCCCTTGTAGGTGGCAGGGGTCCAAGTGCTTTCCCAAATGCATTAGCAAGGAAGTGGATCAGAAATGGAGCAGCCAGGACTTGAACCAAAACTCTTATGCATGCTTATCTCATGAATCCTTGTACAAAATTGATGTCTCAGGCCCAGGCTTAACCCATTATGCTTCAGTGCCAGCCTCAGTCCGTTTCACCTTTGTATATAGTTTCAGGAGCTAATAAGAAGGTGTTTCTCTTTGTTTTGAAAGAGAGACAGACTCCAGTCCACCAGTTCAGTCCCTCCATCACTGCAACAGCTAGGGGGAAGAGCCAGGTCTCCCATGTGGGTGGCAGAAACCCAGTCACTTAAGCAAGCCATTGCTACTGCCACCCAGGATCAGCATTAGCAGGATTTTTAAAAAATGTGTTTGTCTACCTTCAGAGAACTACAGGTAGTTTTTGATTCTTCCTTCAAGTATAAATGAAAGAATGATCTCCCAACTTGGGAGATCATATTCTTGAGTCAAAAACATGCTCTGTAAAATTTTTATTCTTATGTTTACCTAGTTGTTGCCTACGTATTACTATTTATATATTTATTTTTTATTTGAAAGAGGGAGAGTCACAGAAATTTTTCCCTTAGCTCATTCATCCCCTCCTAATGATTGCAAGAGCTGGGGCTAACTGCCAGGCTGGGAAGGCAGGTTGGCCTTGTGGGTGGCAGGACCCAAGCACGTGGGCCATCTTCTGCTACTTTCCCAAGTGCATTATCAGGAAACTAGATCAGAAGCTGAGCAGTCAGGACTTAAGCCAGGCCATCCCAGTATGGGATGTGTGTGTTCCAAGCCTTGGCCCAACCCATTACTCCGCAATATCCGCTTCCTATTCCACGTGTGAAGCTGGGATTTCCAACAAAGCCAGGCATCTTCTAGAGTCAAAGGGTGATTTTGATGCACGAAGCACAGCTGTATTGTCCCCTCTGCTGGGTTATAGGCATATCTGGAGCGAGGGTGGTGACCTGCCTTTAAAACTGTTTGCATCTATAAGAGCTGGCTGTGCTTGATAAACAAAGACGTTCCTTTTTATGTGTGGCTTCTCTTGAGAGAGGAGCTTCTTCCTAAACAGGAAGGCCAAGGAGTACTCGGTTCTTCTGTCCATCTTCTCCCCAGCCAGGCCAGAGAGGGCTTTGAGATGGCTTTGAGCCCTGTGTCATATCTGACTGCTGCTGTGTGACGCCCTCCACCCCCGACAGGTTGGAGGCATCAAGCCCGGGTGCTTCAAGATTGGGAACACAGGTGGGATGCTGGACAACATCCTGGCCTCCAAGCTCTACCGCCCTGGCAGCGTGGCCTACGTGTCGAGGTCTGGAGGCATGTCCAACGAGCTGAACAACATCATCTCCCGCACCACGGATGGCGTTTACGAGGGTGTGGCCATCGGCGGTGACAGGTGATCCTCTGCCAGGGGGCGTCCCAGGTGGAGTCTTTAGATCCTGCCATGTCTGCTTGCTGGCACAGAGTTCCAGCCCTGGCATCTAAGTTCCTGACAGGATATATCTGTTCCTATCTCAGGTCTAATGAACTCTTTCATTTTTTCTTTATTTTTGACAATCTTTGCATAGTTAATTAGGGCAAAAAGGTTCAAGGGCTACAGGAAAGTGTGTAAGGCTATTATTTCCTCATTGTTTTTTTTTTTCTTGTATCTGGGGACCTAATGGACTCTTGAAACCAGACAGCAGAGCAGGCTGTGTTTCTAAAGCATTAGGGGGCCGTTGCTGAGCTTGGCCCTCGGGGTGGCAGAGTGTAGTTGGAAGGAGAGCAACCAGAGGTACCAGGGGAAAAAAGGAAAGCTCACTCCCAAACCAAGCGGCTTCAAGCAGTGAGAAGCACAGAGGTGTCAGTGGGCAGGATGTAAGAGTGGCTGGATCTGGCAGTTCTGCCTGTGGACTGGGGTTCCCGTGAGGCTGTGCTCAGACATCAGCAAGGTGGCCATCCAGCAGGGATGGCTCATCCATTCTTCTCCGTGGGTTGTTGGAGTGGCCTCAGGACTTGGGGCTGATCCCCCAGAGCCTGACATTTAAGAGTGTCAGGCACTATCTTTAACCTAGCCTGGGACGGTAGGGTCAGAGATGGCTTCTGCCACCCGTTGTTCAGGAGAAGCTGGTTATCTTCAACCAATCAAGAAGAGGGCTGGAGCTCAGTTTCCAGCTTCTTCTGAGAGAGGCTGTATTTTAAGATCCATATCTGTGCCTTCCAGGGCTTCTCTGCTGGGCGATTCTCCCTAGGCTGCTTCTGTGCTCAGGTTTTTCTGCAGTTCACTGACCTCTGTCCTCCCCTCTGTCCCATTATTCCTCCCGGGACATTTGCCCCCACGGAAAACCCCAGTGTCCCTCACACAAGTGTGCTGCTCACACTTGCACCCCCTTTACCCAGACCTCTCCTGATCCTGTCCTTCCCGCCCACAGGTACCCTGGCTCAACCTTCATGGATCATGTGTTACGTTACCAGGACACACCAGGAGTCAAGATGATTGTGGTGCTTGGAGAGGTTAGTTTGATTGATTGATTTATTTTTTAAGGATGATCATAAAAGTAGTGCATGATCTTAGATTCTAAAAATGTCAGCCCTTTGACTCTATACCACTGAAGGTGGCAGCCCATGTGTGGTGGGGCCTCGAGGCTGTCACTGTTGGTGCTTCTGTGTGTGTTCCCTCCTAGTGGCCCGAGCCACCAGCCCCTGTCCAGGAGTAGTGCTGTCCTAGCTGACCGTGTTCTGCACTTGGTGAGCCTGAGCACTGTGCCTTGCTCACACCCCTGGGTGGGTCTGATTCTCCATCATCTTGCAGCTATAGATTGTCCAGGGATTGTCTCTGGAGTCCTCCAAGAATACCTGCTGCACTCCAGAATTCTTCCTCATGTCCAGGCTGAAACTGAGCTCACATTCTGTTATTTGGCCAAAACCATGCGCTATGTGCAGAAGCCAAATGGATCATGGAGAACCTTCCATGGGGTTAAGCCTTCATGTGGCCTGGGGCAGTTGTTCACGATGGCATCCACTGACTTGTGGGCTTCTGCTTTTTGCTTGTTCCTGGGTAGATAGGGGGCACCGAGGAGTATAAGATCTGCCGGGGCATCAAGGAGGGCCGCATCACCAAGCCTGTGGTCTGCTGGTGCATTGGGACCTGTGCCACCATGTTCTCCTCTGAGGTACGACGGGGGTGGGGCGGCTGAGGGGACCTCAGTAGCAGTCATCCCTGAGATTGACATGCTGGACCTGCTTGGTGACTGTGGAGTCCAGCCTGGGTCCTGCTCGCTGAGTGTCCAGCTCTTCACCACATCCAGGCCTGCTCTCTAGGAGGGGAAAGACTTCCCTGAAAAAGTGGGGCTCACCTGGTGTCTTGAGGGGTTAGGAGGGGGACACAGCTCAGCTGCAGAGGGTGTGGTGAACATTTCTGAGTGCAGGGAGCCCCGACCACCAGGCCCCAATCAGGCCACTCTCCTTTGTCTTCCAGGTCCAGTTTGGCCATGCTGGTGCCTGTGCCAATCAGGCTTCTGAAACTGCAGTGGCCAAAAATCAAGCCTTGAAGGAGGCAGGGGTGTTTGTGCCCCGGAGCTTTGACGAGCTTGGCGAAATCATCCAGTGAGTGACCCGAGGAGGCTGCCTGCCTCTCCTCCCACGTCCCTCTCTCCTCCCACGTCCCTCTGCAATCCAGTGCAGCTGCACAGGTGGTGAAGCCACCCTTCGCTTCCCAGGGCCGGGTGTGCAGGCAGGGGCGCTGACAGCGTTGGTTCCAGAGGCCGCCTCCTGGCCAGGCCTTGGTGGCTGTGAGGGCAGGTTGAACATGCAAGTATCTCCTCTGACTGAGAAAGAGTTGTCCTGCTGTGTCTTTCTGCTTTTCCCTCTGCCGTCTGCCCATGCTACCCACCTTGGCCCTTCCTCAGCCCCCAGATTATGTTTTCTTTAAATTCCTGTTCACAGTACGTGTGAAGTGGTGGGGAGGGTGGGATGAATGCAGTTTGGGCCAGAACCTGTTTTTATTATTTAGCTCTCGAGACCCAGCTGGACAGAGTAGGCCACGGACAGGAAACCCATGGTGTTCAGTTTACGTGGAGAAGCACTCTTGGGATGCTGTGTAGATCCCAGGATCACAGAAGTCACGTGATGTCTTCTCCTCCCGCTCCCAGATCTGTATACGAAGATCTTGTGGCCAAAGGGGTCATTGTTCCTGCACAGGAAGTACCGCCCCCAACGGTGCCCATGGACTATTCCTGGGCCAGGGTAGGTGCCTTGGGTACCCCCAGGGGAGGACAGGGGAGGTTTAGGGGGCAGTCTATTGCTTATTTGAAAGGTATAACAACAGAGAAAGAGAGAAAATTCAAACTCTCCATCTGCTGATTGACGTCCACATGGCCATAGCAGCTAGGTGTGGGCGAGGCCAAAGCTAGGAGCTAGGAACTCCATCCTCGTCTCCCACGTGAGTCACAGGAACACTTGCCTGTCACCATCTGCTGCCCTCCTAGTTAGCTGGGAGCTGAATCGGCAGCAGCAAGGGCCAGCACTGTAGTGTAGCCCATACAGGAACCCGACGGTTGCAAGACTAAGATTTAGCCACCAGGCTACCACGCCAGGTCCAAAAAAAATTTTTCTCAAAGGCCAGTAAACCTTTAGAAAGATGGATAATAATTGGCCTTTTAGCATGAAAAAATGTTCAGTATCATTTATTATAAAAGGAATCCAAAGTGGAATTGTCATGACAGCCTTCCCCCATCAGATCAGCAAAGATAAGAAAGGTGTTAGGCAACATGTTTGTGCAGGTGTGAGGACACCGCACCTGCCTCCGTGGTGGGTGGGAGTGGAAGTTGATCCAGCTTTCCTGAGGCAGCTGGCTAAGAGCAGAACAGCTGGAGCGCTCACCCCTGTGGCCCAGCAAGGTCCTGCTCAGTGGTTAGTGCAGAGGAATGCCGTGTCCGTGTCCGGCACACAGAGAAACAGGTCCAAGGGTTGCTTCTGTTTGGTGGCTGTCAGTGTGCTGTAGCACTGTGTCCGTCACAGGCTGCCATGTGAAAGGAAAAGAAGGGAGCAAGCTGGCATGGATGTGCTGATATCTGTAGAGTTCATAATTGTTGAACAGACTGCCCAAGGCTCCACTGCGCTTACCTGAAAAGTGTCTATGTATGAAACTACGTTGCACGTCACCTGTGTGAGTGGAAGTAGGAAAGATGTCCGTTTCACTAAAACACGCAGACAACCTGGAGGTGGTGGTCACAGGAAGACTAACCACATAGGAGGTCTTCAAAAAGTTGATAGAAAATGTACCTTATATGAAAATTATGCTTGGATTCCACTTTTTTCTCTTTTAAAGATATACTTATTTATTTGAACGGCAGAATTAGAGAAGTCTGCCAGCTGTTGTTCTCTCCCTGAATGGCCAGGGTTGGGCCAGGTCAAAGCCAGGAACCTGGAACTCTGGTCTCCCCGTGGGTGGCAGGGGCCCAGTCACTTGCACCATCTGCCTGTGCTTTCCCAGGTGCATTGGAAGGGAGTTGCACGAGAAATGGAACAGCTGGACTTTAAACTGGTACTTACATGGGGTTAACCCTCTGTACCACCATGCTAGTGTAACTTTTTTTTTTTAAAGATTTGTTCAGTTATTTGGAAGAGTTAGAGGGGAAGAGAGAGAAATCCTCATGCTGCTCTACTCCCGAAATGGTTGCAACAGCCAGGGCTGGGTCAGGCTGAAGCCAGAAGCTTTATCTGAGTCTCTCCTGCCCGGGTGCCGGGCCCCAAGGCTTTTGGGTCATACTCTACTACTTTCCCAGGCCACAAGCAGGGAGCTGGATGGGAAGTGGAACAGCTGGCACATGAAACAGAGCAGTCCATTCAATAATTCTGAGCTCTACAGATGTCAGAGGGCACAAGGACCTGGGTCATCCTTCGCTGCTTTCCCAGGCACAGTAACAGGGAGCTAGATGGGCAGTAGAGCCGCAAGAGCTCGAAGTGGAGCTCTTACAGGATGCTGGCATGGCAGGTGGCTTACCCAGTACACCATAGTACCAGTCTCTCCACTAGCTTTGCACCCAAATTGGGCATTGTAATTCCATTTCTGTGAGCTTTCTGAAGTATGCCTGTATCTATCTGTCCTCCTTTAGCTTTGAAAAGGAGAATGTAGTCGTATTCCTTTTTACACACATAGCTTAATGGTGTTTGTTAAAGAAAGGGGGTTGCGCAGAAGGGGCAGAAGAGAAGTTCAAGAGTCCAAGCCCCTTTCCACACATAAAGAGCATGCTGGGTAGAGCCCCATGTGTACTCATGTGAGCCCCATGTGCTTTGGAGTGACATCGTGTACAGATTTCCCAGGGGAGCCGTTCTTTGACTTTTCAACCTGTGATCCTGGGCCTCCATAAGCCTCCATTTCTCTTTAACATGAGAAATGGTTCTTGGTGGCGTTGAAATGAGTCAGTGGGGACAAACATTTGGCCTAATGGTCCTGTAGTTTATATTGGCATGCCTGGGATCAAGTCCCAAGTCCATTTCCCATCTTACTGCTGCTGGTGCACACCCTGGGAGGCAGCAGGTGAGAGCTCATTCACGTGGGTCCCCATGGCCTCACCTCTCCACTCCCCAGTGGAGAGCCTCACTGAATTCCAGGCTCTGGTTCTGGCCTGGCCCAGCACTGGATGTTGGAAGCATTTGGGGTAGTAAGCCAACAGTTTAGGGACTCTGTGTCTTTCTCTGCCTTTCAAATGCTTAAAATGCATTTATTCATTTTATTTTATTTTATTTTATTTTAAATAATTTAAAGATTCATTTATTTTTATTGGAAAGTCAGATATATACAGAGAGGAAGAGAGACAGAGAGGAAGATCTTCTATCTACTGATTCACTCCCCAAGTGGCTGTTGCAATGGCCAGAGCTCAGCCAATCCAAAGCCAGGAGCCAGGAACTTCTGGGTCTTCCATATGTGTGCAGGGTCCCAAGGCTTTGGACTATCCTCAACTACTTTTCCAGGGCACAGGGAAATAGGGCTGATGGAACTATAATTGGTGGCCATGTGGGATCCCAGTGCACGTAAGGTGAGGACTTCAGCCTGTAGGCTATTGCACTGGGCCCATTTATTCATTTTGAAAGATGAGGCAGTAAGGCCAGCTGTTGGTCTGCCCAACATGGCAGTGTTCAGTAAAGGATAGAAGCAGTGCCAGAGTTGCACGGGAACCACGTGGTGGTACCCTATTTCCTGTCCTCTGAGGGACCCAATGAAAGAAGTTTTGCACCACTTTCTTGAGGGAAATTTGTGACTTGCTACTTGGCCACCAGAGTTTAAAACATTCCTTGGAGGCCAGTGTTGGTGTGCCAATTGGGTTAAATCTGCCTGTAACACAGGATCCCCTATCAACTTGCTGGTTCTGGTTCATGTTCCTTCACTCATGTTCCAGCTCCCTGCTCAGTGTGCTTGGGAAGGCAGTAGAAGAAAGCCCAGATAGAGGGCTTGGCCAAATCCTGGCTTTGTCTCTGTCTTGCTCTAGATTTAAATAAATGCATGACTGAGATAACAAAAAAACTTTCTTGGGACACTTGGGTTCTGGGAGTAGGGGCAAGTCACAGCCCTTGAAAATCCATAGCTATCACATGTCATCAAATATTCCTGCTTCCTTTTGCTCCACCTCTGCTCAGGAACTGGGTCTGATTCGCAAGCCTGCCTCATTCATGACCAGCATCTGCGATGAGCGGGGCCAGGAACTCATCTACGCAGGCATGCCCATCACTGAGGTCTTCAAGGAGGAGATGGGCATCGGCGGGGTCCTTGGCCTCCTCTGGTTCCAGAGAAGGTGAGGCATGGAGGGCAGAAGATGGTGGGTCCTGTAGCTTGCCTTCCTGCAGAAAGGTGGGCAGGCTGTTGTAGTGTGGTTAGGGTTGGTCTTATAGCCACAGGTGGACAGCAAGGGCAGGAGAAAGAGACATGAGGGCTTTCCCTTATCTTGCAATGACAGAAACCAGAGCAGTAGGGGGCAGCGACCCTTGTGGAGGTCACAGCTGCCCCTGTTCCCAGCCTCAGCCTTTTTGCCCTGGGAAGTTTTACTTAAGAAGTAGAATGTCTAGAAGAGCAGGGCTGGGTCGGTGAGGGCCAACCCTCACAGATGCAGCTGTGGAACAGGCATGAAGTTGGGTAATTGCTGAGGTCAACCTTCCCCAGGGCTGACAGGTGGGCACGGGTGCTGGTGAGGACTGGGAGAGGGCCAGGGGTCACGTCCTCACCCACAGACAGCTGGGTCTTGATCCTGTCCTGGGGCCTTCCTGGAAAAAGGTCACAGTTGTAACAGCTGAGCAGGTTTCTTTGGGTCTGCACTGGTCTCGCCACATCTCCAGACCTTTTGCAGGGAGCTGAGCGCTGCTGGAGGTGTGGCTCCCTCAGGAAGAAAGCCACAAGTACAGGCCGGGTCCTGTTGGCAGCAATTCATACCGGAAACTGTTGCACATCGACATTGCTAGCTGTTGCAGTTTAAGTGTTTGTTTATTTATTTTTATTTAGAAGGTAGAGCGACAAAGTGAGAAAAAGATCTGTCCACTGGTTCACTCCCCAGGGACTTCATCCAGGTCTGCTGTGTGGGTGATAGGGACTCAGCACTTACACCATTGGCTGTGCCTCCTACGTGTATTAGCAGGAAGCAGAGGTGGGGCTCCATCCGGGCACTCTGAAACAGGATGCACGTATCCTAAGCTATAGCACTGACCCTGCTAACTCCATTTTAAATACAATATTTGAGGGCTGACACTAGCATCTCCTGTGGGTATCAGTTCATGTCTCCCCTGCTCCACTTTGAGTTCAGCTCCTTGCTTATTGCCTTGAAAGCAACAGAGGATGGCCCTCGATCCCCTGCACCCACATAGGAGATCCAGAAGAAGAGCCTGACTCCTGGCTCAGCTGCAGTCAGTCATTGCAGCCATCTTGGGAGGGAACCAACAGATGGAAGATCATTTTTCACTGTGCTTCTCTTTGTAACTCTGCCTTTCAAACAGAAATAAAATAAACATTTTAAATATTTATGTACCAGCGTAGTATAGAGCTGCTATAAAGTCGCCAGATTCTGAGACTGGCCCTTAGCCCTGTGGTTAGGCTGGCGAAGATGCCCACATCCCCTACTGAGTGCTTGGGTTTGACTCCCGGCTTTAATTGCCAAGTCCAGCTTCCTGCAAATACAGGCCAGGGGAGGCAGTAGTGATGGCTCAAGTAATTGAATTCCTTCTACCCACGAGGGATTCCTGGCGGAGGTTCCTGGCTCCTGATGTCAGCCCAGCGTGGATTCCCTGGAGGTCTAGGGAGTGTACCGCTAGATGGGAACACTCTCCTGTCTCTTAACATGAAGCAGCATCCTGAGGCTTGGCTTTTTGGCTCCGTGCGCATCATACATTGGCATTGGCAGTTTGCTGTCCCTGAACTTGACTAATTTTTTCAGAGAAACAGGTGCAGTGGGAAGCCGGCTTTGTCGGTGTAGCCCTTGACCTTCATTCCTCCTCACCTTTTCTCTTCCCCTCTCCACCTCTCACTCACCCTCCTCCAGGTTGCCCAAATACTGTTGCCAGTTCATCGAGATGTGCCTGATGGTGACCGCTGACCATGGGCCAGCCGTCTCGGGGGCTCACAACACCATCATCTGTGCGCGGGCGGGGAAGGACCTCGTCTCCAGCCTCACCTCGGGACTGCTCACCATCGTACGTACCAGCACCCGGGGAGGGAGAGACGGCAGCAGTGGCCTGGCTTTGGCAGCACACAACAGGGTCCTGGCATAGACCGCCCCCCCACCCAATGCCAGAGGGTGCTGTTCTGGGCCCCGGTAGGTCTGTCGGTCATGAAGCAGAAGGAAGCCGCCACTGCTGAGAGCTGTGTGTGCTTGTTCCTCCCCCAGGGGGATCGGTTTGGGGGTGCCTTGGATGCAGCAGCCAAGATGTTCAGTAAGGCCTTTGACAGTGGCATCATCCCCATGGAGTTTGTGAATAAGATGAAAAAGGAGGGGAAGCTGATCATGGGCATCGGGCACCGAGTGAAATCTGTAAGTTGTTGCTCTCTCAAAGGGGTGGCACTACAGGAAGGGTGGTGACGGGAGAGTCAGTGTAGTTTAGCAGCATGTCAGGCAGGTGGACGGGTGTTGCTCACTACGCAGCTGTCGTTTGTACCTCATACGGTACATAGTACAGCTGTGTTTTTTGGTTGGTTTTTTGTTGTTGTTTTTTGTTGCTTTAAGAGTTACAGAGAAAGAGGAAAAGAGGAGATTGAACTTTCATCCTCTGATTCACACCCTAAATGAATAGCCACGGTATCCAGAGCTGGGCCAAGTCAAAGCAAGCAACCTCCAGGGGCTGGCTGGCAGGGGCTCAAGCAATCGGGCCATCTTCTGCTTTCTGGGTTGCAACTTGGACTTGAGCTATGTGGGATGCTGGTGTCATAGGCTGCAGCTTACCCTGCTGTACCACAGTGCCCACCCAGCTTAAGCAGCAGCATCAGCTGTAATATGATAAGATGGTAGAAACGTGCTAACTGCAGCTTCCCAAATGAGCTCCCCAGGACACTAAGGCTAGAGTTGAGGGGGACATATCATCCCCTTAGGCTACATGATGCTTTGTATTACAGTTCCTTAGGTTTACAGCAGCCAAGGTGTACCCGGTCACCCACACCATACCAGCGAGGCTGCCCCTGTGCTCTGCCATCTGTGCAGAAGGGGCAGACACTTAGAGCTCTGTTTGCTCAGGGCTCTTCGGATGCACTGGCATAAGTGGGCACAGTGACTCATATCAGAGGGGCTTGGATGTGGTGCAGGACAGCCCTTTTCAGGCCTGTACAGTCCAGGTCAACTTGAGTGAGCCGCAGTCTGGGTTAGAACCATTCCCATCACCCCAGCACACTCCTTTGCAGTCTGCAGCTCAGGGTCCCTTCCCGATAGTTCTTGCCCTGCGCTGCTGCCCTCTGGTGTCAGCTAGGAAAGGAGTGGTCTTTGGTGTGAAGATCTGTGTGTCTCTACAACCCCTCGCACAGGAGTGGTCTGTTCACAGGTGGGTCATTTTTTGGAAGATCTGAAGTCTTTCCTAAAATTTGTGAGTTACTTCGCTGCCCCTGTGGCAGCATGTGCTTGAATTTTGTTCCAGCTAGACGTGGCTCCAGAGTCACTGGGCTGCCTGATGGTGTCAGGCCTGGAGACATGCAGGAGGGCAGCCCCTGCCCCTTGCCCTGCACAACCTGGGGCATCTCCAAGGCTCAGTTCCTCCTGGGTAGCACACAAGAGAAAGCCTGCAAAGGTTGTTGAAGCCCTATGGGATCTGGAAGGACCTCGGCCACCTTCAGCCCCATCTCATTATCTGGTTGGTGCCATCCATGTGGAGTGACACATGTGGCTTGGGCCCCCGTGTTGTCTCAGGGACACGTTCAGTCCTGTGCAGCCATTGGCCAAGTCCGAACATGCCCCTCAGTGGCAGCGTGTGAGCGAGCGCCCGCTTGACAGAAGGTCCCTTTCTAGATAAACAACCCGGACATGCGCGTGCAGATCCTCAAGGACTACGTTAAGCAGCACTTCCCTGCCACCCCACTGCTAGATTATGCCCTGGAAGTGGAGAAGATCACCACATCAAAGGTAGGCAGCCAGGACCCTCCCTCTGCCACCTGCCATGCCTTGATCCTGATTTGGGGTGGATTTCCCCAGGGTTGGGGGAGCTGGGAGCCAACCTCTGGCTGAATTGTGCAGCCAAAACTCCAGCCCAATTTTCTGGAAAGTTTTTATTTTCTGTTGCATGAGTGAATTCAGCAGATGTACTCAGTGCCAGCCATGTGTCAGGTCCCGTGGTGATCATTGGGAATTAAACTGTTACGAGTTTAAATGAAAGGGATTGTTTTCGGTGGAAGGCAATGGGAGGGAAAGAGAAGTGTTTCATCTGCCGGTTTTTTCTCCAAATGGCTACAAAGGCCAGGGCTGCACCTAAGCTAAATTCAGGAGCCTGGAACTCCATCCTGGTTGCCTGGATGGGTGACAGGCACCCAAGCATGGGGCCATCACCCGTGGCTTTCCTAGGTGCATTAGTGGGGAGCTGGATGGGAAGTAGGGTGGCTGGAACTTGAACCAGCACTTATGTAGTGCCAGTATTGCAGGTGGCATATTAACCAGCTGTGCCAGCATGCCAGTCCCTTGATGGGAGGTTTTAAAATAATGATCAAAATTTGTATTAGTTTTATATATATTATAGATGATATATTTATATATAGTGACAAAAAAAATGAGAATTCACGCAAGTGCTTTGAATTGTTCACCTTTCCCAGAAACCCAATCTTATCCTGAATGTCGATGGTTTCATTGGAGTTGCTTTTGTAGATATGCTTAGGAACTGTGGATCCTTTACTCGGTGAGTGGTACACACCCTTTTTTTTAAAAAAAATTTATTTATTTTAATTAATTTATTTACTTTTGCTAAGATTTATATGTATGAGAGGCACAGAGAGGTAGACACAAGGAAATGAAATTCTGTGTCAGCCAAGTCACCCCTCGTATGTCTGCAGCAGCCAGGAGCCCTCAACTCCATCTGCAAGTTCCATGTGGGTAGCAGGGGCCCAAGTACTTGGGTCACCATCTGCTTCCTCTCAGGTGGATTCAGAAGGAACCTGGATTAGAAGTGGAGTAGATGGGACTTGAACCAGGCACTTTCATGTGGGATGCGGGTGTGCCCTCTGCCATGATGCCTGCTCATGCTGTTTTCCTCTTCACAATGTTGATTAAGTTTTGTTTCTGCCCAGCTATAGATTGAGGCATGCTCTCTTTCGAGAATTTAGGTATTAAGAAGATTGCAGAAAAGTCCTACCACCCAGAGTGCTTTTCTGCTTCGGAACTAAACAGTTCCTCCTCTCTGGGCAGCCGGTGCAGGCTGTGCTGCCTGCCTGGAGGAGGGTGGGCACGTGGGCCCTGACAGACTCCTGTGCACCTGTGTGTTACAGGGAGGAGGCTGATGAGTACATCGACATTGGGGCCCTCAATGGCATCTTCGTGCTGGGCAGGAGCATGGGCTTCATCGGTGAGTTCCCAACCCTCACACTGCACTCAGCAGTCTGTACAAAAGATGTGTCACATGTCCTAAATCGTTGTTTCTGATTCTTCCTTTTAAATTTTTTTTTTCATTTTTACTCATTCATTCATTCATTCATGTATTTATTCAAAAGGTAGAGCCACAGCAAAAGAGGGGAAGAGAAAGAGACAGGGACCGCTTGCTGGATCAACCCCCAAGTGCCTGCAACAGCCAGAGCTAGGCCAGGCCTAAGCCAAGAATTCCACCCGGGTCTCCCACGTGGGTGGCAGGGACCAGTGTCCACGGGCCGTCACCTTCTGCCTCTCGGCTGCATTAGCAGGAAGCTGCATCTGAAGCAGAATGGCTGAGACTTGAACGGAACAAGCCGTGGCTAAACTTATACCACAATGGCCCACAATACTGCTTCCTCACTTCTGCCTTACTTTTATGTTTGATCCTTTGTTCTTAGAAATCATCTCTGATTGCCAGCCCAGCAAAACAAAAAATGACATCTAATGTTGCTTTTCTTTTTTCAAACTAAGTACAGCTGGTCAGCCTCTGGACTAAATCTGGATTTGCTCCCCCAGTTCTTGGATTCTGCCTTCTTGTGTGTGAGAAAGCTTTTCCCCGCTTATTCTTGGCTCTCATCAAGCTCTCAGAACCCTAACTCAGAGATGTGTTTGCTGCTTTTAGGGCACTACCTTGACCAGAAACGGCTGAAGCAGGGGCTCTATCGTCATCCCTGGGATGACATCTCCTACGTCCTCCCGGAGCACATGAGCATGTGACCGAGCCTGGAGTCCAACTGCAGGCACACGAACCGACACAGGAACTCCTCCCTGAGAAACAGCGTGCAGACAGCCGGCAGCTGGTCTGGGACGGGAATAGCCACTGGGGCACACAGTGAAGACCAACTCCCTTGGGCTTACACCCAAATGGGCCACACAAAGAAGCTTACTATTTTTTATTTTATAAACATAGAAAAACAAAACAAAAAAAACCAAGCCAATACTTGTGACATTTGCTCTGCTACCTGCTGTATTTATTACATGGATATATCCGAGTACTGTCAGCATCATGTTCCTCCTCCTGGAAGGGCGCTCAGATGTTGTTTTCTTTTTTCCATTAGTTGAAAAGATTCTTTTTCCCTGGGAGGAAGGACTGACACTCTGTAAGGCTCTGGGTGCTACTGTCCACTTCCAGGCACCCTGACGTCCTGTCTCCCCTCTGTCCTCTTCCTCCTCATATAACATGAAGAATGTTGTGTTAATCTGATTGTTAAAGACTTTTGTGTATGTTATATGTGTCAAGGATTTATTTAGCATCCCACTGAGATGTTCTGCAGGACCAAACAAGGTCTGCTTATATCAGGGGGGTGGAACCATTGCATCCTTGTCATTGTCATAAAGTGTGTGGAGTAGTAACTTAAAATGTAAAGTTGTAACATACATATGTTTAAGATGAAACCACAAGGCAGAAAGCTGTGAAGTATCTCATGTCTTAGTTCTCCGTGTCTGTGCAGCTCCCTCGGCCTGTGACTGCAGCGTGAGGCCCAGGACTCCATCAGCTATTCTGCATCTATACTCCACCACGGAGCGGGGCGGCCGCCACCTCAGTCTCATCTCCGTATCCTCATAGTCCAGTGGAAATAAACTATACAGTAACGAGGAAACCATGCTGCTGGCTCCTGTCTTCCATTCCTTTGAACTGTACTTTCTGATAGTCTCAGTACATCTATTTTTTTTAAATATTTATTTTTATTGCAAAGTCAGATATACAGAGAGCAAGATCTTCCATCTGTTGATTCACTCCCCAAGTGACCACAATGGCCAGTACTGTGCTGATCTGAAGCCAGGAACTTCCTCCAAGTTTCCCAAGCAGGTGCAGGGTCCCAAGGCTTTGAGCTTTGAGCCATCCTCTACTACTTTTCCAGGCCACAATCAGGGAGCTGGATGGGAAGTAGGGCTGTGGGGATTAGAACTAGTGCCCATATGGGATCCTAGCACATCCAAGATGAAGACTAGCTGCTAAGCTACCACACCATGCCCTTAGTACATCTAGTCTTTAAAATGCTCACCCACCTCTTCGGAAAAACTTCAGTGAGCCAAACACTAGCTTCAAGGAAAAAGAAAAAAGACTTTCTTCTTCCCTAAATCTGACCTTCCCATTCTTTCCACAGAAAAAACCCAGAGTCCCACCCAGACACCAGCCCCGAGGCTGGCAGTGACCCTGTTCTCTAGTCTGCACCCATCCCCCTCTGTTTTATCCTGCCAAATCTATTTACCTGTGCTTCGGCTGGCTGCTCAGAGGTGACCCCTACCCCCTTCCTCCTGGTGTGGTACATCCACACAGCCACCAGGGATATGTGTGTGTGTGTATGCTTATTACATCTATATATATAGTATAATCATATATATATTTGTATAAATATATATTAAGGATTTATTTTTATTGGAAAGGCAGGCTTACTGAGGTTTACAGAAAAATCTTCCACCTGGTTTAATCTCCAAATAGCCACAACTGCTGTTATGGGATACACCATGTAAAAGACCACCAAAACCAATTTGGAATTGGGGAGCCTTTATTAGCCAGCTGGCGACTGCCCCCCACCCCCAGAACAGGTCTGAAGGAAACAGCCCTGAGCTGTCAGGGCAGTGAGTTTTGAAAGGGAAGAGCCCACATCCTCATGGCCTTTTTACAGTGGCAAGCAAGGGTTCAGAGGCTACAATAAGCAGGTTAGAGCCAAGATGAGTAATTTTATAGTTATATTTTTTTTTAGAAATTGGTTCCATTTTTCATAGGGCTCAGTTCTTAGGTCCTGGTTCCCCCCCAGGAGTGTCAGTCCAACCCGAGCAGTGACTGTGGGATATTCTCAAAATTTTCACCTTGTCACACTGCAAGAGTTAGGCCAGTCCAAAGCCAGGAGCTTCTTCCTTGTTTCCCACTCAGCTCAGGTGCAGGTGCCTGAGGGCTTGGGCCAGCCTCTGCTGCTTTCCTAGGTGCATTAGCTATGAGCTGGAGCAACCAGGAATCAAACCTGTACCACTGATAATTATTTTAAAATTTTATTGGAAAGGCAGATATACAGAGAGAAGGAGATACAGAAAAGTCCTTCTTCCGCTGGTTCACTCCCCAAGTGGTTGCAGCAGCCTGAGTTAAGCCAATCCAAAGCCAGGAGCCTCTTCCAGGTCTCCCACGCAGGTACACAGTCCCAAGATTTTGGGCTATATTCTACTGCTTTTCCAGGCCACAAGGAGAGAGCTGGTTCGGAAGCCTAGCAGCCAGGAGACCAGTGTCCGTATGGGATCCCAGTGCATGCAAGGCAAGGGCTTAGCCACTAGGCCACTGCCCCAGGCTTTTAAATTATTATTTTATTTATTTGTTTGTTTAGATCAAGCATACGTGGAACTGTGATTGGCCAGAGCACTCGCCAAAAATGAACATTATCTTGCCTTCAGCTTCCCAGTAATCTGATAAGATTTTACCAGAAGCACTGGTCCAGAGATAAACACACATCCTTGTCAGTTGCCTGGGGCCCCGCCTTAATTTTTTTTTAATTTCCTACTCCAACTCGAAGCAAAAACCCCGTTATTTGCACCCAAACCTCTAACAAGGGGTGCGGCTCAAGGTGGTCTTCGCTTTGCAAAAAACGGTCGCGACCCAGTCGCCACCTTAAGGGCAGCGTGGCCCCACCGCCTGGGTGGGATGCAGCCTGCAGACGCGGTTGCGCATGCGCGGAGGCCCGGCGCTAGGCTCCGCCCCGCGCGCACTATTTAATCCCAGAATCCCTCTGTGTCGCACCCGAACGGCCGCTCGGCTGCGAGGCTGCGGGGCCAGGCGCGGCGGCGTCAAGATGGCGGCTGCGGCGGTGGCGGCGGCTGCGGCGGCGGCGGCTGCGGCGTCGCTCCAGGTGCTGGAGATGGAGAGCATGGAGACGGCCGCCGCCGGCTCCGCGGGGTTGGCCGCTGAAGTGCGGGGCAGCGGCACGGTGGACTTCGGGTCGGGTCCGGGCATCTCGGCCATGGAGGCGAGCGGGGGCGACCCCGGGCCGGAGGCCGAGGACTTCGAGTGCAGCTCCCATTGCTCGGAGCTGTCGTGGCGGCAGAACGAACAGCGGCGCCAAGGCCTCTTCTGCGACATCACCCTGTGCTTCGGCGGCGCCGGAGGCCGCGAGTTCCGGGCCCACCGCTCGGTGCTGGCCGCGGCCACCGAGTACTTCACGCCCCTGCTCTCCGGCCAGTTTTCCGAGTCTCGCTCGGGCCGTGTGGAGATGCGCAAGTGGAGCTCGGAGCCGGGGCCCGAGCCCGACACGGTGGAGGCCGTGATCGAGTACATGTACACCGGGCGCATCCGCGTCAGCACGGGCAGCGTACACGAGGTGCTGGAACTGGCCGACAGGTAGGCAGGCGCTGCGGGGAAGGGCTTGGAGGGGCTGGCGAGGTCCCCAGGACCCCGGGCCGGGCGGGGGTGGAGAGGCATGGGGACCCCCTTTCCACGCCGCGCAGAGAGGGGGACGAGACCCTCGGGCGGCGGGGGAGGATGCCCTGGGAAAGGCACTGGATCTGGTGGGTGACGTGCAGGAGAACGGGCGAGATGCGTCGGGATGAGGAGCCTGGGCTGGCAAGTCGGGAACGCGATGGGAGGCTGCGGTGAAGAAGAAGAAAAAAAAGATGCGATTTAAGTGCTTGAAAGGATTGTTCCGCGACTGTGCGAAACAGGACCTGGAGTGGATGCTCCGGAGCCTGGCTGGAGGCAGGTGGAGGCCAGGTGTGGGAAAGGGGCGGAGTCGGCTGGGGCAACAACATCTGGTTACGGAGTCGCTGTTCAATGCCTACCTGCCGAGCGCTTCTAGGTCCGATCCGTCCCTGGGTGCTGAGGTGCAGGGTGGGATTCAGCAGAAAATAAAATACACGAACAGTTCCTTTCCTCATCGCAGTTACGTCGGTCTAAGGACGATGAATAAAATCAAGGCCTGTTGGATGATTGTTAGGACTAGAGAGGGGTGGGGGCGCCCCGGGAGAGGGCTGCTGCAGAGTGTTGACCTTGGTTAGGTAGAGGATGCCTCCTCGAGGGCGGGGAAGGGGGACATTTTGCAGAGAACCGCAGGAGGTGAGCTGGACTGTTCTAGGCACAAACAGCGGCCCTGCAGTGGGGCTGATCCGGGAGGTGGCAGACAGAGCAATGGCAGAAGCCTGGAGTGATGGGGATGGATCCAGATGACATGGCCTCCCTGGGAAGGCTGTGAGCGGAACCGGTGAAACCTGGGTTGATGGATTCTGGGTTGAAAAGAGAATGGGAGAGGGGAGGAGCGGTGAGAGCAGAGCAGAGGTGAGTGTGAGAGTTGTGCAGTGGCGGAAGGGGCTGGAGCTGAGGCTCAGAGGGGTTCTGGTTCTGGGTTATTTATTTATTTGTTTATTTATTCTGGGTTATTTTGAAAACAGAAGAAATGTATTTGCTATGGATTGGCTGTGGCGGCGTGTGCAAGCAAAAACTGCTAGTTTGGGCCCAAGCAGCTGAGATGATGGGAGTTGTTGCGATGGGAAAGTCCAGGAGATTTGACTGGGCAGATGGATACAAGGGCAATGGGAAGTGCAGCTGGCAGCCTGGGTGAAATTAGCATATAGATGGTAATTAAAGCCATGGGACTGCCTTAAATTACTTAGGAGATATAGATAGAAGTAGGGGGAGAAAGGCAGGACTGCAGGATTAGAATGTTCTAGAATGTTGCAAGGGGGTCAGGAGAGGAGATTTCTCTTGGAAGCCTAGAGAGGAAGGAAGGATGTCAAGGGAGAAAGTAGCCAGACGCGGCCACCGCCCACCTTTGAGTGGTAGTGGGATGCTGGTGTTCGATTTGGGCACGGATGAAAGGATTATGTGCAGCGGGAAATCCACGTTACAGGTGTCGGGGGAAATTGCCAGGGTGGATTCGTTGAAAACAAAGAGATGGAATCCGCTTTAAACGTTGGGCTTTTTTGTTTTGTTTTTACCTATTTGAAAGGCAGAGAAAGAGAAATTGGTCTCCCATTTTCCACATGCCTTAAACAGGCAGAGCTAGGCCAAAGCTGGGAGCCCAGAACTCCATGCAATACTTCTACTTGGTTGCAAAAATTCCAAGTACTTGAGCCATATCTGCTGTCGCCCAGGGTGTGCAACAAGAAGCTAAATTAGAAGCAAGCAGAGACTTGAACTGGGCACTCCACCATGAGATGTGCCTAAGCTTAACTACTGTGCCAAAGCAGACTTGCCTCCTCCTGTGTTGGAGAGGTAAGGGAAAGGTGAGGGAGAAGATAGTCCCAAACTAGTCTCCAGCTGTCAGGCTGAGCAGTTGTGTGGTGTCCGGCCTGTGAATGACCTGCAATCATCACATTTAATCTTCCCATCAGCCTCCAGGCAGGATCTTCACCCTGTACACAGCCAAACCAAATCTGCTCTGTTAACCACCCTACTTCCCTCGCAGGACACTTTATAATTAGATGTGCTGCCCACAAGACAAATGTCTGCTGTATGATAGCTGCTATTTCATAAAGCAGTATGGCAGATACCTGACGGAGGGACCGGGTGTCAGGATTACTTGGAGTACCTGCCAAAAATAAGAGCTCAAGGCTGCCTGGGATTGGTAACCTTGGCACCCAGCCTTGAGAGCCACGGCCTTGCCAGCCCACTCTTTTACCTCCTGGATGGTGGTGTGCTCCCTCACGAGGGTGAAGGGAGCCTGTCTTACCTTTCTGTTGCAGTTGTGATGGTTATTAATGGCTGTAACCCTAATAGCAAACAGTTACTGACTCGAGAGGCCTGAATGGATGAAGTCATCCTCCCTACTGTTTTGAAAGCAGTAGTGTCGGTTGGCCACCCTCAGGAGGAAGGCTAAGGCTGCCAAATTGATTAATTCAGCTGAAGTTATTGGTGTTTTGTTTTTAATTTAATTATAAGTTAATTAAAGTAGGTGGATAAGGTCTAACAGGCCACCTGCCAAACCACTTGTGCTTTTAGACCTAGACTATCCTACATACCTGGTTTTGTTGTGATCTGGTTTTGTTTCCTGGCTTCTTCCAGTGCTTAAGTTTGTTTTATGATCCCTGCATTAACGAGCACTCAGCTAGGAGCAAAGCCCCCTGGGTACCCCAATCCCTCAAGCAGCCAGTTAAAGCTGTGTTGAAGAAAAAGGGGCACCATGTGGCACAGCAAGTTAGAACTATGTCTGGGGTACCAGCATCCCATATTGGTATCAGTTTGAATCCCGACTATGCCCCTTATGATCCAGCTCCCTACTGGTAGCCTGGGAGGGCAGCAGAGGATGGCCCAAGTGGTTGGGTCACCCCTGGTTTCAAATCGACACAGCTCCAGCCATTGTAGTCATTTGGGGAGTGAACCAGCAAGTAGAACATCTCTGTCTCTCCCATCACTGTAACTCTGCCTTTCCAATAAAAATAAATCTTCAAAAGAAAAAAAGGAAGATGAAGAAAATTGAACCACATGAAGCCTGTGGTACTGTGTCTTTTGGTGTCTAACCACATGGTGGCCTGGAAGACGTAGTCCTTTCCTGGAGGAACTTTATATCTTCCAGGACCTTATGGAAAAATTCAATCTCATCTAAAATATGTATGTTTTATTTGAGAGGCAGATTTACAGAAAGTGATTTTTCATCTGCTGATTCACTCCCAAATAGCTGCAGTGACCAGAGCTGAGTTTTTCCAGAGCCAGAAACTTTCAGGTCTCCCATACAAGTATAAGAGTCCCAAGGCTTTGGCTCTTCCTCCACTGCTTTCCCAGGCCACAAGCAGGGAGTTGGACAGGAAGTAGAACAGTCAGGAATGAACCAGTGCCCTTATGGAATGCTGGAGTTTGAAAGCAGAAGATTAACCATTTCAGCTCTCACACCAATTCCATTGTGTATATTATAATGTGTGAACTACAATATTTTAAAAATACTTTTTTATATAATTTTAAGAAAGTATTTGGGAGAAATGCAAAAAGAGAGATCTTCCATCTGCTAGTTCACTCCCCAGAATAGCTGCAACAGTTAGGGGTAGGCTAGGCCAGGAGCTTCTTCCAGATCTCCCATGTAAGGGCAGGAGCCCAACCACTTGGACTGTCTTTTGCTTCTTTCTGAGGCACATAAGCAGGAAGCTGGATCAGAAGTGGAGCAGCTGTGACAGGAACCAGTGCCCCTATTAGGCACTAGTGTTGTAGGTGTCGATTTAATTCACTGCATTACAACATGGGCCTCATAATACTTGCTTTTAAATGTCCTTTTTAATTTTCGTATTTTTCACATGTGCATAAAATGAGATTAATCTCACCATTTCAATTTTCACAGATCTAATGCTCTCAAAATGTCATCTCAGGAGCCTGATTTGTTGTTTAGCAGGTTCAACCACTGCCTTGAGATCCAACCACACAGGTGAAAGACACAGTTGGAGCTCCTGGCTTCTGCCTGGTCTAGTCTTACCTGTTGGTCCATTTACAAAGAGAATCAGATATGGAAGATATCTCTACTGTGCTGTACAAACGAATCTTTTGAAAAGTAAAAAGAATATTCTAGTGATAAAACTTAAAAATGCAACCACATAAAATGTGTACATTTTAGAAGTGGGCATTGTGGCAAGTTTATTTCTATGTTTGAAAGAGCCAGGAGGAATGAATGAGATAAACAGAGCTGAGCCTGGAGCCTGGCTCAGGTGTGGGATGCAGGCATCCCATGCAGAGGACTGACCGCTGGGCTGGACCCGCATCCCCTCGCCCTGGATGTACATATACTTAACTCGTTTTTAATGGAACACAGTTTTTTAAAAAAGCATAAATTGATCAAATCAAATATTGAGCATTTCCATGCACTTATATTTTCCCCTTGTTCTTCATTTTTAGGTTCCTCTTAATTCGTTTAAAAGAGTTTTGTGGAGAATTCCTGAAGAAAAAACTACATCTTTCAAATTGCGTGGCCATTCATAGCTTAGCTCACATGTATACTCTGAGCCAACTAGCTCTGAAAGCTGCTGATATGATACGTAGAAATTTCCACAAAGTGATTCAAGATGAAGAATTTTACACTTTACCTTTCCATCTCATTCGAGACTGGCTTTCGGACTTGGAAATTACAGTTGATTCTGAAGAGGTTCTCTTTGAAACAGTTTTGAAGTGGGTTCAGAGAAATGCTGAGGAAAGAGAGAGATACTTTGAGGAACTCTTTAAATTACTCAGACTGTCACAGATGAAACCTACCTACCTTACTAGGCATGTCAAACCTGAGCGTCTGGTGGCCAACAATGAAGTTTGTGTCAAGTTGGTGGCTGACGCGGTGGAGAGGCATGCCCTGAGAGCTGAGAATATACAGTCTGGCACATTCCAGCTTCCTGCTTCTCATGTTTCGTTGTTACCTCGCTATGGGCAGAACATGGACGTGATCATGGTCATTGGGGGTGTGTCTGAGGGAGGGGACTATTTAAGTGAATGTGTGGGCTATTTTGTTGATGAGGACAGATGGGTGAATCTGCCCCATATTCATAATCACCTTGATGGACATGCCGTGGCCGTAACCGAATCCTATGTTTATGTTGCTGGCTCAATGGAACCAGGGTTTGCCAAAACCGTGGAGAGATACAACCCCAACATCAATACGTGGGAACATGTTTGCAGTCTCATGACAAGGAAGCATTCTTTTGGACTCACAGAGGTCAAAGGCAAACTCTACAGCATTGGTGGTCACGGCAACTTTAGTCCTGGCTTCAAAGATGTCACCGTTTATAATCCCGAACTTGACAAATGGCACAATTTAGAATCTGCACCAAAGATTCTTCGAGATGTGAAAGCACTAGCCATTGAAGACCGGTTTGTGTACATTGCCGCCCGCACTCCCGTGGACCGAGACACTGAAGATGGCCTGAAGGCTGTGATTACCTGCTATGACACCGAGACGCGACAGTGGCAAGATGTAGAGTCTTTGCCTCTTATCGACAACTACTGCTTCTTCCAAATGTCTGTGGTCAATTCGAACTTTTATCAGACTGCATCCTGCTGTCCCAAGAGCTACTCTTTAGAAAATGAAGAGGCAAGGAGGAAAATTGCCAACCAAGTGTCTGATGAGATTCTGGAGAGCTTGCCGCCAGAGGTGCTAAGCATCGAGGGGGCAGCCATTTGCTATTACAGAGATGACGTCTTCATTATCGGGGGCTGGAAAAACAGCGACGACATTGACAAACAGTACCGCAAAGAAGCCTACCGATACTGCGCCGAGAGAAAGAGGTGGATGCTGCTCCCGCCCATGCCGCAGCCCCGCTGTCGGGCCACCGCGTGCCACGTGCGGATCCCCTACCGCTACTTGCATGGCACACAGAGATACCCGATGCCTCAGAACCTGATGTGGCAGAAGGACCGCATCAGACAGATGCAAGAAATCCACCGGCACGCCCTCAACATGCGGCGGGTGCCCAGCTCCCAAATCGAATGCTAGATCCTCCCAAGGCGTGCAGCCTCATACTGGCGGCCATGTCTCGAGGCTGACTCTATCTGTACTGTTAACTTGAACAAAAGTATGTCGATAACTTATTCTCTGCCTGAACCGATTCTGACCCCATATATAGAAGGTAAAATTCAGTCCTGGGAACTTGTTGACTTGTGATCTTGATCAGCTTTGCTTCATGTATGTGCTAGTGAAGAGCTTATTAAAGACAAGTGGAAAAACCAGGTGTAGTTACTTGGCTGTCTTTATGGCAACAAGTTACAAATCCTTTGTCTAAGGTACATGGGTTTTGTATATGCTTTAAGCACCACTTTTTGTATTTGCACATTTGCTTCCATACTTCTTTCCATTTCCTCTGAGATGGTTGGTTTTGACCAGGTCAGAATTTATGCCCTCATCTGTAGGAGGCGTGTGCAATAGCAAGACTTAAATTTGAAGGAAAAGCACAATATTTCAGCAAGAGTATTTCAGAATGTGGTTTGATATGTTGTCATGTTTATCGAGCTTTTGTTCATTTCTAGTTTACTGAGGAGACTCATGATTTGCTCATGTGTTTTTAGGATATTTTTCAATGTTTTAGCAGCTTATAGGTCATTTCTCTGAGGTGATGGCAATTGGCAAAAGTATTAAGCTGATTGAGTACAGAAGAGGTTAAATATGTGCAATGTGTGTATTTAAAAGTATCGATGCAGATTGAGAAATCAAAAGGCATCTAAACCTTAAAATCCCTCTTTTACAGCAGTTGCAGGCTTACAGATAATGAATGAGTGTAAATAATGCCCATGACAATCAGCACTCAATGCCTTCCCTTCTCATTTTTGTTCTAACACATACTGTATAAATCCTTTATCATTCCTTTCTACGGAAACTATTTTTTCAAAATGGAAAGGAAGTAACAATTTGGAGAAATGTTGCTGAAGCCTTACTATTTCTGGCCTTGATTAGCATAATATTTCTCTAGACTTCTATCAGAACTTTGCCTGAACCTTACAGTACCCAAACTTGGGTGTATAAATTAGCTCTTAAGAATTTATCACCACAGCTGTCTTTAGTTGTGGTTTTTCTTTTTTCAATTGAGATTTTATTTATTTATTTATTTATTTGAAAGGCAAAGTGACAGAAAGAGACAGATCTTCCATTAGATCTTCCATCCCACTGGTCAACTCCGCAGTTGGTCACCACAGTCAGGCCAAAACCAGGAGCCAAGAACTCCATCCTGGTGTCTCACATGGGTGGCAGGGGCACAAGCACTCTGCCTTCCCAGGCACATCAGCAGGAAACTGGATTGGCAGCAGAGTAACTGGGACTCAAGCCAGCACTCCCAATACAGGCTGCTGGTGTTGCAAGAATCGGCTTAGCCCGTTATGCTGCAACACCACCCCAGTGCATTCTGCTTCTCTTTCACACTCCTAAGCTTCTTACAAGTTAGCCTTAGGTTAACCCTTTCAACACTCGTCTAGTCTAAAGGATCCCTAAGAGTTGACAGCGAGGATCCAGTGTATTTTCTTTGGGGCTTAAGAAATGACTTTCTTCGACATTTCAGAATATGCTCAAGTCCCAAGTCCAAGTGCAGTGATTCGTTACAGTTCCCCTTAATAGTTGTATAATCAGACTTCAAAGAGAAAAGCACAAACAGAAATTGTGGCTTGCTGTATGCTGGAAGAAAATGTTTTCATTCTTGGATCATACACTACAACTTGCCTCCGATTTCTAAAATAGTAGCTCCCTACCTAGGTCGAGGGTTTTTAATGTGTTGAAAATCTGCTTAATTTAAACTGGGCCAAGGTGGGAAACTGCATGGCTATTTCCAGGTATGGATACTTTATCCAACCCTTCCCCTCCCCCCACACATCTCTTAATTTCCCTTCATAGTAACCTTATAGAAGCCGTTTATGTTCTGAACAACCCTGATTCTTAGTTAGGGTAGGTCTGTACAAGCAAGGTGGAATCATCTAACAAGGCTCATGGAGTAAGGCCTCATTTTTGATAGACCAAGCTAGCACACTTCTTTATTTGGTTGTGTTCAAAGACCTGAATATCGCTAAGATGGCAGCTTTTATCCTAAAAGATGTCCCTAGTTTTGTTTTTATTTTGGTCTTCAGTTTTTGTCTTCTGGGACAGTGAGGACCAGTTGTATGGGATTTTTGGTTTGGTTTTTGGTTTTTCTGTTTGTTTTTGTTCCTTCACATGGTGTGAAAAAATTCTAGCTGTAATCTGGTTTTGAAAGACTTGATTGAAACTTTGTTTTGACTCAGCAGGCAGCTTAGACGTTGACTGAAAAGAAGGGGTAAGTCCTTCATTGCATGATGTGTGCAGTTCCCTGACCCCTGATTGGCTGATTGGTATATTGGAATTCACATGTGTGACTTCACATTAATAACACGCTTCTGAACATCCTGACTAACTTGTTCATAAGAAGAGAAGCCAGATTTGCTTAAATGTGTTCAAGGCTGACATTCTGAATCTCGGTTCAAACTGGAAATAACTTCTTCGAGTATTTGGAATGCTTCTAATTATGTTGATCAGGCCGTTAAAAACTCTCTTATGGAAACAAAGATTGCACGGGATCATTTAATCAGTTAAACACAGTGTTAAAAAGACTGTGTGCATTCAAGCTGACTGTTTTGTTGCTTTGTCTTTGGTAAAGAGAGGAGGGTGGGAATTACACTGTAGAGGAACAATTATACGTAGCTTTTGGAGGCAGCTAGTTGGATCTTGGAGTGTGCGCCTCTCGCTTTCCCTGCCCTGCCACGGTGTCTGAATGCGTGGTATTTGCAGAGTGTCGGTCACAAACGTGCTGTGTCCTGTCTCGGTTGCAGTGCTGCATGGTGAGCCTCGTGTGTCTTGATCCTCGCCTTTGTTGTTGCTGTGTTGGCTCTAAAAAGATGTCTGCTGAAAACTTGTGAAATTCATTAGTTCGGGTTGGGTTTGTTTTAATCACCTGCGTTTGTAGAGTATTTCTGGGACCCAAAAATTCAACACTATAGAAGAGAATTTAGAAAGAATGTGTGGGAGATCCAAGTGCCGTGTTTCTCAGCCCTTCAGGCCGCCAGGAAAGCATTTTCTAGGGCACGCCTTTTCCCCTTTGTCTCAACTAACGTAGCATGTGGCTTGTTTAGACTACTTCATTTTCTGCCTCTTAATTCTAATACCAACACTATGCTATAAATAGACTAGTGACTGAATTGTGTATTTGTAACTTGATCCCATCAAATTTAACGAAAGGGGGCTTTTTGAATACTTGCCTCAAATTAAGTTTCAATTAAAAGTTGTCCATATCTCACATCTTTGAAAGTGCACAGTAGTGTAAAGCAAATGCCCTGCCTACACTAGAAAAAATAGGGTGCTTTAACCGTGTGCTATTTGAGAAGCCAGTCTCTGTAACTGTCAGACAGTGCCCCAGTTCCTTATTCCAGTTTGTTACTTTCTTGAATAGTCCATTTTTGTTATTGTTATAATGCTTGCATTATAACGTGTTCTAGTCTTTGGAAACAACAGCTCATAGTTGAATGATGTAATACAGTGATAGTAATGTAACACAGCAGTCACTTTGCTTCCAGGAATTTAGGTAGTTAACCAGTTGGCCCAGTTGCTGCTTTGTTGATTGCCTTTGTGGGGCCTTCGTCTACCCTGTCTAGCCATTCCTCCTGCTCTCTTACCTGGAAGCACACGCACAGAGCTCTTGTTGCATTTAATCTCTTGCGTCAGGCACTTGTGAGCTGCAGTGCTTGCTAGATGTTTGAAGATCCTACCATCTTGTATGCTAGAGGACTCATTGAGTTATTTGTAAAATAAACACTTTAGAGTTGATAACAGATTTTTCAGGCATCTACTGTAGTGAAAGTGTGCCCCTATATCCCTGTAAGTAGGAAGAGATGTAGTGTTTAGAATACTCTGAGACCACGTTGTAAAACAGCCTGTTGTATGTTCCTGTAGCTGTCCTGTTCTGTTAAAGCTACTAATTGTCTCAATTTAAGTTTTAAATAAACATATTTCTGTAGAGCTGTTTACACTGTGTGGCTTTTTTTTCCTATGCAGTCTAATGCAGTGGCCTTCCTCCCCTCCTGCTCCCTCATTCATTCATCCAACCCTTTAGCTCCCTTAAGTTGGACACTTTCCAGTACTCTTACAAGTTTAAACACTGCATTTATTTAAAAAAAGAATTAATTCTTATTGCTTAGACCTTTTATTAGCTAATGAAGACTCATACAGGTAGGGTACTTGTCGAAGCAGAATACTTTACTTCATCTCGCAGTGCTAACCCTGTGAAGTTGTCCCGTCTTGCTGCGTACTCCCCCACGTTGGCCAGCCCTGGGACCACACAGCAGCTCAGGGCACTGCGGTAGATGCTCATGTCGTGGGCATCATACCACTCGTCGGTCTTTTCGTCATAGCACTCCACATTAAAGGTGGTGGTAAAGCCGTTGAAGCCGCCCACTACGAACAAGAGATCGTCCACCACCTCAATGCCAAAATTGCTGCGGGGATTAAACATCGTGGGGATCGTGCGCCAAGTGTTGGCCACCGGGCTGTAGGCTTCCGCACTCCTGAGTCGGTTTGCTCCATCAAAGCCACCCACCTGTGGGTAGCAAAAGAACATGTTGATTTCCCCTTTGCCTCTCTTCACCACGAAATTCCACCTTCCATTGGCTGCCTTAAATAACCAGTTTTTCTAGTGCTGATGTAAGCCTCCTTCCTCCTAGGAAGTCTCGGGGCTGTCATTCAGGCTGAGGATGTACTCACCGCATACACATGTTCTCCATAAGCAATGACGCCTATGCCACTCCTCCTGCTTCTCATGGGTGCTATGACTGTCCACTGATTGCTCTCAGTGTTGTACACTTCTGCTGTAAACAGGCATTCGTTACCGTTAAACCCACCACATATGTAGACCTGTGTGAAGAATTTCCAAGATTACTACAGTCCTTCCCTCTGGGGAGTGAAAGAAGGGATATGCATGCAGCAGAGGGACACCTGGGATGCTAGTCCTGATGCTTGGAATTCTTTTCCCCATTTTTGCATGCATTGTGTTTTGCTTTGTTGTGCTTTTTTGAAAGACACAATGACATCATCCATCTACTGACTCACTCCCGATATGGTTGCAGTAGTCAAGTCTGGACCAGGCTGAAGCCAGAAGCCTACAAGGCCTTCTGAGTCCAAGAACTCAAGGCTGTCTTCCCCTGCTCTTAGAAGTAGAGTAGCCTGGGACTGGAGTGATAGCCTACTGGTTGAAGTCCTCACTTGACATCCCATATGGGTGCCAGTTCTTGTCCTGGCTGCTCCACTTCCCATCCAACTTACTGTTTGAAGCCTGAAAAAGTAGTCAAGGGTGACCCGAAACCTTTTGGACCCTGCACCCATATGGGAGACCCGGAAGAAGCTCCTAGCTCCTGGCTTCAGATCAGCTCAGCTCCAGCCATTGTGACCACTTGGGGAGTGAACCAGCAGATGGAGGATTTTTCTATCTTCTCTGTTCTGTATATCTGTCTTTCCAATGGAAATAAGTCTTAAAGAAAAAAAGAAGAAAAAAAAAGGTAGGGTAGCCTGGGCCAGTCAGATGGCTTAACTGCAAGCACTAGCATCCCCATGTGGGCAACAGTTTGTGTCCCACTACTCCAGCTCTACTCCATCTCCCTGGCTAATAGCCTGGGAAAGCAGTGGAGAGTAGCCCAAAGCCTTGGGATCCTGCACCTATGTGGGAGATGTGCTCAGCTTTGGCCGTTACAGCCATGTGGGGATAGAAGATCTTTCTCAGCCTTGGAGCTATAGCCTAGTGGCTAAATCCTTGTCTTGCATGCCCAGGGATCCCGTGTGGCACCAATTCATGTTCCAACAGCTCTGCTTCCCATCCAGCTCCCTGCTTGTGGCTTGGGGAACAGTAGAGAATGACCCAAGTCCTTGGAATCTTGCACCCGGTGGGAGACCTGGAAGAAGCTCTGACTTCACTTCAGATCTGATTGGCTCAGCTCCAGACATTCCAGCCACTTGGAGAGTTAACCAGTGGATGGAAGAATTTTCTCGCTGTCTCCTCTGTAAATCTGCCTTTCCAAAAAAAAAAAAAAAAAGTAGGGTAGCTATGGCTCAGCCGGGGACTCCGCGAAGAGATGTTAGCATCGCTGGGATGACTTAATGCATTGTGCACTAGTCCCCATGCATTTTTTTTATTTGAAAGGCTGAGTTACAGAGAGAAGGAGAGACACAGAGAGATCTTCCATCCACTGGTTCACTCCTCAAGTGGATGCAACAGATGGAACTGGTCCAGTCTGAAGTCAACATCCTGGAGCTGCTTCTGGTGCAGAAGCCCGGTGTCTTGGGCCATCCTCTCCTGTGTTGCCAAGCACATTAGCAGGAGCTGGATCAGAAGTATTGCAGCTGGGAGATGGGCTGGCACGCGTATGGGATGCCAACACCACAGGTGAAGGCTCAACCAGTGTACTGGTTCCCATACATGAAATTTTAGTAAGAGGAAAGTTACAAGTGGCCACTTAGTCATTTGAGGAAGAAGTGAATACAATCAGCCCTCTATATCTCTAGTTTCCTCATCTGTGATTCTACATCTCATGCAGCAAAACTACTCAGGTTAAAAAAAAAAAAAAATGTGGGCCCGGCGTGATGGCGCAGTGGTTAAGGTCCTCACCTTGCACGCCCAGGATCCCATATGGGCACCAGTTCTAATCCCGGCAGCCCCGCTTCCCATCCAGCTCCCTGCCTGTGGCCTGGGAAAGCAGCCGAGGACAGCCCAAAGCTTTGGGACTCTGCACCCCCGTGGGAGACCCGGAAGAAGTTTCTGGCTCCTGGCTCCGCACCGGCATAGCATCAGCCGTTGTGCTTACTTGGGGAGTGGATCATCGGACGGAAGATCTTCCTCTCTGTCTCTCCTCTCTGTATATCCGCCTTTCCAATAAAAATAAAATAAATATTTAAAAAAAAATGTGTCTTGGCTGATGTTTGCCATAGTCGCCACGGGGGACACTCAGTACCCCAACTGGAGTGCTCAGGTTTGAGTTCACCCTCTGCTTCTGATCCAACTTCCTGCTTACATGCACCTTTTGGTCCACATAGGAGACAGATTGAGTTCTGGCTCCTGGCTGGTTCACCATGGCTATTAGCAGACATTTGAGAGTGAACCGACAGGTAAAAGATACTTCACATGTGCATTTCAAATAAAATCTAAACATTTAAAACAAGTGTGTGGACCCAGTGTGATAGCCTAGTGACTAAAGACCTCGCCTTGCACACCCGGGATCCCATATCGCGTCAGTTCTAATCTCAGTGGCCCTGCTTCCCATCCAGCTCCCTGCTTGTGGCCTGGGAAAGCAGTCCAGGATGGCCCAAAGCTTTCGGAACTGCACCTGAGTCAGACCCAGAAGCGGCTCCAGGCTTCTGGCTTCACATTGGTGCAGCTCCAGTTGTTGTGGCTGCTTGGGGAGTGAACCAGAGGATGGAAGATCCTCTTCTCTGTGTCTCCTCTCTGTATATCTTACTTTCCAATAAAAATAAATCTTAAAACAAGTGTGTCCCGGGTTGATAGTTTGGTATTATAGCAGGCTCAAGGCTACAACCTCAGCCTGCCAAGTGTTTGGGCCCTTGCCTGCCACTTTGGAGAGCTGAATGGAGTCGTAGGTTTCTGGTTTCAACATGGTCCATCCCTGACTGTTGCAGCTTTTTAGGGAATGAACCAATGGACAGTCTCTCTTCTTCCCTCCCTCTTTCCCCCATCTCGAATTCTCGCTGTAACTCTGGCTTTCAAGTGAATAGTTTTTCCTTGCCATTATTCCCCCAAGCCATATAGTGTAGTACCTATTCCAGTAGCACTTAGATTGCTTTGTAGCATAGGAAAGGATTTCTGTAGGTTACAGGCAAATACCCTGCTATTTTGTCTTAGGGACCTGAGCGTGCGCAGATGTTCCTGTCTGCAGGTGGTCCTGGAGCTCAGTCCCTAGGGATAGCAAGAAGCGACTGCAGGCAGAGCAAGCCCACCAACTCCTATACAACCTGGTGAGTGTTTCTGGGTTCAGCTCCCTGCCTTCCCACTCCCACCCTGGTTCTTTACCTTCCCATAGAGTGTTGTGGCACTCGCATCACTCCTCTGCTCATGCATGGGGGCAATGAGCGTCCACTGATTGGTCTCTGGCTCATAGCGTTCAGCGGTGTTGAGACGCACGTAGCCATCAAATCCTCCCATGGCGTAAATGAAGTTGCTGAGGACTGTCACACTGACATAGCAGCGTCTGGAGTGCATTGGGGCCACCTGGTGCCAGGTTTTCTTGACTGGGTCAAAACGCTTAACGCTATTGAAATAGTCTACACTATCGAACCCCCCAATGATGTACACGTAGCCCTTCAAATAGGCTGCCCCATGGTAGGCACGGGGACTCTCTTCCTCACAGGTGACATTCACCCATCTGTCTGCTCGAGCATCGTATGCCTCAATGGCATTGGTAGGGCTCCCTCCACTCCAGCCACCTATGGCAAATAAAATAGCATAGGGCAGGCGGGGCCTGGTGAGTGGGTTGGTGAAATCAGAATTAGAGGGTCCATTCATGTTTAGGTCATACATGGCCTTGAGGGCATTAATGATGACTGGTTTGCATTCCTCACTGTCTTTGACATAGTCATTCATCTTCACATTGTTCATGAAGTACTCGGCATGCATGAGGGCCAGGCGAACCTGAGAAGGAGATACAGAAATTCATTCAGACATGGTGAGAGGTATGCATTGTTGAAGTATTTGGGGAAGGGGCACAGTTTGGATGCTAAGCATGCAGTAGAAGGAAGACCCTTCATATGGCCCCAAAGAGGCTATAGCAATGGTTGCATGTGCCCCCACCTGCTAAAACCTCACAACACTGCTTGGTTACATGTATGCAGTACATGGCTCTTTTCTAGTCTAACGTCTACCTTAGGCATGGGGAGCCTCAGAATGGAGAAAAGCACAGCCCTTTCCTTCCCCTGTGGCCATGGAAAAAAATAAGTTAAAGAAAAAGCAATGTCAAGGGA